AGGAAGCAGAGGAAGGCCAGTATGGCATTGGTGGTGTGCACCAGGCCGAAGCTGACCCAGGATCGTGTGCGACAGTGCACCAGAGCCTCCGTGGGCAGCACGCGCCAGTCCGTCACCACCTCTGGTGGGAAGGCCAGCAGGTACCAGGCGCACAGCGCGGCCTCCACCAGCATGGCCAGCAGCACCGCCAGCCAGGCCCGGGGCCCCCGCAGGCAGCCCCACAGCCGGTCTGCCCAGCTCGGAGGCAGCTCCGACTCCACGAAGGTCTCAGCCGCCTGCAGGAAGAGTGTGCTCAGGCAGCCCGTGAGTGGGAGGTGGGATAAGGGCTGCTGGGCCAGGCAGCGCGCAGGGCTGGGCTGCCCGGGGAACAGGAGGACGCTAAGGCACACCAGGCCCAGACAGACCAGGCCGAAGCAGGCCAGGGCGCCCCCCGAGGCCTGAACTAGTGGGCTGTCCCGATGGCGAATGAATAGCCCCAGGGTGGCCAGCACAAGCCCCAGTGCCAGGCCCAGCAGCAGGAGCAGCAGCAGCACAGCCGGCTCGCCCCACGTCAGGAACCGAGGCCTGCGGTGGAAGCAGCGTGTGCTCCGCTTCGGGGACCACTGGTCGTGGCGGCAAGGGGTGCAGGTGGGGTCGTCTGTGGGAGAAGACGAGAAGGGGGCTGGGGGCTGGCCTTGCCCCGCCCGCCCCATGGGCTCTGGCCTCTGAGCCAGGACTCGGCAGGACCCTCCGGTGCTGCGCACTGCCCGCGCCTGCTGGGAAGGCGGCTCACCTGGGTTGCGTCGGTAGCTGCCTGCCTCGCAGTCTACGCAGTCGTAGCAGCAGGAGTGGAAGCCCTTGACCCGGCGCACCTGGCCCTCCTGGCACTGCCGCGAGCACTGGGACACGGGCTCCTGGGCACAGGCCTGGGGTCTGGCTGCGCCCGGCTGGGCACGCCTGCTGGAGACTGGGACGGCCCCCACCCCCAGGCTGCGCCCTGCCGTGGAGGCTGCCACGGGGCACGGCCAGCACCCCTACCCTCACCTGGTTGTCGGGTGTGTGCCAGCGCATCTTGAGGCGCTCCGGCCAGAGGCTGCCGTTGAAGATGCCCACATTGTGCAGCTCGGGCACCGGGCCCCGCCACACCCACAGCTTCAGGTCGTACTCCACGTCAACGTTCCCGCTGCTGTCAAAACGCAGCACCTGTCCGGCCGCGTGGAAGGTCATGTTGTACATGTTCTGCAGGACCTGTGGGCGGGGGACGGGGCTGAGCCGCCAGCCACCTCCAGCCCAGACGCCGTGGCCCTGCCTGGTGGCCGGGCCCTGCCTGGTGGGCACGTGCAGAGGTCGGCACAGCTCCCTCTCCCGGGCCCACCTGCCAGGGCTTCACGGGGTCCTGCATGGGGCAGCCCGAGGCGTTGCAGCCCAGGGTGTTGTGCAGGGCCTGGGCCACACTGTACACGGCCGCGTAGACGGAGAATGTCTGGTGGTGCTGCAGCCTGGCGGGCACGTTCTGCAGCGTGATGTCGTCACACTGCGGGCAGCGCGGGCCCACCACGTGCTCCTCCAGGCCCTGCTCCCTCTCACCCAGCGAGGTGCAGAAAGCCGGGTCGGCGGCCAGGGCCAGGTGCGTCTTCACGTACTGGGAGAACTCGGGCAGCTGGGCACCCCTCTGCAGGAAGCCGAGCACCGTGCCCACCTCGGCCATGCCGGGCAGCCCCATGACCAGGTCAGAGGTCAGCCAGGCCTCGCTGGCCACCCACACCTTGGGCGAGAGCCTGCGGCTGATGATGTGGCTGAAGAAGGTGTGGGCGGCACGCGCAGAGGCGAACAGCAGCACCACCTGTATGCTGGTTTGGTTGAGCTGCGGCAGCAGCTCCTGCACCTTGCCCACCCACGGGCTGTTGGCACGGGGCAGCGGCACCAGGCCCTCGTGTGCTATGCAGATGCCGCGTGCCGCAGCCAGGCCCGAGAAGATGCTCAGGCCCTGTCGGCCATACTCGTCGTCGCTGCCCAGGGCGGCCACCCAGTTCCAGCCCAGCTGCTGCAGCAGCTCCACGGTGGCCACCAGCTGCACGCGGTCACTGGGCACCGTGCGGAAGAAGGAGGGGAAGGTCTCCCGGGTGCTCAGCAGGTCCATGCTAGCCCCGTAGCTGACCTGCAGGGGCCGAGAGGTATCTCCTGACACAGGGTCTCCCGCGGGAAGGGCTGGGTGGGGGGGTAATGGCGGGGGGCGCCCACCTGGGGCATGAGGAAGAAGCCGAAGAACTTCCCTGTGACCAGGGCGAGCTCTGAAGAGTGGGGCCCGATGACAGCCAGCACACGGGGCTGGTACTGCGTGTAGTTGCAGTAGGCGGCGATGTCGTGGCTGTTCGCCTTGGCCAGGAACATGAGGCTGGGCTTCATGGTGACCGTGGGCTCCGAGCACGTGTCAAAGAGGTCGTAGCCCAGGCGCAGCCCCGGCAGCAGGTCCAACCGGTTGTTGATCTCCTCCACCGCCATCTTCATGGCCAGCGCCCAGAGCAGGCCGTTCCAGGAGAACCTGGGGCCACATGGAGCTGCAGGCGGCACCCCAGGCCTGCTCACCCTGACCCCTGCCCCGGGCCGTCCCGCCTCCGTACCTGGTGCACACGAGGCTGCTGGGCCGCGTCCGGCTGTGGAGGGCAGCCTCCCCGGCCTCGCCTAGGGGGAACAGCCCCCCCAGCACGTAGTCCCCCTTCATCTTCAGTTGCCGTGACAGGCACGATGGGGCCCCTGTCCTGAGGTGCAGGAGCGTCCAGAGGCTGAGGCCTAGGACACCGGAGCCCAGCATGGCAGGGGCAGCTTCCAGCAGGCACGGCAGGTGGCTGCCCCAAGTGGCACCTTACATGTAGTGAGACCGGGGCGGAGGGCAGGCAGATTTGTTTAGCAAAACCCTTGTCATCCTTACCTGCCACGCCTTGGGGCCCCCGTGGCAGTCTTTGCTTTCCAGGCCTGAAGGTTTGTGCGCCTCAGACTCTTCCTGAGGCCACTGCCAGGCTGTGTGGCCAACACCGATCTGCAGGCGGGCTGTGCTCACAACTGGCCGTGGCCTTGTTCCCTGCCTGTGCCCGAGCCCCTCGGCACCCCCCATTTCTGGAGTTGCCCAGCAGGCTGTGGCAAGCAGCAGGGGCAGGGGGTCTGTAGGGCTCCGAGGTCTCAGCTGCCATGGGAGGGAGGCAAAGACACCCAGCTCTGGGCTTTTCACAGGCGCAGAAACACCTCCTACCCAGCCCTGGGGACTTCAGGCTTCCAACTCAAGGTTGTGCTGTCAGGAGTGGGGGGGGTCTGCGGACCAGCCAGGCCTCCATCCTGCAGCTGGGTGCAGAGGGCCCTGCGGTGGCGGCAGTGACCTCACAGCCTGCTTTGGAGCAGCGTTCCTTGAGGATCTCGGCCCTTTTGCTGGGGTCTGACGCCTGGAAGCTGTAGGAGCTGCATGGCCAGCTGTCCTCATGCTGCTGACCCCTGCCTGGGCCACTCCTTCCCGGCAGGCACACAGGTGGCTCCTGCTGGGGATAGAGCTCAAGGCTGGGCCTGGAGGAGGGGGCCACGCAAATGAGGGAGGAAGGGCCGTAGGCAAAGGAGTGGCAGCTGGAGCGGAACCGGGTGTCCGGTGGGGCTCCACCCCACCTCCTGCTCCTCTGTGCAGGGGGGCTCCTCCTCTGCCTCACTTTGGGGGTGCCCTTGGGGACACACCAGGCTCCAGGTGCAGACCCTCCACTGAGGAGAGCTGAGGGGCACTTGCCTTCAGCTGGGACCTGGCAGACCTTGAGGACATTTACCAAGAGGTACACCCTGGCTGGTGCCTCTTCACCACAGTGCTGTGAGGGAGGACCCGTGAGGCACACGCATGACCACAGCACACACAAACTGAACACACGTGCACACACACAAACCCGGCACACAGGAATGTGACACGCACATGGCACACAGGAGCATGGCATGTACACATGGTACAACACATGGCACACAGGAGCGTGGCACACGGCACACAGGAGCATGGCACATGGCGCACACGGCACACAGGAGCACGGCACACGGCACACACGGCACACATGAGCATGGCACACGGCACATGGCACACAGGAGCATGGCATGTACACATGGTACAACACGGCACACAGGAGTGCGGCACACGGCACACAGGAGCATGGCATGTATACATGGTACAACACACGGCACACATGAGCACGGCACACGGCACACAGGAGCATGGCATGTACACATGGTACAACAACACACAGCACACAGGAGTGTGGCACATGCACATGGCACACAGGAGTGTGGCACACGGCACACAGGAGCATGGCACATGGCACACACGAGCATGGCATGTACACATGGTACAACACACGGCACACACGAGCATGGCATGTACACATGGTACAACACGCGGCACACAGGAGTGCAGCACATGCACATGGCATACAGGAGCGGCACACAGGAGCACGGCACACACGACACACCACAGCACGGCACACACACACCTGGCATACACACACAGCACATGCACAGAAGGCCACACCCAGAGCTCTGCACTGGGGCCCATCCTGCAGTCAGCAGGCTTTGCCAACACCACGTGCAGCTCCCACAGACCCTGAGGTTGGGTGGCGTCCAGGAAGACCCCGCCGAATTGCATCCCCTTTCTGTCCAGGCCACTGTTGTGGCTGGGAGCAGCCCCCACCTCCACCCACACATCCCACGCAGGCCTCTCCTCTTGCACGGAGAGGCTGACCTTCTCTGCCTTCCCAGCCCAGCCTCTCGGCTCTGGATGAGTGTGTGTCTGTTGTCTCACCTGTAAAACAGGCATAGTGACAGGGAGCTCTCTACCTGTCTCTGGGGGGGACAGGCACACAGCAGTCCGAGCCCCAAGGCTGGCCTTTTCTCAGGGCGGTTGGGTGCACCTGCCTTAGCTGTGTCCCTGGGGTGAGGCCCCTCCCCGCCCTCACTGGGTGCCCGTGTTCCCCCCGGGCAATCGCGCTCAGCACACCCCAAGGCCCACGTCCTGGGATGCCGTGATTTATTGACGTTGGAAGACACCGAATGGCTTGCACTCCAGAAGCTTGTGCACCTGCTGGGTAGTCGGGGCTGTTCATCTGCCACCCTGAGGCGCTGCGGTCCACCGTAGAGAGCCAGGGGCCAGGCCCCAGGAACTGGGTGGTGGCTGGGCTGGGTGTGGCTGGCTGGTAGCCACTGGCCAGGCCAATCTGCTCCAAGCCCCTTGGGTCTCCTGGGGAGAGGGGGCTTCAAGGGGCAGGGGGATAAGGGACACAGCGTTTTGCTGGGAGTAGCAGAGTCCTGGCTCCTGGGGCCTTGGGTGTGCTGTGCAGACCCACAGCAGCTGCGGGAGGCAGCCTGCTGTGTCACTCGGGAGCTGGCACCCTGGAGGGGCTGCAGGGAGGCTGTCCCAAGGGCAGGGCCTTCTCCGGCCCGTCTGTGAGCAGCCTTGATCTCAGCTCCTGGCCATCCCACCCTCAGTCCGCCTGGCACGCTGAGGGGCAAACAAGGCAGTGAGAGGCGGGGAGACCCCAAGGGCCCAGACCGCTCGCTCTTGGGGGCTTTCTGCTAGTCTGGGCATGGAGGGGGCTGAGGTGCCTGGACTCAGCGTTGCCCACCTGGGCGGATGAGGGGTCCCAGGCCTGGGCCTGAGAGGAGGACACACCGGCTGGAGAGAAAGGATGGAGTCTCTACACCCCGGGACCAGTGACTTTACCCCAGTCAGCAGATCTGCCCCACAGACTGGGGGTTGGTGACCTTTTGGGCTTTTGCAGGCCTGGCCCCGCCCCCGCCCCCGCCCCCTCCACTTTCTGCACCCAGCCAGGCCTGGCCGGGCAGCTGTGTCACAGGCTGAGGGGGAGCCATGGCTGAGGCGTCCAGTTCTGGACCGAGAGGGCAGGCCTCTTTGGGCTGGGGGCCACCTTCTCTGCCACACTCTTGTGGCTCCAAACAAGCTCAGCTCACAGGGACAGCAGCACATCTCCTGTTCCTGGGGCCCCCAGAAAGTTCTGCTGTGGGGCTCGCAGCCCAGATCTGCAGCAGGAAAGCCCGCGTGGCCCTGGGTTCCTGCCACTAGGGCAGGTTCAGCAGGGAGTGCTCGGCGTACAGCTTCTGGGAGACGTCATAGACGCGCTCGATGAAGGGGAGGGCCTCACCCAGCATCTGCACGGCCTGCTCCGGGGGCCCCACGTTCATGGCCTCCAGGAAGACCTTGCGTGTGGGCAGGGCGCAGAAGGCCACGGTGACGGCACGGCGCACGATCCAGGGGTGGTAGGCGGCCAGCGAGGCGTTGTAGGAGTCGGTGCAGAGCACGGAGGTGCGCGCGTCCTCGGGGCTGGTGCGCAGGCGCTCCAGGAACAGCTGCAGCCAGTGCAGGGCACGGTGCAGGCGCAGCACGGTGCGGCAGCCGGACTCGGGGTGCTGGGAGCGCCGCTCCAGGTCCACCAGCTTGCTGCCCAGCTCGTGGGCCACCATGGCCTGCAGGGTGCAGTAGTGCTCGTGCTGTGGGCCGCCCCGGAGGCGCTCCATGATCTGCAGCTTGGAGACCACGTCCTTGGAGATGAACGAGAAGATGGCGCCCAGGCTGTTCAGAAACCTGCGGGAGGGAGCAGGGCTCGAGTCCTCGCCCAGGCCCGGGGCAGCCCTCCAGGGTGCAGGGGACGCTGCCCAGCCTTCTGGAAACAGGCAGCGAAGCTGGTGAGGACAGCCAGCGGGAGGCAGATACCACCTCCAGGACTCTGCCAGGTGAGCCCCCCCGGCGAGCAAGCCCTGCGGACGCACCTGACCAGGCCCTTCCAGCTGGCAATGTAGGGGTCCAGCAGGACCTCTTCCTTCTCATTGAGACACTGCTTGAAACTGACCAGGACGACTTTCAGATTGAAACCTGTCTCCGAATCATCCATTTTTTGATAGGAACGGCAATATAGTTGGGCTGGGAAATACAGTCTCACTGGGGTCAGCTTGATCTGTGGCTCATTTTCTCTGCGTGTGGAAGGGAACAAGAGAGCTGCGATCCCACTGAACACTCAGGCCCCTTACGGAGCTTCCTCCGACGAGCCGCCTGGCTCTGCTCCCAGCCAAGCGGCAGGCTCTCAGGCACACCACCCTGACCCACCCTTCATAGGGGCCTCGTACCCACAGACCTTGGCACGGCCCCTCCTGTGGGTCAGTCCCTGACCCCTCTGGCTTCATCAGACCACTCGATCGTCTACAGGGGCGTCTCTGCTGATGCTTTCTTGCTTATTTGTTTTCGTTTCTCTCACTAGAGGCTGCATCTGTTTTTGCCAGCTGAGGAAATATTTGCCAAGCCCTTGCCTAGAGCCAAGCACTGTTCTAGGCACCTGGGTGCACAGGGAGTGGGTGGGCAGCCATCGGGGGTGGGGTCAGAGGACGACAAAGACAGGAAGTTCCGAGATCACATGCAAGGAAACAGACACAGCAGAACGTGGAGTGGGGGAGCAGGGAGTGTGGGGGTGCTGGGGGGGCGGACATGCTGCCAGGCAGACTGCCCCCGTCTTCCTCAATGCTGCATCCTCAAAGCAGAGGAGAGGCTGTAGGGCCAGCGCTTGCTAGATGGATAGACGCAACTGTTTGCTGAAACTATGAGTCCCACATGGATGGGTGGCTGGGCTAAAGGTTTTACCACACTCCGAAGATTGCCACAAGGCCCTCCTAGCAGCCCTAGGGAACCTTCCGTGAGTGGCCCAGGCCTTGCTCTGGATTCTGCTGGCATTCACACAGTCACTCCCCAGACATCCAGGCACCCATGCTTTGTGTGGGTGTCACCAAGCACCCTTGCCCCGTCTCCCCAGGTGCCCCAAGAGTCTGCACCTGCTCTGGGGACCCTGGGACTCAGCTGCATCCCCCTCGACCAGGAAGAACCCTCGCCCCACTGGGCCTGGAGTTTCCTGGGCCCCTTGACGCTGGGAGCCCTGTCCTGACTTCCCTGGCTGCAGGGACTGCAGCAGGGGCGGGGAGGGCACCCAGCTGTGGTGAGCACTCCTGGCCAGGAGCAGGTGGGCAGGTTGTTGGGCCCTTCGTCACTGGGGAGCACGGGCTGCAAGCCCTGCCAAACCCACGGCCCAGGCTGCTGGAGCACTGTGGCCCGGAGGTGCTGAAGCCTTGCCTTGCAGGCCCCACAGGTTGGGTTGCATGCTCGGCAGCAGGCGGAGGCCCCAGATGTGAGCTCACCGGGTTTCAGGCATGGGGGATGGCTGCTCCTGGGCCCCAGGACCATGGAGCCCCAGAGACTTCCAGCACGCCCTTCCCCTCCTCGGGCCTCTGTTCTATCCACTGAGAAGACGGTCTCTGAGGCTCCGGGGTTTCCTTCTTGGTCACCAGATATTCTGCGGGCCTCGCCTTCCTGCCCAGATCTGAGCCAGTGGCCAACAGGAGCTGCCAGGAGCCTCTCAGGGCTGTGGCTGGTGGCTCAGGGAAAACAGGAAGGGCCGTGGCTGTGCAGGACGCGGGCAGTTCGCCAGCCCAGAAAGGTGACCCAGGGCACCTCCAGGCCTTTCCCAGGGCAGCCCACCGGCCCAAGGTCAGGGCTGGACACAAGGGCCGTCGGAGCACACAACCCTGCGGGGGCCAGCACGCTGGGAGGCCAGCAGGAGACGCGCCGTCACGGCGTCCCGGGCCTTGGGTGGCACCAGGGCCCGGTCCAGCGAGCGCTGCGAGTCTCACCTGGGAAGGGGCTTCAGATGGTACAGGACTGGGTGGGCACCGGTTCGAGTCCCTGCTCCGCCGAGGGGCCCAGGAAGGGGCTGAGGCGCGGGGTGGTCGAGAGGAGGGGCCGACCTGAGACAGCTCTGTCCTGCGCCGGAGCCCGGTCCTTGGCCGCCCGCCCGCGGCAGCCTTCTAGGAGCACGTCCCCTCCCGCTCCCGGCCCCTCGGCGGCTGTCGGACCCACCGGCCGGGTCAGGCAGGTGCGGCCGCCGAGCCACAGCCGCTCACCTGGGCAGCATCCGGGGCCCGGCCCCGCCCGCCTGCGTCCGCCGCTCTGATTGGTCGGATGCTGCCCAATCGAGCGGCCCGGTGTGCCGACGCTCATTTCCGGCAGGAGCACCGGAAGTTGACGCCGCGGTGGCTGCGCCCGTGCGGCGCGAGCGTGTGTGAGCTTCGCGGGTCCGGTGGCGCCGTGGACAAGATGCCCGAGATCAGAGTCACGCCCTTAGGTGAGTGGGAGTCTCCGGAGGGCTGTGGGGCGGGCTTCGGAGGCGGCTCCCGGCGGGCTCTCGCCGCGGAGCCTGGTGCGCGTCGCGGGCGTCCTCCCGGGAGGCGGCCTCGTCCCGGCACCCAGGGCCTCCCGCAGGGCCGCGAGAACGCGAGCCCCGAGGTTCAGGCGGCCGAGAGGGGGACGACGCAGAGGGGGCTGCGGGGCCTCCGCGTTCGCTCTGCGCTTTCCTCGGTGCCTTCACCTCCCTGTGCCGCGCGCTGCCGCTTCCAGTTCCGCAGCCCCCCAGCCCCTCAGCCCCGCAGCCCCGCAGCGCCTCAGCCCCGCAGCCCCTCAGCGCCTCAGCCCCGCAGCCCCGCAGCCCCGCAGCCCCGCAGCCCCTCAGCGCCTCAGCCCCGCAGCCCCGCAGCCCCCCAGCCCCCCAGCCCCGCAGCCCCGCAGCCCCGCAGCCCCGCAGCCCCCCAGCCCCGCAGCCCCCCAGCCCCCCAGCCCCGCAGCCCCGCAGCCCCCCAGCCCCGCAGCCCCGCAGCCCCCCAGCCCCGCAGCCCCCCAGCCCCCCAGCCCCGCAGCCCCCCAGCCCCGCAGCCCCGCAGCCCCCCAGCCCCGCAGCCCCCCAGCCCCCCAGCCCCGCAGCCCCGCAGCCCCCCAGCCCCGCAGCCCCCCAGCCCCCCAGCCCCCCAGCCCCCCAGCCCCGCAGCCCCGCAGCCCCCCAGCCCCCCAGCCCCCCAGCCCCCCAGCCCCGCAGCCCCCCAGCCCCCCAGCCCCCCAGCCCCGCAGCCCCGCAGCCCCCAGCCCCCCAGCCCCGCAGCCCCGCAGCCCCCAGCCCCCCAGCCCCCCAGCCCCCGCAGCCCCCCAGCCCCGCAGCCCCGCAGCCCCGCAGCCCCCCAGCCCCGCAGCCCCCCAGCCCCGCAGCCCCGCAGCCCCGCAGCCCCTCAGCCCCCCAGCCCCCCAGCGCCGCAGCCCCGCAGCGCCTCAGCCCCTCAGCCCCCCAGCCCCTCAGCCCCTCAGCGCCTCAGCCCCGCAGCCCCGCAGCCCCCCAGCCCCCCAGCCCCCCAGCCCCCCAGCCCCGCAGCCCCTCAGCCCCTCAGACCCCAGCCCCTCAGCGCCTCAGCCCCGCAGCCCCTCAGCCCCTCAGCCCCTCAGCGCCTCAGCCCCCCAGCCCCTCAGCCCCGCAGCCCCTCAGCCCCTCAGCCCCTCAGCGCCTCAGCCCCGCAGCCCCTCAGCCCCGCAGCGCCTCAGCCCCTCAGCCCCCCCAGCCCCTCAGCCCCTCAGCGCCTCAGCCCCGCAGCCCCTCAGCCCCGCAGCCCCTCAGCTCCCCACCCTCCCAGCTCCTCAGCCCCTCGGTCCCCCAGCCCTTCAGCCTTCCAGTCCCGCAGCCCCCCTTCTGCCTCCTCATTTCTCACTTTCTGTCTACCACCCTTTGTGCTCACATCTAAGTTAAATCAGCTGTCAGTTCAGCTCTTGTTCTCCTTGATCTTTGCAACATTGAAAAGATAGTAGAAAACACAAATGCACACTCCTAAAGGCTCTTAACAGGCTGGGCACTGTGTCTCACGCTTGTGATCCCAGCACTTTGGAAGACAAAGGTGGGAGGATTGCTTGAGCCCGGATGTTGAAGACCAGCCTGGCCCACATGGCAAGACCCTGTTGCTCAGAAAAAAAAAAAAAAGCAGAAATTAGCTGGGTGCGGTGGCTCACGCCTGTGGTCTCAGCTATTGGGAGGCTGGGGTGGGAGGATTGATTGAGCCCAGGAGGTTGAGGCTACAGTGAGCCATGATGGTGCTACTGCATTCCAGCCTGGGCGACAGCAAGACCCTATTTCAAAAAAAGGAGAAAGTTGTACAGTATAGAACAATACAAAGAAGGAAAGAATTAACCAAAATCCAGGGTCTCAGAAACAACTGGGGGGACATGGTGTTGGTGGCCAGCCCTCCTGATGTCCCTGGGCGTTTTCCGTACATGCCTGCCATGTGCTGTCTTGGAACCTGGGCCTTCCACTGGGCAGGAGGTCAAGGGCATCTTCCAGTAAAGACACCTGGATGGGACTCCACGTCCTTCTCCATGGTGTGCTTCCTCAGAGGGTGCACCCGCCCCAGTAGGGACACTGTGCTGTTTTTTTATTTTTTTTGAGATGGAGTCTCTCACTGGCCTGGAGTGCAGTGGCACTACCTCAGCTCACTGCAGCCTCCGCCTCCCGGGTTCAAGCAATTCTCCTGCCTCAGCCTCCCGAGTAGCTGGGACTACAGGTGCTGCCACCACGCCCAGCTAATTTTTTTTTTTTTTTTTTTTTTGAGACGGAGTTTCACTCTTGTTACCCAGGCTGGAGTGCAATGGCGCAATCTCGGCTCACCGCAACCTCCGCCTCCTTGGTTCAGGCAATTCTCCTGCCTCAGCCTCCTGAGTAGCTGGGATTACAGGCACGCGCCACCACGCCCAGCTAATTTTTTTTTTGTATTTTTAGTAGAGACGGGGTTTCACCATGTTGACCAGGATGGTCTTGATCTCTCGACCTCGTGATCCACCCGCCTCGGCCTCCCAAAGTGCTGGGATTACAGGCTTGAGCCACCACGCCCGGCCAGCTAATTTTTGTATTTTTAGTAGAGACGGGGTTTCACCATGTTGGCCAGGATAGTCTTGATCTCTTGACCTTGTGATCCGCCCACCTCGGCCTCCCAAAGTGCTGGGATTTCAGGTGTGAGCCACCACCTTTGGCCTACTGTGCTATTAACAGCTGCATTGAACACCCCGGCCTGCCAAGTCAGAGTTCATATCCCATTTTGCAGCATTTTGCAGCTGTTAGCGTGGGCTCTGCTGCCCTCCCCTGCTTTCTGAGGCCTCTGCAGGGTCCTCCCAGCCTGCCCCTTTCTCATTTGGCCTCTTGGCTGCCTGTTCTGCCCACTATCTGGACAGTCCGATCTTTCTTGTCCTTCTCCATGTCTTCCTTGTGGCTTCAGTTACCCCAGACCTGTACCTGGGTATTTTCTCAAGTCCCCTCAGCCCAGGGATCATCAAAGGAGAACCCGTTTCACCCTTCCCTGCGCCAGGCTCCGCCTCTCGGGCTCTGTGGTCACTGAGCCAGTGCTGTGTCCTTGGGCTCACTTCACGCCCTGGCCTTGTGTGCTTGCTCTCCCACCCTGCCTGTCCGTCCCCACCCTGCTCAGACGTTGGCTTCTCAGGGGGAGTTTTTCGTCATGGTTCTGGAAGTGTCAGGGCTTCCTCGTACTCCTCCCTTGCTCTCCCTGTCACAGAAGCCTCTGTCTGGCACGCTCCGGACGCCTCGTTTACTGGTCTGCCAGAGGTCTCCTTGCAGACAGGGATGCTCTTCCTCTGTCTCCTGAGCCCTGTCCCATCCTCGTTCCAGGCTCTATTCCTGCCCCTCTGCCATCTTTCCTCCCTGGGATCAGTGCGGGTCCTGTTGGGAGGCAGGACTGCCAGTGCCTAAGGACTGGGCTTTGGAATTCAGAAAACGAGCCCGAGCCCCACGTTTCGGGGCTGTGTGCCATGAGTGCCTCTGTGACCTCAGGTCCTTGCCTGGAAAGAGGGGCAGCCCTCCCTTCCCACAGATGTTGGGGGGGCCTCTGCGAGCCTGGCATGGCTTGGGGCAGGAGGTGCAGAGGGAGGAGACAGCTGAGGCCCTGGCCTCAGAGAGCCCAGTGAGGGCAGGAACAGGCCTGTAAGAGAACCTGAGACCCCCATCTGTGGCAGGCAGGCCCTTGGCCCCATCACCCTGATGTATGGTACTGGCTTTGGATGCTTGAGGTGGCTGGCAGAGGGAGGTGGGTGGGATTCAAGGGGAAAACCAGGCCGTTCGTTGCCATCAGACTCCTGCCCAGGCACAGGCAGAAGCAGAGGTGCAGAGGCCCTGACCCTTTCCTCATGGGCCCCCAGGTCACACGAGGGGCTGAGTGTGCCTTGCCTGGCCAGGGCCTCTGGCTGGAGCAGCTGGGCAGGGCTGCTTGGTTGTCAGGAGTATGGGAGGGGTGCAGATTAGGGTCCGTGTTGGGGGCTGCACGGTGTGCAATGGTGTGGGGCTTGTGTCGCCCACACTGGCCACTGCTGGACTGCCGGCACTATGTTCGCTGTGGCGTGGCTGAGGCTGCGTGGCATCCCTCCATAGCCCCACCACCAGTAGGCACCCAGTTCCAGCACGCAGGCACCCAGGCCCTTGCCTGCCTGGGGACAGGTCCTGGAGGAGGCGGCCTCATTGGTCTGCAGCTCTGCTGAGGGTCTAGCCACAGCCCAGGAGTGACCCCAGTTGAGCTCTTGGCCCCACAGACCAGCACTTGTCTCTGTTGGGCACCAAGGATCACCACACAGTGCCCACTACTCAGCCAGCGGTCCTCAGCCACTTTGAGAGGCCAGGGGAAGCTGGCAGGGGAGGGCGTGTGGGCTGCAGGCCTCAGCCCTGGGCGTGGTGGCGTGGGGCTTGGTCCCCCGTGTTCCCCATCCTGTGAGTGGAAGTGGCCCAGTGTCTGTCCACACAGCAGTGCCTCTCACCCGCCCTCTCCTGAGCAGGGGCTGGCCAGGATGTGGGCCGAAGCTGCATCCTGGTGTCCATCGCAGGCAAGAACGTCATGCTGGACTGTGGGATGCACATGGGCTTCAATGACGACGTGAGTCCCTGGGCAGGTGGCCCAGAGGTTGGGAGGGCGGGCCATCCACAGCAGGACCCTGGGCCTCGGAGCTCGGGCAGTGGGGCAGTGGGCAGCAGTGGTCGTGCCTGGATGGCTGTACCCTGGAGGGAGCAGGGATGGGTGGGCCCGGCTGACGCGAGTCCCTACGTGAGGAGGTCCCCTTGCGTTGCACTGGGCCCTAGCCCCGGGGTCCTATAGGGTGGGCTCAGCTTCCAGCTCAGATCTGCCGTGAGCTTGTGGGGAACTTGGGCTCTCCGGGTGCTGTGAGCAGCCAGGGATCCTGATGCCGCCTGCGGGGCGGGAGTGCCCAGCCTGGCCTTCAGTCTGCACACACAGTCCTGCCTCTTGGGAGCCGCTTCCTGGGGCATGGGCGCTCCCACACGCTGCCTGGAGACCACGGCCGCGACCTGATGCCCTCATGCCATTCCCAGCGGCGCTTCCCTGACTTCTCCTACATCACTCAGAACGGCCGCCTCACAGACTTCCTGGACTGTGTGATTATCAGGTGGGCACCCGCTAGGGGCCTTGAGGGCCCCATGTCTGTGCCTGTGCGGCCTGAGCCCCCATACTGGGCCTTGGCAGCCTTTGGCAAGGGGCCTGCACCATTCTTGATCCTCAGAGGTCTTCGGGGCCCCAGGATCTGCTCCCTGCTTGCCTTACTGGTCACACACATGGCCTGGTCTCTGCCTGTTCTTCTGGCTCTGCCCTCTGAACTTGGCCCTCCAGGCTTCACCCTCTCCCATGCCTTCACTGTCTCAGGAGCTTTAAACTCCATTGTCTATTGGCAATTCCAGAGGTCCGAGTCTGCCCTGACTCCAGCCTTTAGGGTCCAGCGTCTTATGACCCACTGGTCTGGGTGGCCTTGGCTGGATGGCCACAGCACCCCTGCTGGTCCCTCCTACCCTGCCCTGTCCTCCCCAGCAGCCAGAGGGGCCCGTGAGGCCTGGAGAAGCACCCCCTCCGGAGGCAGCATCCTCACCCTCGTGGTTGTGGTTTATTCTTGGACACAGCAGTGCCTCTAGTGCGTTTTCGGGGCTCACCAGGCACTGTCCGTGCCCTCGGGTCTGTGCCACCTGCACCTGCAGTGCCACTCAGCCTGTCTCGACCACCTGAAAAGCCAGCGGCTCCCCCACTCACGGTTCCTTGGCGGCTTTGCGTGGTTTTGCAGGCGCGTCACCATCACTAACGTTCACTGTCCCGTTTGCTTACTGCCTTGCTAGATTTCCAGACTGAAGGTTCGAGGGAGAGAGTTTTGTGTTTGCTCGTTCCTGACTTTTCAGTCCTTGGGACGGGGTCTGATGTACAGTAGGCACTCAGTGAACGAAGGGACGAGTGACCCGAAAGCGCAGAGTGGCGGGGGCGGTGAAGGCTGGGGTGGGGTGGGCCCAGGCTGACACATGCTGCGTCCCCCCAGCCACTTCCACCTGGACCACTGTGGGGCACTCCCCTACTTCAGCGAGATGGTGGGCTACGACGGGCCCATCTACATGACGCACCCTACCCAGGCCATCTGCCCCATCCTGCTGGAGGACTACCGCAAGATCGCCGTGGACAAGAAGGGCGAGGCCAACTTCTTCACCTCCCAGATGATCAAAGACTGCATGAAGAAGGTGGTGGCCGTCCACCTCCACCAGACAGTCCAGGTCAGGCTCCCGGGGCCGCCCACCTCCACCAGACAGTCCAGGTCAGAATCCCGGGGCCGCCCACCTCCACCAGACAGTCCAGGTCAGGCTCCCGGGGCCGCAGACGGCACAGTCACCGCCCACCCCACACCAACCGTGCCTTCCCCGTGCTCTGCACAGCCTTGGGAAGGCTGGGGCCTCGCTCTTGTGCCCAGCACCATGGGGACACTAGGAGGAGGCACCTGTCGAGCATGCGGGTCCCAGACCAGACTGGGTGCTGGCCCCAGGAGAGCGCATGTAGGGTGGGGTGTGCCCTGGTCTCTGAACCACCGGGCTCTGTCTGTGTAGCATCGAAGAGGCCAGAGTGGGAACTCAGAGCACTCGGAGTTGCCAGAGACTCGCTGGAGCTCCTGGGGTGTCACCAGGAGGGAGGCAGGGGCCAGAGGGGAGATGGGCCAGCTCTGAAGGGCGCCCGGTTCTGGGTGTGGTAACTTGTGTCAGGGTCAGGGAGGAAGTGAAGTAGGCAAGTGACAGCTCAGATTTGTGAAATTTCTCCCAAAAAGAATGGATTTGTTGCTGGGCGCGGTGGCTCAAGCCTGTAATCCCAGCACTTTGGGAGGCCGAGGCGGGTGGATCACGAGGTCGAGAGATCGAGACCAACCATGGTCAACATGGTGAAACTCCGTCTCTACTAAAAATACAAAAAATTAGCTGGGCATGGTGGTGCGTGCCTATAATCCCAGCTACTCGGGAGGCTGAGGCAGGAGAATTGCCTGAACCCAGGAGGCGGAGGTTGTGGTGAGCCGAGATCGCGCCATTGCACTCCAGCCTGGGTAACAAGAGCAAAACTCCGCCTCAAAAAAAAAAAAAAAAAAAAGAATGGGTTTGTCTTTCTTATTAGAGTCTGCGGGTGTTGCTTTCATATTTTTGAAACTGTATTATGTTCCTATATATTTTGGAACATTTCATTTTTCTGCTTGAACTTGTGAAAATGAAGTGTATTTATCTTCTTTGGTTTGAAATTTTTTTATTATTATTTTGTGAGACAAGGTCTCTGACTCTGTTGCCCAGGCTGGAGTGTGATCTTGGCTTACTGCAGCCTCAGCCTCCCCAGCTCAGGTGATCCTCCCACCTCAGCCTCCCAAAGTACTGGATTACAGGTGTGAGCCACCACACCTGGCAACTAGCTCCCTTACTGTTTTTCAACCCAGCAAGACATGATCTCTAATGCCTGGTGACATCAACATGTGCTTAGTCTTTTTTTTTGAGGGGACAGAGTTTAACTCTTGTCACCCAGACTGGAGTGCAGTGGCAAAATCTCTGCTCACTGCAACCTCTGTCTCCCGGGTTCAAGTGATTCTCCTGCCTCAGCCTCCTGAGCAGCTGGGATTACAGGCATCCACCACCACGCCCAGCTAATTATTTTGTACTTTTAGTAGAGATGGGGTTTTGCCACATTGGGCAGGCGTGTTTTGAGCTCCTGACCTCAGGTGATCCGCCTGCCTTGGCCTCCCAAAGTGCTGAGATTACATGTGTGAGCCCCTGCACCCAGCTGCTCAGTTTTATTTATGTTTGTTTTCTTTGTTTTGTTTCCTGCATTTTTTCCATCTTTTACTTGGTATAATTTGCTTTTTGCCTGAAGAATATCAGCATGGGTCTGCTGGTGATTCTGTCATTTTTATTTGCCTGCATGTGGATTTATTTCACCCTCATTCTTGAAGAACTTTTTCCTCTCAGGTGTGTAGAATTTTAGGTTGACTCTGCACTTTGCATGCATCGTCCTTTCTCCTGTCTCAAAGGCCATCTCTGGGCATGGGCACCTGTAGGGTTATGGCCTTCACCTTGGTTTTTGGTGCTTATGCGCTGATGGACCAATTTTTTTTTGAGACAGAGTCTCACTCTGTCTCCCAGGCTGGACTGCAGTGGTGTGATCTCGGCTTACTGCAACTTCTGTTTCCCGAGTTCAAGTGTTTATCCTACCTCAGCCTCTTGAGTTGCTGAGACTACAGGCGAGCACACCACACTGGGCTAATTTTTGTGGGTTTCACCCTATTGACTAGGCTGGTCTCGAACTCCTGACCTTGTGATCTGCCCGCCTCAGCCTTCCAAAGTACTGGGATGACAGGTGTGAGCCACTGCACCCGGTCCCAACATGTATTCTCAGCCTCTTCAGAGTTTGGGGCCTCTTGGCTCTGTGGCTTGATGCCTTTCACACGTTTCTTCCAGTGCTGCTTCTGCCCCATTCTTGCTCCCTCTCCTCTGGGGCCCTGAGTCTGACGTTTGTTCCACCTCTGGAAACTTCATCATCTGTTTGTCTTTCCTGTTTCCTGATGGATATTCCCTCCACTGTCTTTCAGTTCATGAATTCTGTTTTCTGGTTATGTGTCATAGGCGGTAAATTCATCCATTGAATTCCTAATTTGGGTTGTTACAGTTCCTGGTTTTAGAATTTTCCCTTTTGTTTTTTAAACTGAGTTTTGCTCTTGTTGCCTAGGCTGGAGTGCAGTGGCACAATCTCAGCTTACTGCATCCTCCACTTCCCAGGTTCAAGTGATTCTCCTGCCTCAGCCTCCTGAGTTGCTGGGATTTTAGGTGCAACCCTCCATGCCCAGCTCATTTTTGTATTTTTAGTAGAGATGGAGTTTCACCATGTTGGCCAGGCTGGTCTCGAAATCCTGACCTCAAGACATCTGCCTGCCTTGGCCTCCCAAAGTGCTGGGATTACAGGCATGAGCTGCCACTGCCCGGCCGCCAACATTCTTCATCTCGTCTTTCATCTCTGGTGTATTTGGAGTCCACGCTGGAAACTGTGCCTTCAGCACCCCTCAGTCTTCCGTCTGTTCTTTCCTGTTCTTGGTCCTTGCTGCCTGTCCCTCATGAACTGGGTGCTGTGTGAGAAACGGAATGAAAGGCTCAGTGTGGTGCCCTCACTTCCTACCCCTGCCACCCCCGCCCCTCTGCTGTGATGGTGGAGCCTGAGCGTGGCCCTGTCCTCCACAGGTGGATGACGAGCTGGAGATCAAGGCCTACTATGCAGGCCATGTGCTGGGGGCAGCCATGTTCCAGATTAAAGTGGGCTCAGAGTCTGTGGTCTACACGGTCAGTGGAAGGGGCTGGAGGCTTGGGAGGGCTGCTGCTGGGGTGGGAGGCACCCTCACCATGGCGGCCTTGTTCATTCACCAGGGTGATTACAACATGACCCCAGACCGACACTTGGGGTAAGTCTGCCGAGGCGTCTTTTGACCTGCAGGCCCCCTTGGAGCTCGTGCACCCTTGTAGTTGTGGGGATGTCAGCCCTTGAGTGGACAGCCCAGCAGTGTCTCCCAGGTCTGGTGCGGCCCGGAGATCCCCTTCCTTCTGGGCTCAGTTTCGCGAAGGCACAGGGTCCAGGCGGAGACCTCTGTGCCTCCCCTGTCTTCCCAAGTGTGCTGTCCACAGCATTTTACCAGCCAGAGTGGCCTAGGAAGGCGGCCGGGGTGGGACTGGGGTCCAGCTTGTCACACCCAGCCCTGCAGCTGTGGGGACAGTCTGCCACGGCTCACACCCCCACCCATGTTCCAGAGCTGCCTGGATTGACAAGTGCCGCCCCAACCTGCTCATCACAGAGTCCACGTATGCCACGACCATCCGAGACTCCAAGCGCTGCCGGGAGCGAGACTTCCTGAAGAAAGTCCACGAGACCGTGGAGCATGGTGGGAAGGTAGCCGCACGCAGCAGGGCTGGGGACACAGGCCCTTGGTCATGCCTGGCAGGTCTTTCTGGCAGGCTTGGCTGACCTTGGCATAGGTCAGGGTCTCAGAGTGTAGGGTGCTGCATCTTCAGGTAGGGAGAGAGGAAAGTTTGCTCAGCATTGAGGAGAAAAGCTCAGAGACCCTTCCCTAGGGAGCCCCTTTGCCCCTCCTACCTCAGATCCCAATGAAGCCTTGGCCCCCACGCCGCTCTCTTCTGTCTCTGGAGAGTCGCTGGGATGGGACTGGGAGCAGATATGAGAGGCTGAGGTCCACACGGGGCCGCAACTCTTGGACGCCTGGCTGTGCCCTCACTGGACACTGCCTGCTGTGCCAAGGGGCCACGCAGCCTGGGCTCCTGCTTGGGCCAAGCCTAGTGTGTCCCCCAGGTGCTGATCCCCGTGTTCGCGCTGGGCCGCGCCCAGGAGCTCTGCATCCTGCTGGAGACCTTCTGGTAGGTGCTACCAGGACAGACGGCTCTTTCAGGAGCCCTGCCCCGGGTTGGAAGCTGCGGCCATGTGTTGGCCCAGCATGCACAGTCCAGTGGCACGACAACCACTGGGTGTGGGGGGAGGCCTGTGACGTTCCATCGGTGCCACTGTTTGTGGCTCTTGATGGGGTTCCTGGTCCTCCACCACGCTCAGCTGCCACAGGGCTTAATGGGAGATAGGGTGCAGGCACTGGCGTCCTATGGTCATGATGGGAGACTGGGCTCAACCTGGCCTGTGCATGGGTCGTGCAGACGAGGTTGTGGGGGGTGACCCGGCTGAGTCCTGCCCTGCGGTGTCCTCCCGTGGCCGCTGTGCTGACCAGGATGTGGTCCCCAGGGAGCGCATGAACCTGAAGGTGCCCATCTACTTCTCCACGGGTCTGACTGAGAAGGCCAACCACTACTACAAGCTGTTCATCCCCTGGACCAACCAGAAGATCCGCAAGACTTTCGTGCAGAGGAACATGTTCGAGTTCAAACACATCAAGGCCTTTGACCGGGCTTTTGCTGACAACCCAGGGCCAATGGTGAGGCCCTGTGGTGGGGCTGGCCAGTGTGTCCACATCAGGTGGCCTGTCTACAGGTCCCCACCCATGGGTCTCTGGGCTTGGCCTGCAGCGGGGGTGGGGGGCTTCTCCTGCCCCGACTCGACCCCTCCGCCCTGTCTCTCGCAGGTTGTGTTTGCCACGCCAGGAATGCTGCACGCCGGGCAGTCCCTGCAGATCTTCCGGAAATGGGCAGGAAACGAGAAGAACATGGTGAGGGCTGTGGTGAGATGCAGGAACCTGGAGGCTAGTGGGTTGTCCTGACACACTCTCCCTGAGCTCTTGCTGGCCTGGCCCCATGCTGGTCGAGGGACGTGGCTGCTGCCACCAGGAGATGAGGGTGACGTCCCACTGGGGCCTTTGAGTCTCCCTGTGATGCAGCCCGTCCACCTCAGGCAGAAGAGCCCCAGCCCAGCCCTGGACAGTCTTGTGCCAAAACCTGAGCCCTTTGGAGTCTGCAGCTAGGCTTGGGAGGGCACCACTGGCAGGTGGAAACAGCTTCCAGGGGTTCAAGTTGGGGCATCCCAGGGAAGGCCCTGAGGTGCCAAGGCTGGGGTCCTGTGGCTGTGAGCTCTGTGTCCGCCCCCCCCCCCCCGCCCCCAGGTCATCATGCCCGGCTACTGCGTGCAGGGCACCGTGGGCCACAAGATCCTCAGTGGACAGCGGAAGCTGGAGATGGAGGGGCGGCAGGTGGTGAGTCCCAACCCCCTCATGGGCTGGCAGGGCCGAGGGGCACCTCCTGGTGGTAACTGCTGTCCATGCCCTGCAGCTGGAGGTCAAGATGCAGGTGGAGTACATGTCATTCAGTGCCCATGCGGACGCCAAGGGCATCATGCAGCTGGTGGGCCAGGCAGAGCCGGAAAACGTGCTGCTGGTGCATGGCGAGGCCAAGAAGATGGAGTTCTTGAAGCAGAAGATTGAGCAGGAGCTCCGTAGGCAGCTGGGCGGGTGGTGTGGGGCCCACCTTGGGTCAGCATGGGCAGCCTGCACTGAGACCGTCTCTTCCTCGGGGTCCAGGGGTCAGCTGCTACATGCCGGCCAATGGCGAGACGGTGACGCTGCCCACGAGCCTCAGCATCCCCGTAGGCATCTCGCTGGGGTTGCTGAAGCGGGAGATGGCGCAGGGTACGCGAGCAGGGCCGGGTGGGGCGGGGTGCTCAGGGTGGGTGGCTGGGGGTGGCCCTTACGTTGACAGCCCCCGCTGCCTCCACAGGGCTGCTCCCTGAGGCCAAGAAGCCGCGGCTCCTGCACGGCACCTTGATCATGAAGGACAGTGTGAGTGGCAGGGTGGCCTCCAGAGTGGGGAGGGCCGCTGCTGCGCTCTCTGACCTGCCCCTGCCCCTGCCCCACAGAATTTCCGGCTAGTGTCCTCAGAGCAAGCCCTCAAAGAGCTGGGCCTGGCTGAGCACCAGCTGCGCTTCACCTGCCGCGTGCACCTGCACGATACGCGCAAGGAGCAGGAGACTGCACTGCGTGTCTACAGCCACCTCAAGAGGTGGGCGCCCTGCCCCGCCCCTCCACCCGCTCGGGCCCTGGGGGCAAGGCAGGGTCTCACGGAGCCTCCCCGCAGCATCCTGAAGGAGCACTGTGTGCAGCACCTCCCGGACGGCTCAGTGACGGTGGAGTCCATCCTGATCCAGGCCGCTGCCCCCTCCGAGGACCCAGGCACCAAGGTGCTGCTGGTCTCTTGGACCTACCAGGTAAGGGGTGGCCCCCGCCCCACCGAGCTCAGCTCAGATGTCACCACCCCTCCCTGTCCCACGCTGCCCACGTCCTTGCCTCTGCCCTAGGATGAGGAGCTGGGGAGCTTCCTCACGTCCCTGCTGAAGAAAGGCCTCCCCCAGGCTCCCAGCTGAGGCCGGCCGCCCACCTCTGCCTTCACCCAGCTGGAGAGACCTGGGCCTGCACTTCAGGACGGTGGGTGCGCTGGGTGGACAGACCCTGCGGATCCAGTCCCTGGGGACAGAGGCTGTGGGTCACCTGCCTGCCCGAGTAGCTGTTTGCAGCTAAAGAAATAAACTGACCTCCGGGCTGTTTTGCCTTTATTCTTGCTCCTGGCCCTCAAAACAATGGTTAGGGCAGGGGGTCCCAGACAGCAGTTTCCAGTAAAAGCTGAACAAAAGACCACTTGGTGCCCCTGACTACATCCTGCACTGCACCCTGCCCTGCCCGGGACAGAGATGGGCATCCGGGGTGGTGGGACCCAGGTAGATGGGGCTAATTTGGAGGTCAGGCAGCAGTGCTGTGGGCCCCAGGCAGCTGTGACTGCCCTGGCTTTACCAGCACAGGGCTGCTGGGCCTGGTGTGGCCTGATTTTGGCCGAGTGTCCAGGGTCATTCATGGCTCTCAAACTGTGGCCCCTGCAGGGTGCAGGAAGCAGCATCTGTGGACACACCAGACACTGCGTCAGGTTGGGGCAAGGTCGGCCCAGAGCCCTCCCTGCTACTGGGATCACTCCCAGGACCAGGGCAGGGCAGGCTGGGCTGAGGGGCTGCAACCCTGGGGGACTTCACTCCTCCAGTTACTGGCTCCCGGCCCCCCCACCCCACCCCTTGACTCTCTAGTTGGGCAATGGCCAGATTCCTGCCTGGCCAGGTGGCAGGAAGGCTGTGCCTTCCCCCGTGAGGACTGGGCCTCAGCAGTCAGTGGGCATACAGCAGAACCGTTCTTTGGCCCACTGTTCTTACCAAGGCTCCCGTACAGAACTGACTTCAGGAATAAGCCGTGGGCTGGGGCCAGGCGTGTCTGGTGCTTGCCCAGGGGGTCTTGGCTCTCCAAAATTGTCTTCACCTGGGCAGGTGCCAAAGCCCCCAGCCCCACAGCCACCAGCACAGCTGTCATCCTCCGTACCTGTGACCCAGAGCCGAGACTGCACAGGGGCCTGCCCACCCTAAGCCCCACCCGCCCAGGGAGGACCCGGGAACAGAGCCCACCTGTCTATACAGGAAGGACTGGCCCTCAAACTCTAGGCTCCAGAACTGCAGCTTCCTGGAAAAACAAGTACCTGTAGGTGCCTGTGGGGCAGCCCACCAGCCTGAGACATGGAGAGTGATAGGGCGGGGCCTCAGACAGGCCTGGTTCCCACTGGCTCGTCCACCAGGGGCCCTGGCTGACCCCCTGCCCTAGTGAGGCAGACAGGCAATCCAGAGGCTGGGCAGGTAGCCTGGCCGTCCCTGAGGCGCTTGCCCTGGGACCTCACCTGCGGTCCTCGTGCAGGGACTGGGAGTGTGGCTGGTGCACGTGCCAGAGGCCCAAGCCCTATACCTGCCTCTCTGCCCGGGAGTCGGGCTGGCAGAAGTTCTTCCTTCTCTCAGGGCTCACCCCAACAGGGCAGGTTCTGTGGTCAGAAGCTGCCACCTTGTGAGGGGTTCTCTGGACAGTACCGGGAGCAGCAGAAACCAGCCACTGCCAGGTTGGGCCAGAATCACTGGCCCCAGTGAAACCTTTCCGGTAGCTGCCAAGATTGTTTCATTAAGCAGGGCAGGGGTTTTTCAAAGAAAGGTGGCCCTCCCTGTGCTCTGCTGCTCAGCCTGAGGGGAGGGCACAGCTGCAGACTGGGGGCGTCCTGGCCGCTCCACTGCCCCACATCCTCCAGCTGACCAGGCCCTGAGAATGCCTGGCTGTCCCTGTCCCTCCTGGCCTTGCCTTTGCTGAGGGAGGTGCTGGAGCCAAAATTAGTGCTGCCAGCCTGAGGGCAGGACCACAGCCTCTGGGCCCTTCCTCACCTGCTCTCCTGGGGGGTGACCAAGGGGCCGGCCAGGCCTGGGGACACGGAGACACGGCGCAGTGTCCGCACGGGGCTTGGTACGGGGCTGCCGGCCGACTGGAAGGCGCTGAAGTCGTGTGTGCCGAGGAGGTGCTGGGCCGCTTCTTGCATGGAGGCCACGTCTAGGCGGCTTCAGGGATCAAGGGAACGGTCAGGAAGGGGGGCCGGCCTGCCCCCTCCCTGCTCACTGTCAGGGCCACACTCACTCTGCCCGGAGAGCCCAGCATAGGTTGCGTTCAAACACGGGCAGCTCGTCAGACCGGTGACAGCCAGTGACCAGGCGGTACAGGTAGGTCCGGGACGTGGCCGCGTGGCGAGCGTGGAAGTCGCCGGGCACTCGGAAGGCCCGCAGGACCCTGGGACAGCGGGTCAGGCTCACCGGGGGAACGACCCCTTGGGCTGCCCAGACCTCCAACCGCGTCCGCGACAGATGGTTCGGGAAGGCAGAGCCGCGGGGCTGCTCAGTTCGCGGGCTCACCTGATGGCCGGGTGCCGCAGGTGGGTGTTGAGGGCCTCGGTCAGGACCTCGGGCGGGAAGGGCGGCCGGCCGGAGCGGCGCTGGACGTCCAGGTGCGCCGCGTTGCTCAGGGCGTGGACCCCGGCGTCTGTGCGGCTGGAGACGGTGAACCTGACCGGCTCCACGGAATTGAGCCGCTCGGCGGCCTCCTGCAGGACCGAGCCGCGGGGCGGGCAGGTGGGCCAGGCCGGACTCCGGGGACGCGCGGGCGGGGCCTCCCCCCTGCCCTTCACCGGGCGTCCCGGGACCCGCCGAGCTCACCTCCAGGTAGTTCTGGACCCCGACGGCGCGCTGGGCGCCCCTCACGGCTGCCACCCCGCTGCGGGTAGAGGCGGGCGGAGGTTACCGGGGCCGCCCCGCCCTGAGGTCTCGGCCGCCCCCTGAGGCCACAGCCGCTTCCTCCCCCGGACGTTTGGAACTCGCTTCCGGAGCCCTCCGCCTGCCCGCCCGCGCCCTCCTTCCCGCCTCCACCCGGGCCCACGTAGTGGTCCCCGCCGCGCTCGGGAGACCTACTTAAAGCCGGTGCCCACGTACTGGAAGTACACGAGGTAGCGCGCGCGCACCGAGCCCGCGGCCGGCGCCGAACCCATGGCCGAGCCCAGCCAGCGGCGCGGGAGGCGGTCTCCGGCGCGCGCACGCGGCACGGTCACGCTCTTGCGCATGCGCGGTCGCCCGCCCCCGGCAGCGCGCCACGGCGGCCTGGGGCGGGGAGCGGAGGCGGGGCCGGGCTTAGGGAGCGGTTGCAAAGTGCCCGCCCGCCGCCGAGCGCAGGGGCTTCACCGCCACCGCGGCGCCCGGGAAGGCGAGCTCGCAACCACGCGGTGACCCCGCGCTCCCGCGGGCGTGCGTTCGTTCACTCGCTCGTGCATTCGCCGCCGCCCGCACTCCCCGAGTGCGCTCGTTTGCCGCGTTGCGGCCGAGTCCTCCCAGACGTGGTTTTTGCAAACGCCCTGAGTTGCGCAACGGCCCGGATGGCTGGGGCCGGCGGGCTCCGCGCCCCACGGCCCGGCCGACCCTCCCCGAAGTCGACAGCTGCGGTCCCCGCCTCGCTTCCGGACCCGGGTGGTCCGTGGACGCTGAGAGGGGCGTTTGGCGACGCTCCCCGGCGGTGACGTCGGGCGGCGCGCGCGAGCCGCGGACTTTGGCGACGCTCCCCGGCGGTGACAGCGGGCGGCGCGCGCGGGCGGCGGACGTTGGCGACGCTCCCCGGCGGTGACAGCGGGCGGCGCGCGCGGGCGGCGGACTTTGGCGACGCTCCCCGGCGGTGACAGGCGGGGCGGGGCGCGGCGCGGCGGCCTCATTCCCGGGCGGGCGGGCGCCGAGGCGGCGCGGGCGGGACGAGCGGGCCGGGCCGGCGCGGCTGCCGCTCGGCGCCGCGGTCCTCGTGCCAGGGAGCGCCGCGGCCGCCGCAGCCATGACCGTGGAGTTCGAGGAGTGCGTCAAGGACTCCCCGCGCTTCAGGTGCGCCGCCGGGGGCCGCCGGGGTGGGCGCGGGCCGGGGCGTCGCTGCCGCCTTTGTGCCCGGCGGCGGGCTGGGGAGGTCGGCTCCGGGCCGGGCCGCGGCCGCCGGGGAGGGGCCGGAGGACCAGCCTCGGACAAAGCGGCGGCCCCGCCCCGCCGTGCCCCGGGGGCCGGAACAAAAGGCGCCCCTGTGCGGCCGCCCCGCGACCGTCCGCCCCCGCTTTGTGTCTGCGCCTCCGCGGAGCTGAGCCCCTCCCGGGCCCTGCGGTCCCGCTCCGGCCGGGGTCGTCTGGGTCCGTGGGGCGTCGGCCCCCGGTCTGTGCTTCGATCTCGTGTCCGGGGCAGCGCGTGGGGGACAGGCAGCGGCAGCCGGGTTTGAGGCCCGGGGCGGGCTGCGTGGAAGCCTGAAGCGGTTTGAATGGCCCAGGGCCCTGGAGGGGAGGGGCTGAGAAGAGCGGGGGGCGAGGTGGGGGGCAGGGGCTGCGTCCACCCCGAGTCTGAGTGCTTTCCATCGTTCCCGGCGTGCAGGTGGACACGCCTGCGGGAACCGGGCGTTCGCAGACGTGTGCACAAGGGTGCCTCAGCCTCGCTTGTGGACATTTGGCAAACGGCAACCGAGGCAAAGAAGCCTCTGTCCATCCTCAAGGGCGCACCTGCCTGCGGCTCCCGCCTCTGCACAGGCTTGTGCAGGGCGCGCCCTCGTGAGCTCTGCCCCTCTGTGCGCCTCGGCCGGGGCGCCAGGCCTTGCACGGCACGTGAGGGTGAGCTGTGCCACTGGGCTGTGCGAGGTGCCTGCATGTAGCCTACCGATGGATGCACGCGGGCGTGCGCGCGCGCCGCTTCTGTGTGGGTTCACGCACTGTTAGCCACGTCACCAACGGACACACGTCAGCTTGTACACGCGTGTGCCGCCACTGGGTGTGCGTCGGTGTGTGTGCACGCTCTCCTTAGACACACTTGTATGTGTGGTGCCACTGTGCAGGCATGTGCATGAACGTGTTTGCACATGTGTGCTTGGTCGTGCGTGTGTGCGTGTGTGTGTGTGTGTGTGTGTGCACGTGCTGGGTCTCTTGGGACCTGCTGGCAAGTCAGCCTGCGTGTGGAGGCATGGGGAGCCTCAGCATCCCTGGAGCCCTCCCCAGGAGGCCTTAGGAGCCTTGGAGTGGGAGGCTCGAGGCAGCCAGATGAGTGGTCCCTGGCCTTGGGCAGAGGAACTGGGGCTGCCCTCTGCTCTCCCGTCTTCCATTGCTGACCCGGGAAAGGGATTGAACAACTCAGGCACCTCACGATCCTGCGTTGAGGAACCAGGCTGCTGTGGGGAGACGTGGGATGGCCTACCTGCTGGGGGCTGGGCCCTGGCTGAAGCACCCACCTTCTCCCTGCCTCCTCTCTCAAAAGCCTAATGGACCTCCTCCCCGACACAGAAGGGGCTGTGCTGCTCTGCCCTGTCAGGTGGGGGTGCTGGAACCCACTCCCCTCTGACGGGCTTCTGTGAGAGCAGGTTACAGGAGCTGGTTGTGGGGCCTGTGGGGCTGGGTAGGTGCTGCGGGGCGGCTGGCCAGGCTTTTGCGGGAGGTGGGGGGCTGCCATGGGAAACTACCTCACCCCCACTGGGCACAGATTGGACTGGACGCTGGTCGTGGGCCGCAGAAGCCTGGCCCAGTGAGTTTTGGGGTTAGGCTGTGATTTAACTGGGGTTTGAGGGGCTCCTAGAGGCTGACCTGGGGGTCTCCTGAATGCCCATTCTCCGGGCGTAACTTGAGCTTCCTGGTCTTCCACGGGGCTGGGAGGCCGGGCAGGGTGGGCCAGAGGACGTGGTCAGCAATGTGGAGCCTGGTCGCCCCCACCCTGGAAAGGGGGACCCTGCCTGCACCCTCCTGGTTTGGGGAGGGCCTAGTGGCAGCCCGGGTACAGTGGGCGGGGGGCCAGGGGAGCCTGCCTAGGGGAACCGCCCGGCCTCTGTTCAGCGCACCCCTCCCCTGGGTGGGGCTTCAGGAGCTGAGTCACAACTTTGGAGGTGGGGGCAGCCTCACCCTCCTCCCCATCCTCCAAGCTGCTGAGGAAGCCTGGGCTGAGCACAGTGGAGACCTAGGCGCCAGGGCTGAGGATGGGAAAGCTCAGGGGCTTCCAGCAGTGGGTACAGCCCTCAGGGCTTCTGCCAATGACCACCCTGTCCCCATGAGCATGACTGTGAGCTCCGGGGTGCAGCTTCCTCTTTCCAGCTCTCCAGGGACACAGGTGCCCCTGGCCCAAGGGCGGCAGCTTTGGGTGCAGCTGTCTCTGCATCCGGCTGTGCTCAGGGGCGGCTGCAGATCCTGGGGCGTGGCTCTCTCTGCCGCATTCTCCCGGGCGACGGTCTCTTCTGGGTTCTGGGATCCTCCAGGGGAGGGGAGAAGCTGAGGTAGAGGTGGGGCTCCAGGGGGCTGCGGGCTGGGCCCTAGTGGTCAGCAGATACCACAGCTAGCTTACCTCCATTGCCTCCTGCTTTGGGATTCAGAATCCTTTTAGCCCCTTGTGAACAGGTGAGGGCGGCTCAGAGAGGACCTGGTGTCCTGCTGGGGTGGTTGGGACCCTCCAAGGCCCCTGACTGGGGCAGCCTGGTGCCTGAGGCCCAGATCCCAATTGAGGACACGCCCATGCAACCTGAAGGCCCCTCCGCACAGGCCTGGGACACTTGGCAGCAAGGGGTGAAGCACCGTGGGCCCGATGGCTTTTGCTGCCCGAGCCCTGTCCTAGACCTGCCCCTGGAGCCCTGCACCCTGTCCTGGCCCCAGCCCGGGCCCTGTGGTGCCCAATCCCCAGGAGGCCAGATGGCCCGGCTGGCCAGCTGAGCTGATTGTGTGGCAGGCTGCCGGGATCCTGGCCCTGTTTCCCTGTTTCCTGCTCCCGGAGGGGGGTGGTCACGTGCTGATCCGTCTGCCTCTGGTCTTCCGGGGATTCTCCCGCTGAGGCGTCTCTGGTGATGTCATTGCTTAACTCTTCTCTCCCCAGGCAGCCCCACTGTCAGGCTGTTCTGGTAGGAGTGGCTCTGAGAAGGATGGCCCATCCCTCTTTCTGGACTGCTTGCAGTTGTGAGGTTGGGGGAGCCGGGGGTGTCTTTCCTCAGCTGGTCTGAGGCCATCTGGCGCTGCCAGGACCAAGAGCAGCCACCCTGCTGCCCCCACCCTGTCCTACGGTGCATGGGCACCAGGTCTGGGTGGGCTGCAGGAGTGCAGAGGGGTGAGGGGCAGGCGCTGCAGGGTTTGGGGGTCCAGATGGGTCCAGGGTCAATTCTGAGCTCCTAGAAGAGGGGCCAGCAAGGCTGGCACAGCCCTTGGTGGGCACCATCCCTGAGGGACTCTCAGCAGCTGGCTGTCCTGGTTGAGGCTGGTCCAACCTTCTGCCCCAAGGGCACAGCAGTGCAAGTCACAGCCCATCCAGCCTCTTCCTCCCTGGGGTGGGGGAAGTGCGCTGGATGGGCGTCCCAGTCCTGCCCCAGGAAGCAGACAGGCACCTGCATCTCCCAGCCCGTTTCCTGAAAGCCCTTTCCCATGGCAGAGCCCCTCAGGGAGGTCTAAGGGGGGCGAAGCCAAGCCTGGCTCTGAGGGGGCCCAGGCTGCAGGTGACCCCAGCCAGCCCCGTTCTTGCCTTAGGGCGACCATTGACGAGGTGGAGACGGACGTGGTGGAGATTGAGGCCAAACTGGACAAGGTGAGGGGGGCCTGGGGCTCCTGTGTCCAGGACTGCTCTGTGCCCCATGCCCAGCCAGACTTGGGATGGCCGCTGGGCAGGACTGGCCCTCTGGGCCTTATGAAGCCACACCCCCCCCATATATGGAGCACACTCTGGTGCTCCAGGACCAGCACGTGTGTTCCAGGGTGTGCACGCCACATGCACATCTGTGGCTGACCCTGAGTCTCGTCCCAACCAGGAGGGGCTGGCCGTGGTGAGTCCCCGACCCACAGTGACTGCCTGTCCCTTCTGCTGGCTGCTGGGCTGGGGATGTGGGGACAGCTGCTGTGTGGGCCTAGTCTTGGTGTCCCTGGGCTGGGGCTGGGGCGGATAAAGGGGAGGGCAACAGGCTGTGGAGCTGGGAGTGAGGAGCCTCGCCCCTGAGCCCCGTGCAGGCTGGTCCTGCTGGCTCTGGGTCCTTTGCTTGGCTCCTGGTCCCTTCCAGCTGAGTGAGGCCCTGGCGGCCCCACCTCCTCTTCCCCGTCCGGCCTCCCAGCCCCAGGCAGGCCCAAGTGTGAGAAGCCTGAGCAGCAGCTGGGAGCCGGGCTGCGCACACTGAGTCCTGGGAGCCGGGCTGCGCGCAGAGTCCTGAGTGGAGCCTGCCCTCAGAGCTCTCCCCACCTGTGAGGCTGGCCTTGCGTGGTGGCAAGAGTGGGTGCCAGTGCCTACCGCACTCACCATGCCCTGCCGGCCCGCAGCTGGTGAAGCTGTGCAGTGGCATGGTGGAGGCCGGCAGGGCCTACGTCAGCACCAGCAGGCTGTTCGTCAGCGGCGTCCGAGAGCTGTCCCAGCAGTGCCGGGGCGACACTGTCATCTCGGTGAGGGGCTGACTGACCTCTGACCTCAAGGTGGGGTAGGGGAGAGGCCGAGTAAAGGAGCCCCTCGAGGGCGCCCAGGCCCGGGAGTGGGCGGGTGTCTGCGCCATTGGGGGGGCTTGGAGGGCGTGGTTGGGTGGCCTGGGCCAGAATCGCCATCTCAGCGCATGTCCCCGTCTGCTCCTCCAGGAATGTCTGCAGAGGTTTGGTGACAGCCTGCAGGAGGTGGTGAACTACCACATGGTGAGCCTGGCCTGCCCAGCTGCCTGGCCACCTGCGGGCCCCGCCCGGCCTGGCACTGAGCTTCGTGGGCTCACTGGGAGGCCACGTTTCTGCTCCTCCAGTCTGGGGGGGGGGGGCGTCCCAGGTTTTCGCGTCAGTGTGGGGTGGGGAACAGCTCCGGGGCTCTGCCGTGTCCCAGGCAAGGGCTACGCTTGACCCTGGGGTGGGGGTGGTTTTTCCAGGCTTTCCCCAACTGGGCAGGGCTCTCGTCCCAGGCTGGCCTGGCTGCCATTTGGGTCTGGGTGGCCCCCGGGGACGCCAGCACTGGCGTGGACGGACACAGGACATGCTGTGAGATGTGGGGCCGAAGCCTGGGAGCCTGAGCCTCAGACTGAACAGGGGCCCCAGCCCATAGGGGAGGTCCAGACGTAAAGCCAGCAGGAGGGCTCTGCCGCCCCTTTGCTCCTGGTCATGTGCGGCCCTCCTCTACGAGGGGCTCTGATTTGGAGCCCAGGATCTGGCTCCCTAGGCCCAGCCCTGGGTGCTGCCAGCTCTGACCCAGTGCTCCCTGCTGCGGGGATGGGCACCCTGGGGTGGCTGCCCAGAACCAGGAGGCAGTGGGGCTCAGGCTGTACCCTGAGTGCCCGAGCTGTGTGGGCCACACGAGGGGCCAGGTTGGGAAGGGAGCAGGGCCACAGCCGCTGCCACTGGGTGCCAACTCAGGCCTGGGGGCTGCTCCCCTGACCCCCTGAGGCCGGCCCTGCTGGGTGGGACCCACCCATGTCTGGGCCTGGGGGCAGTGCCCTTTGCTGGTGAGGAAGGGACCTTCTCTCTGGGGCCCTTTGGGGACCGACCCCAAGGATCTCTGCCCTCCTCTGCCCCTAGATCCTGTTTGACCAGGCCCAGAGGTCTGTGCGGCAGCAGCTCCACAACTTTGTCAAAGAGTGAGTGGCTCCCAGGCCCTCAGGGACCCCAGGGCTGGGGAAGAACACTGAGACCACTCTCCCTCCCTTGGAGGGGAGGGAAGTCTGGGCTGGAACGGGGGCACCGTGGCCCCAGGCCTCCAGGCTGCGCTGAGATTCCAAGAGGCAGAAGGCTCAGAGGCAGACAGCCGGGTGGAGCATGGGGCCCCATGCCCTGCATGTGTGGGTGGGGGGTCTAGCCCCACAGTGGAGATGTCCAGTCTACGCTGGGTTTGTGGGTCTGGAGTCCAGGCATGGCTGGTGTCTGGGCTGGACAGATCCTGAGAGCGAGGTGGGGAGGCCTGGAGCAGATGAGGGGGCAGCAGGTGAGGAAGGGAGGCTGTGCCAGGAACAGAGAAAGGGCCCAGAGTGGAGAAGGATGGGGCTGGGCGCGGTGGCCCACACCTGTAATCCCAGCATTTGGGAGGCCGAGGCCAGAGTATGCCAGGGGTTTGAGAACAACCTGGGCGACATAATGAGCCCCCGTCGTTACAAAAAATAAAAAACACTAGCTCAGCTTGGTGGTACTTGCCTGCAGTCCCAGTTACTCAGGAGGCTGAGGTGGGAGGATCACTTGAGCCCAGAAGGCGGAGGCAGCAGTGAGCCATGATTGTGCCACTGCACTCCAGCCTGGGTGACAGACAGAGACTCCATCTCAAAAAGAAAACCCCAAGAACCAAAAATCAGCCCGGTGTGGTGGCGCACACCTGTAGTACCTGAGGCTACAGGAGGCCGAGGTGGGAGGATTGCTTGAACTCGGGAGGTAGAGGCCGCAGTGAGCCATGATTGTGCCACTGCACTTCAGCTTGGGCGACAGAGAGAGAGACTGTTTCAAAATAACAGGTGGGCGGGGAGGGACAGCGGCGGGGTGGGGAGTTGGGGAGGAATAACATGGGGAGAAACGCCAGATACAGGTGATGAGAGGAGGGCAGGAAACCACGCTGCCCCGTGTGTCCCTATGCAACAGTCTCATGTGTTTTTCACACGTACCCCAAAACCTAAAATGCAATTTAAAAAAATAATTAAAAAATAAAACCAGTGGGGCACAGTGGTGCACACGCCTGTAATCCCAGCACTTTGGGAGGCCACAGCTGGTGCATTACCTGAGGTCAGGAGTTCGAGACCAGCCTGACCAACGTGGAGAAACCTGGTTTCTACTAAAAATACAAAATGAGCCAGGCGTGGTGGCACTTACCTGTAATCCCAGCTACTTGGGAGGCTGAGGCAGGAGGATTGCTTGAACCCAGGAGGCGGAGGTTGTGGTGAGCTGAGGTTGGGCCATTGCACTCCAACCTGGGCAACAAGAGCGAAACTCCATCTCAAAAAAAAAAAAAAACACGGGCGACTGCAGAATCCAGCAGGTGCCCCTCCCTGACCTCTGACCCCACCTGGCACTTGGCCTCCAGGGATGTGCGGAAATTCAAGGAGACCAAGAAGCAGTTTGACAAGGTGCGGGAGGATCTGGAGCTGTCCCTGGCGAGGAACGCCCAGGCCCCGAGGCACCGGCCCCACGAGGTGGAGGAAGCCGCCGGGGCCCTCGCCCTCACCAGGAAGTGCTTCCGACACCTGGCCCTGGACTACGTGCTCCAGGTCAGACCCGGAGACGGGGCGGCGGGCAGGGACCAGTCGCAGCGAATGGGGGTCTCGGAGACCTTGTACGGCGGGACGGGGGGGGGATTTGAGCGAGAGTGACGTTCCTGCTTTGCCCACGGGTGGGGCCTCCGGACATGGGGGAGGATGAGGCTGGCCCAGGGCTGGGAGCTGAGGACGGCCTGGGGGTCTCGGAACCACAAGCAGCTCAGGTGGACTCTACAGCAAAGTGCGGGGCTGGGGCTGCCTCAGCCTCGAGGGTTCACCTGTGGGCTCCTCCTCTGGCAGATCAACGTCCTGCAGGCCAAGAAGAAGTTTGAGATCCTGGACTCTGTGAGTGCGTGGGGGCTGCCCCTGAGCACAGGCTGCTGGGCGGGGCGGGGGCGGGTGTGCTCGGGCCTCACCTGTGCTGCCCCCGCAGATGCTGTCCTTCATGCACGCCCAGTCCAGCTTCTTCCAGCAGGGCCACAGCCTCCTGCACCAGCTGGACCCCTACATGAAGAAGCTGGCGGCCGAGGTGAGCCTTTTGGAGGGGCGGGGCCGGGGCGGGGGCAGGGCCTCCGTGGCCTTCCCTAATGCGGCCCCCAACAGCTGGACCAGCTGGTGATCGACTCTGCGGTGGAAAAGCGTGAGATGGAACGGAAGCACGCCGCGATCCAGCAGCGGGTGAGGCCGCACAGCCAGCTCCCTGCACTCCGGGTGCCCGGGAGGCCCCTGCGTCCTCACCCCGTGCCCGGGCACACACTCCCTGCCTTGTCCTCCCAGCCTGTCCTCCACCTGCCCTGCCCATACCCTCTCCAGGGAACAGAGGCTGCTGCCCTTTGGTGTGTGCCGTGGAGGGGCATGTGTGGGTGGGGTCTCTGCTGGGCTGCCGCTGGGACCCACGTCTCCTTCCTTTGAGGCCGTGGTCACCTCTGGCCTCAGTCACCGGCCCCTTGTGGGACCTCTGCTTGCCTGCGGGACAGCAGCCCCGGCCACCACCCAGGGCAGAGGTTGGCTGCAGGCGGGAATGGCTATTTTGGGATAAAAGAGAGCCCCTCGGGAGTTGGGGACGGGTCTGCCAGTCGCCAGGAGTTGGGGCCAGCTGTCACTCACTGGCTGTCTCCCCACCTCCTCCCGCTCCGGCCCTTCAGACACTGCTGCAGGTGAGTGAGCACTGGGCCTGGGCGGGGTGTGGCCTGGGGCGGAGGAGACCAGATGAGGCGGTGCCTTTCCCTCCCCTGCCCCGGGGGCCCTTCAGCACCAAGGACACCTCCTGCCGGCCTGATTGCTCTCCGCAGTTGCCTGCGCTGTGAGACAGGCTGGCTCTGGCCGGATCCCCACATCCCCCGTGCAGCTGTCCCTTCCCGCCCCACGAGGCCTGGGGAGCAGGTGGCCTCGCCTCCCCTCCACTGCCCTGGCTTGCCAGACAGCAGGACACACAGGGCCCTCAGTGGCTCCCAGGCCTCCTGAATGGGGCTCTGTCTGCCCAGCTGGCCACATGAATGGGGCACTTAGGATGCAGAGGGTGGGGGGGGGGCAGCTTCCTTCCTGATCACAGCCTGCTTGTCCCTGCAGGGCTGAGGTGGGGCCAGCACTTTCGGGCCCCCAGCTGTGAACATGAGGGGTCTGCCCATGGGTTTCAGGGCTGGGGGCCTGGCTGAGGGCAGGAAGTGGCTTTGGTGAACCAAGGTCTCCTGCCTGAGTGTGTGGCCCAAGGCCTTGTGGCAGCCTCAGACAAGGACCCCACCCCAGCCTCTGCTCCAAGGAAGCCTAGAGGGTAGCAAGATCCACCAGGGTGGTGCTCAGGGGGTGGGCTCCATCCCCCCAGGACTTCTCCTACGATGAGTCAAAAGTGGAGTTTGATGTGGACGCGCCCAGTGGGGTGGTGATGGAGGGCTACCTCTTCAAGAGGGCCAGCAACGCCTTCAAGACCTGGAACCGGTGAGGGGCCTTCCTGGGGGGCAGGGGTCACAGCGGCCCTGGGGTGGCTCTGCCTGACTCCCTGAGTCCCCCCACCCACCTAGGCGCTGGTTCTCCATTCAGAACAGCCAGCTGGTGTACCAGAAGAAGCTCAAGGTATGCCCTGGGCCTGGGCCCTGATGGCTGGACGCCCCACCTGGGCCACAGGGCAGACTGGTCAGTTGGGGTTGGCATGGGGCTGGAGCACTAGGGGATGCCGGAGGCCGAACGGTCAGGGAGCAGAGAGCTAGAGATGGGGCTTGGGGCTCAGGTGCTCGGCCTCCGGTCTCTCAGGCAAAGCAGGAAGGCCGCGGTCTGGGCTGGGGTGGGGTTGAGGGCAGGGGCCACAGCAGTGCTACCCACAGGACGCGCTGACCGTGGTCGTGGATGATCTCCGCCTGTGCTCCGTGAAGCCCTGCGAGGACACTGAGCGCAGATTCTGCTTCGAGGTGGTGTCGCCCACCAAGTGAGGAGGCCCAGCCTGGGGAGTGGGGGCCCACGGGGGGCGCGCCTGCCCACTGGAGCTGACGCCTGTTCCCCCCACCAACCTGCAGGAGCTGCATGCTGCAGGCCGACTCCGAGAAGCTGAGGCAGGCCTGGGTGCAGGCTGTGCAGGCCAGCATCGCCTCTGCCTACCGAGAGAGCCCCGACAGCTGCTACAGTGAGGTGTGGCCCTCGGCGCCCCACCTCATGCCCATACACCTACATGCCACCACGGAGGGCCCCGCCCCATGCCCTGTGCACATGCCTGCCGCTGCAGATGGCTCCTGCCCCCACCCCTGCTGGTGCACATGCCTGCGTGCCACTGCGGATGGCCTCCGCCCCTGCCCGTCCACATGCCTGCCACCGCGGACGGCTCCTGAGGGCAGTGTGCTGCCTGTGCAGTGTGGGTGTGCATGTGTGTGTGCGCAGTCTCTGCCCACGGGAGGGTGTGCACGTGCTTGTGGAGCTGTGTGCTCGGGGGGCCCTGGCCTGTGCTGGCACTTCCGGCTGGGGAGGAGGGGAGCTGCTGGGGGAACCACACTGGCCCCCTGTGGGACCGAGCAGCCCCGCCCCATCCCTCAGAGGCTGGACCGCACAGCATCCCCGTCCACGAGCAGCATCGACTCCGCCACCGACCCTCGGGAGCGCAGCGTCAAGGGCGAGTGTGTGCTGCAGCGCGTGCAGAGCGTGGCCGGCAACAGCCAGTGTGGCGACTGTGGCCAGCCGGACCCCCGCTGGGCTAGCATCAACCTGGGCGTGCTGCTCTGCATCGAGTGCTCGGGCATCCACAGGTGGGCCCGAGGGCGGGGCTGGGACTGGGGTGGGTGGGACTGGGGGGGCCTTGCCTCGCCCTCACTGGTCCCTGCCTCTGCCCTCCAGGAGCCTGGGTGTCCACTGCTCCAAGGTCCGGTCCCTGACACTGGACTCCTGGGAGCCAGAGCTGCTAAAGGTAGGTGTGGGACTCCTGAAGGCCACTGGACCCCTTTGTGGGGATGGGAGCTGGGATCCGCAGGTCTGCGCTGATGCCTGCTCACCCTGTCTCCACCAGCTGATGTGTGAGCTTGGAAACAGCACTGTGAACCACATCTACGAGGCCCAGTTTGAGGGCACAGGCAGCAGGAAGCCCAGCGCGAGCAGCCCCCGGTGAGGTGGGGTGCAGTCCTGATCATCGGGGAGCCCCAGCCTGGGGGCACAGCCTCATGTTCACCCCTGGTCCAGGCAGGACAAGGAGGCCTGGATCAAGGACAAATACGTGGAAAAGAAATTTCTGCGGAAGGCACCTGTAGCGCCCACCCGGGAGGCCCCAAGACGCTGGAGGGCGCAGAAGTGCCTGCGGCCCCATAGCTCTCCCCGAGCCCCCGCTGCCCGCCGCAAGGTCCGGCTTGAGCCTGCCCTGCCCTGTGTGGCCGCTCTGTCCTCAGGTGGGAGGCTGTGCCCCGCAGGGCTGGGAGGGGCTTGCTTTGGTGGGGGATGGACTCCGTTGAGGTGCTGGGCAGGGACTCTGGGGGTGAGCTGGGGTTCCCTGCCCCACTCTGGGCCCATTCCCCACTCTGAGCACGTGGCTGCCCCTGCAGTGGGCACCCTGGAGCACAGGTTCCGCCGGGACTCCCTCTTCTGCCCTGACGAGCTGGACTCCCTCTTCTCCTACTTCGACGCAGGGGCCGCGGGAGCTGGCCCTCGCAGTAAGTGTGGGGTGGGCCCAGCCAGGTGGCAGGGCAGGTCCAGGGAGGCTGGCCTGGAGGGCACCCAGGCGTGGACGGCCCTTGCTGGGGAATGGAGTAGCATCTGGATGGGTGGGGGGCCTCCTGGCCACAGAGCTGGAGGCTTCGGCCCTGTTGGGGGTGTGCTGTGCAAATGTGCATGTGGGCTGTGTGTGCCCAGTGTGTGCATGGAGTGGGTGGCCCCGGGGTGCTGCGCAGCAGAGCGCGCTGCTGGCTGATCCTCAGCCTGGGCCTCTTCTGAGGCTATTCTGCCCAGCAGTTGGGTGAAGACCTTTCAGCCTGGGCCAGCCACAGACAGGGCTGGGGGCCCACTGCAGAGGGTGCCGGTTGAGCTCGTGAGACCTGAGTGGCGAGCAGGATCAACGAGCTTCCCAGTGGGCCTGGGCTTTGGGAGCTACCCTTGGTGCCTTTGAGCTGTTAACTTGATTTTTTCTTCTTTGTTCCTAGCCTGCAGCTGGCTCCTCCCCAGCCCCGGTGGGAGCTGGTCTTGTCCCTAGGGGTGGCCCCCGGAGGGCGAGTGGGGTTCCAGCCTTGCCACAGGGTTCTGGGTGGAGTCGAGCCTCTCACACTCAGGACTCCCTTCCCTGTGGACCTGCAGGTCTGAGCAGCGACAGTGGCCTTGGGGGTAGCTCGGATGGCAGCTCGGATGTCCTGGCTTTCGGCGTGGGTTCCGTGGTGGACAGCGTCACTGAGGAGGGTGGGTAGCGCCTCGCCCTCGGCCGAAGACCCTGCCCAGCCCCAGGGCAGCCCCAGGGAGGTTGCCTTCCCTGACCGCCGCCCCCTCCCCACAGAGGGCGCGGAGTCGGAGGAGTCCAGCGGCGAGGCGGATGGGGACGCTGAGGCCGAGGCCTGGGGCCTGGCGGATGTGCGCGAGCTGCACCCGGGGCTCCTGGCACACCGTGCGGCGCGCGCCCGCGACCTTCCTGCACTGGCAGCGGCGCTGGCCCACGGGGCCGAGGTGAACTGGGCGGACGCGGAGGACGAGGGCAAGACGCCGCTGGTGCAGGCCGTGCTAGGGGTGAGCATGGCACGGGCGCTGCGCGTAGGACACAGGTGCACACTCGCGTTTGCATCTTCTGTGGCTCCCACACGAGGGCCGCCTGTCCGCCGTGGGGACCAGGTTCAGTCCCGGCTGGGGCGCCCAAGGCCGGGGTCGGGGTGCAGAGGCGCAGCGATGGGCCGGTATCACGGCTCCATCTGAGTCGCTCCTGCTCCCCAGGGCTCCCTGATTGTTTGTGAGTTCCTGCTGCAAAACGGGGCGGACGTGAACCAAAGAGACAGCCGGGGCCGGGCACCCCTGCACCACGCCACGCTGCTGGGCCGCACAGGGTGAGGCGCGCAGCCCCCGCCCCGCCCCGCCCCGCCCCGCCCCTGGCACGCCCCCCGCGGTGGCGCACGCCCCGCCCTCCCCGCGCAAGCCGCGCCTGGGAGCTCATGCGCCCCGCCCCACGCCCTTCGACCGAACACGCCTCGCCCTCCCCGCTTAAGCCCCGACGCACTCCTGTGCCCTCGCCCCTCAGCCAGGTCTGCCTGTTCCTGAAGCGGGGCGCGGACCAGCACGCACTGGACCAAGAGCAGCGTGACCCGTTGGCCATCGCGGTGCAGGCGGCCAATGCCGACATCGTGACGCTGTGAGCGCGGCGGGTCCTCGGGGCGGGGCCTCCGGGTGGGGCGGGGCTTGAGGGAGCTGGGCCCATGGGGCAGGGCGGGGCCTCCGGGGTGGGGCGGGGCTTGAGGGAGCTGGGCCCATGAGGCAGGGCGGGGCCTCCGGGGGTGGGGCGGGGCTTCAGGGAGCTGGGCTCGTGGGGCGGGGCGGGGCCGTCTCACGGGGCGCCTCCCCGCAGGCTCCGTCTGGCTCGCATGGCCGAGGAAATGCGTGAGGCCGAGGCGGTCCCCGGTCCCCCAGGCGCCCTGGTGGGAAGCAGCCCCACGGAGCTCCAGTTCCGCAGGTGCATCCAGGAGTTCATTAGCCTCCACCTGGAAGAGAGCTAGGACCGGGCAGGCCGGGCAGTTGCCGCCCCGCCCGGCCCTAAGTCCCCGGCGCCCACCTGGCCGCGGCCCTGCCTGTGACCCGCGGGCCAATGCCCCGCAGACCCAGTGCTGGGGTGCTTCGGCCCCGCTCTCCCAGGAGGAGAGCGAAGCCCCAGCACTGAGTCTCTTGGAGCTTCACGTTTCCCTGGGGGTGCTGCATTGTCGGGTGCCCCTGACCCCACCTGGGGAACCTCTGTCTTCAGGTCACCCCTTTTCAGAGGCCTGGGTTGCTCATGTCACAAGCCACTCTTGAGGCCCGTGTCACCTGTGTCCCCTGTCCTCAGGGCCTGTCACTTTGTGCCCCACTTCTACCCAGAACACTGACCTGCTAGCTGGGTCCCTCCTGCCCACCCCAGAGCCCCTCCCAGGGCAGAAGGGGTGGCCCATCCAGGGAACCAACGAGTACCTCACTTAGTGACCCCAGCTTTCAGGCTGGCGTCACGGGTGCTGGGCGGAGGGGCTCTGGCCTGGGTCCTCAGCCCTGGCTGGACGCGGGCGTCCCAAGGCCACGTGGCTGGCCACGAAGGTCCCGGTGCCAGACTGCCCCAGCACGTCCCTGCCTCCTCGGGAGGCCCCTCTCCCGGTACTCACCCGGAGCCTGTGCATAAAGCCACTTTGCCACTTTCCACCCAGAGTCTTACGTTCTTTGTAGCGGATCGAGGGGGTTTTCTACAGACCTTGTCTGTCTTGCGTCTTTTCTCTGTGGACTCTTGAGGACGCCTCAACCCCATCTCTGCCCCTGGCCATCCTCACCCTTGGGTCCAGGGGTCTCTCAGTTCCTTTTGCAGGGGTCGCCGATGCCTTCACGCACCCCTTCTCCGAAGACACCCGGCAGGGAGGCAGAGCCCCCCCCACTCTTCCCACGTCAGGCTAAGGCCCCTTGGCTGGTCACTATGCAATGCTGCCCGGGGAGGCTCCGTGAGGGCACAGTGGGTGCTGGGTCTGGACCCCCAACTCCCTTGCCTGCTGCCTGTGACCCTGAAGAACAGAATGGACTCTTGCCCCTCCCTGCGTGAGCCTGGCCCTGCCTCCTGCCCCGGGCCCCTGCTGGCGGGTCCCCCCCACCTTGCTGTGAATAAACCGCTTCACCCACCGCCTGCTCCTTGGCTCCTGTTCCTCGATCTGCTCTGTCTCTGGGGAGGGTCAGCGTACCCTGCCCTCCCTGAGGGGCAGTCCTGAGCCAGCTGGCCCTTCACCCAAAGGGATGCAAGTCACACTCCCACAGGCCGAAAGGGGCCTGATGGGGGCCTGGGGGCTTTTTTGACAAAACCTGGCTCCTGACACCCCTGGCCCCCATTGTGTTGCCCCTCTGCCCTTCTGTGTACTAGACTGTGTCCCCTGGTGGGAAGAGGGGTGATGGAAACCAGCGAGGCCAGGCTGGGGCTGCTCCTGTCCCGGGCCCTCTGCCCAGGGTGGCTGCTGCGGCCCCAGGTGCGGTCAGGGTTTCAGTTTCCCGGGCACGGGGTTGCCGGAGAGGCGCACAGGCACACACTGGCCACCAGGTGGAGTCAGCAGCTTTATTTCAGAACAGCCTGAGCTGCCGTGTCCGTGGGCACCCCCTGCCTTCTGCCTCCACAGAAGCTGCGGCTTAGGCGGCTACAGCTGACACACGGGCGCGTCACACGTGTGGACACGCAGACACATGCACACAGGCGCATCAGACGTGTGGACGGGCAGACGCACACGGGCACGTCAGACGTGGACACGCCAAGGCAGATGTGCACACAGGTGCATCACGTGTGGACGTGCAGACACGTAGGTGCATCAGACGTGGACACGCAGAGAGACATGCACACGGGCGCATCAGACGTGGACACGCAGAAACGGGCATGTCAGACACGGACACACCGAGACGTGCACACAGGCGCATCACGTGTGGACGTGCAGACAGACACGGAGGTGCGTCAGACGTGGACACGCACACGGGTGCGCCACTGCACGTCAGCACCTCCAGACGCACTTGTGCACATGGGAACCCCCCTCCGCCCTGGGCCTCCCGGAGACCCACCCTAGGGAGGGTGGGTGGTTGACCGGAGGCCCTGACATGCCCGGCGCCTGCCTGCCCAACAGGTCACGTGTGCTGCTCTAGCCGCTGGTCTGGCCCACCCTGGGCAGCCAGGAAGCCGGGCAGCCTGTTGCTGCCACAGCTCCAAGGACCAGGCTAAGAGATGAGAGGGCCCTGGCGGGGCCGGTTCAGGTGCCGGGTCTCAAGGGCCGGGGCCTAGCCCAGCTCTCTTTGGCTGAGACTCTCACCAGAGCCTGTGAAGCACCATCCATGGGAGATGAGGCCCGCTAGGCCCTGAATGGCTGACTTCCCACCTGCAGGTGTGGGCATCTGGCTGGCCTCTAGCTTGATGTTGGACAGTCCCGAGGCAGGGCAGGCCCTTGGCCAGGAGAACCCTGCGGAGCCTGCGGCCACCCATCAACAGGGTGAGGGCCAAAGCATCCAGCAGCAGCTCTAGGAGCTCCAGGAGGGAGAGGACAGAGGCCCCAAACCACAGGCTGCAGAGGCTGCCCATGGCAGAGAGCATCTGTGGCACCTGCGGGGGGGTGGGGGAGAGACATGAGGGGCGGGCCCGGGCCCCTGGGCCCCTTCTGTTCGGGGCCAGCCACTGGCCCTGCCCCATCCCAGCCCAGGCCAGGGGCGAGGCTCACCGAGTACAGGGGTGCCTCCTCCACAGAGCGGTAGTTGAGCTCCTGGTAGATGATGTTCATTTTGGCCAGGTTGCTCCTGGGGCGGGATAGAGGTGTGAGGGTGCTGGCCCAGACCTTCACGATGGGGGGGTGCAAGGGGAGAGAGGCTGGGATGCCCCCCTGTAGGGCAAGGGTGCACCCACCTCTGCCCATGGCTCTGACGTGGCAGTCCCTGCTCACCAAGCGCAGCCAGAGTCCAGTCCTGCACATGGAAGGTTTGCTGTGGCCACGGCTCCCCCACGCCCCTGGCCATCCTGGCGCCATGGGTGGATGTGGGGGCAGAGATCACAGGGCACAGGCTGGGTCGGCCCGGCCATCCTTGTCTTGGGTTCACTCTGTGAGGCCTGCCTGGCTGTCCACACCGTCACCCCACCCCTTCGGGCTATTTGGGAACTTACAGCCGACCTGGCTGAAGGCCACCGGGAAGTCCCAGCAGAGACCTTGAATGCAGATTCCCTGGGAGAAACAGCAGGGTGTCACCAGCCACACTCCCTGGAGCAGGGACCCCTGGCCCCGACCCCAACAGCCCCCTCTCACCTGCAGGGCCTGGGGCAGCGGGAGGCACAGGGGAGCCGGTGGGTCTCCAAGTCCTGGTAGAGGCGGTAGAAGCAGTGCCCTGGGGGGGAATCACAGGCACATGTGAGGCTCGCTGTGACCTCCCCTCGTGGCTGGCAGTGTGGGAGGCCGTGGGCAGGACTCACCCCAGGCAGGGTGCCGGGCAGAGCTGCAGTGCTCAGCCCCAGCCGGCAGCGGGTACAGGTAGTAACCGCAGGAGCAAGTCTCCACCATCAGCTGCTGGAAGCAGGACACCAGGCAGGCCTGGGGACACGGGTCGGAGCGGGGACATCCGGGAGGAAGCAGAGACGGTGGACAGAGCCAGGATGTGGGTTGGAGTGGAGACAGCGGACGGAGCGGGGGCCTCCATGGAGGCTGCCTCCTCGCGGGTCCCCCCGTGCCCCGCAACGTGCCGCGCCAGCCCAGCCTCACCTGCCTGGTGTAGGAGGTGTTGTACAGCAGTTGCACCTCCACGCTCTCCCCGCCTGCCGTGCAGTGGCCGTAAGGGCCCCCGAGCCGGTGCACTTCGTCCTGGGAGAGACACTTCAGTTCCAGGGGTCCTGCCCTGAGGCCCTGCCCCCGCCCCCCAAAGCCCAGGTTGGGCTGGAGGCCGGGCTTCAGAGGCCGGCGCACCTCTCGGATGCCGATGGTGGTCTCTGTCCCCGGCCGGATGCTGAAGCTGTGGTGCTCCAGGAAGGGCGTGTGGTTGTGGCCGTGGACCATGACCTTGATGCCGGCTTGTGTGGACAGCAAGGGGAGGTGGGCCTGCTGCTCAACCCTGAGGACCAGGCCGATTCCTGGGAGGCCAAGGGTTGGTGTGAGGCCATCTGACCTGCACCCCTGCCCCAAACTGGCCACCGACTGGCACTCACCGTGGGTGATGCCGGGGCGCTGGGCTGTCCAGACGCCATCAACGGTGTAGCAGCTGCCGTGGGTGGGGTGGTGGAAGGTCCGGAACTGCCTGGAACATGAGGCCAAGCTCAGACCCTGAATGCCAGCCACCTGCCACCCGTCATGCCCTGTCTCTGTGGAAAGCTGCTCATGGCCAGCCTTGGGCAGCTCCCAGCATTCAGCCAGAGGGACCCAGGGGTGTGGCCACACTGTGCGGGGTGGGACGGAGGGAGTGGCCCCTTTCTGCCACACTCACCAGTCCTGGCAATCCTTGCCGTCATAACTGCAGGAAAGGACAAAGCGGCCATTATGGCTCCCGTGGCTCCCGTGGCTGTCCTCCCACGCTGCGGGCAGCAGGGCGAGGATGTCCATGTAGTGGAAGCGGTACCAGTCCTGAATGGCCGCCACGCCTGATGAGTAGCCGCGGTAGAAGCAGTCGCTGCCCGTGCTGTTGCACTGGAGGAGGGGAGGGGAGGTCAATTCTGCAGCTACAGCCCAGGGTGTGCTCCCCACTCAGGCTCCAGCAGCCCGGGTGCACTCCCCATTTGAGGCCCTGATGGCTACAGGCCCCGGCTGGGACACTCACCAGTCTGAACCCCACTCTGATTCGGCTGCCCGAGTGGCTCAGCCTCTGCAGACGGATCTCCCGGTCCAGGTGGAAGTGGGGATCAAGGCGGGAGGCGGTGGCAGCGAGGGCATCTCTCCCTTTGCTGAAGTTGGCCTTGTACAAAGAGTTGATGTTCTCCTGGGCGAACTCGTCTAGCACCTCCAGATGGCGGAGGATGGGAATCGGCCTGGGAAGCAGGGCCAGGGAGTCAGAGCTGCTGGCCGGGGGGGCCCACACTGGTCACCCGGGTCACCGGCTGATGGCTGCTGTGTGGCCCCAGCATTCCAGTGTGTACCACCCGACAGCAGTGCCTCCCCACTCAGGACGCCCAGCAGGGTGAGCTGGATGTGGAGCTGGCGTCGCAGGCAGCGGCTGCTGGCGAGGTCACCCTGGAGCCTGGCACGCTCACGGGGCCTCCCATCTTCCCTCCCGGAAAGCCTCAGCCTCCTCCACCTCCCCTCCCAGGCTCCCAAGGGCCTGGGTGTCCTTCTAGGGCGGCACTGATCACACCGAGTCCCCTCCCTGCTGGTCTGAGAGGTCCTGGCTGGGCACGAGGGTTTAGGGAGGTCATGGTAACCGGGCTATGTGAGCCAGCGGGACTTCGGTCAGGGATGGTCACAGGCCACAGGAGCTGGGGGCCACCTCCCACCAACAGCCCCGGCCCTCACCGGCGTGGGTTCCCGTCGCACAGGGTGACCAGGGGGAGCAGCTTGCGCTCCGAGTGCACAGAGACAGCCATGAGGACCGGGCGGAGCCAGTGGTGCTGGAAGAGGAGCCCGAGCTGCCAGCACAGTGCGACCAGGGCACCCAGGAACAGCAGCGCCCAGGACGTCGTCTTGAGGCGGTTCCCACTGGAGCAGACCAGGCGGATGGCACCATGGATGGTGGCATTGGTGCAGAAGAAGGTGAACAGCTCCCGGAACGAGGCGGGCAGCTCCACTAGCCCCTCCTGGTGCCCCTCCTCGGGCGGCGGCATTGGCAGTGATGATGGCCCGGGCCCAGGGGGTGTCTGAGCTCCAGCCTGCGTGTGAAGAGCGGCCTCAGCAGGGCCCAGCCTGCAGCCACCCAGGCCTCCTCACCCCCCGCCTGGCCTGTCGTGTCCCTCAGCCCTCAGTGCCCGGTCCCGCCTGCTCTGACGCTCTGACGGACCCCTCCGGGTGCTCGCACACTGCACACCTGCTTCGCCCCAGACCCTCGGCGCCCACCCCGGCACGTCTCAGTGTGGCCTTGGAGCTGAGTCTGGGCGGCGGAGGCAGCGGGACTCAGTGAACAGGGTGTCCAGGCCCCGCCTGGCCCAGCCCCCAGGTAGCCTTGTGCTGGGTGGGTCTGTGCTGGCGTCCCTCCCGGCGGCGGGGCCTCTGGGGAGCCACAGACCGGGTGACCCGCAGAGGAGGTCGGGATTGTGGCGTATCCACGAGTCCAGATGGAGGTCTGAGGCCCTGGGGAAGACTTGCCCTTCTGGGCCTTGGTGGCTGCACCCCCTCGGCCCCCAGCGTGGCCTGCTGAGGACTGACTGTGCCAGGCCCATCCAGCCAAGTCTGGGAAAGAGTCCAGTCTGGACACAGTTCAGCACGTGGGCCCAGGGTGGCCCCACTGAGCCGAGTGCCGGGGCCGTCTGCAGAGACACGAGGGCCCCTGGACGTCCGGCTGTGGCCTGCCCAGTTCTGTGCTGGAGACTCTGGGTTCCCGGGCCAGGCCCAGGGCGCGGTGCCCGCAGCCAGCACGGGGAAGGGGGGCTGCGTGCTCTGAGTCCCACCACACCGGCTCTCGCCGCATTTCACGCGTCCCGTCCTGGTCTGCGTCAGTGAGGCCGCCCACGCCCGGGTGTCCCGCTGCCCAGCCCGCTTGAGGTACTCTGGGGAGTTGCTGGAGCGAGCCAGAAGCTCGGGGCCAGGGGACACGGGGTGGGGGTGGCTCCCCTCGGGTGTGTGGGCCTCACATGCCTCCAGGCAGCCTGGCCAGGAGTTCTACCACCAGGCCCAGGGCCCCACTCGCCCCGAGTCCCCACGGCCGGGCTGAGCCTCGATGCAGGGTGCAGGGAGACTAAGAGGCTCAAAGGGTCTTTCGTTGTTTCTTTCCTCCCGAGATGAAGTCTTGCTCTTTGCCCAGGCTGGAGGGCAGTGGCACAGTCTCGGCTCACTGCAACCTCCGCCTCTCAGGTTCAAGCAATTGTCCTGCCTCAGCCTCCTGAGGAGCTGGGATTACAGGCACACACCACCATGCCGGGCTAATTTTCGTATTTTTAGTAGAAAAACAAAATTTTCTACTAAAATTTCCTGTCATTTCATGATCCGCCCACCTCAGCCCCCCAAAGTGCGGGGCTTACAGGTGTGGTCAGAAGGGCCTTTCTGACTCATTTCCACTCCACCTCCTGCACAGACGGGGAGCCCCTCCCCTGCTAGCTGGGGCTGCCAGGCCAGGAGAAGCAGGAGCTCTGGAGACGGGTCTGGAGGGCCAGTCAGGGCCCCCGGGGTTTCTGAGACACAGCAGGGCCTGGACCCCATTCAGTGAGGAGCCAGACCCCGCCTCGCGTGGGCTACGTGCCCTCCCGCCTGCGTCCTGCATCCTGCGTGCGTGCGTGTGTGAGATAGGACCACACTGGCCTCTCCGCCCCGCGCCGTCTGGCTCTGTGCCGAGCCGTGTGGCCAACACGTGTTCACATGTGGACGTCCTGTGGGGCGCGTGGCGCCTTGACACGGGTGGTGTCTGCTGTGTTCTTCAGGGGTCCATCCAGCGCACACTAGTGCCCCAATGGGACACAGTCCCTTTCAGGGTAAGGAAGCCCTCAGGGATGACCTGTCCCATGGCCACAAAGTGGCCCTGTTCCTGGTGGCACATGGGGCCAGGCATGGGAAGGAGACCCCCCACCCAGCCCCTGGTTCCTCTAGGCGGGAGCCCCCCCACCCCAACACCCCCTCCATGGTACCTCCAGGCAGGAACCCTCTCAACATCCCCATGGTTCCTCGAGGAGCCCCTATCCCCCCAATGCCCCCGGTACCTCGAGGCGGGAGCCCCCACTCCCCCAGCCCCACTCCCGGTACCTCGAGGCGGGAGCCCCCCTGTGGGGCTGCTTCCATTCCTCCCCCTGAGCTGCGGGGCTCAGCCATTGCAGGGGCCGCCGGCAGCTCTGGAGCAGGATGCGGCCTGAGGCCGGCGGGGCAGCCTCCTATTTAAAACAGGCCGGCTGGGCGTGGGGCCGTGCCGCAGGCGGGGGAGGGCCCAGCCAGGGCGGCCGCACCTGCTCCAGACCTGGTAGGGGAATTCCTGGTGGACAGAGATGCCAGTCCTCTGCCAGGCGAGGCTCTCCCATCCTGAGCCCTGCAGGGGAGGCCCGGGGTCCTGACCCTGGCTGAGAGTGAGGGGCGGCAGCTTCTGGAGGGAGAGGAGGGCAGGGTGGGGCCGAGACCCCCTGGGAAGCCCCATCTTTCTCTGCCGGCTCCCGGAACTCAGATCCCGGGCAGTCATGGACTCCCAGCACTCCCTGCCTTCCCTTCCCGCTCCCCTGCTGCAGCTCTGACAACAGGAGTGTGTGGCTGATGGACACTGGGTGGGGACCTCAGCTCCCAGACCCATGCGTCTCTCAGGACCAGCCACCAGCCTTTGGGACAGGTGCTAGCGTGGGAACCACCGCGGGCCCGGGTGTGGAGACGGCACCTGCTCCCCTGAGTGGGTGAGGGGCTCCCCTCCCTGCTGGGCACTGTGGCCACCACCAACCACACCACACAGTAAGATGACATGCCACACGCTAAGGGCACAGCACATTTCAGTCCACACCCACACCACACACACATCAAAATGCCAGCACACATGAAGGGGACTCACCGCATGCTAAGACCCCACACATGCCAGGACCACATGCTGCCCTCAGAGTCCAAATCAGTCCCAGGCTGGCGTCTCCAGCCCCAGTGCGGTCATGCGGGGAAGGCCGCCGTCCCTGTCCCGAGATGCCCCATCCCTGTCTCTACTGTGGGACCCGATATGTCCAAGCGGCCTCACCATCCTGAATGGCCAGCCCTGGCCGGGCCCAGGTGGGAAGGGTGGGCTCTGCGTTCCGGAGGCCCTGTCCCAAGTGGCGCCAAGTCCCTGGGCTTGGCGGGGGAGCCCACCACACTGGGTCCAGCAGCAGACCATGATTCTGAGGAGGGTGAGGTCACCTGCCTGCCAGCTCCAGAAGGAAGCAGCTGCCGCTGGTGATGTCCTAAGAGGGGAGTCAGGTGGAGTCACCCGGGCCTGTGCGAGTCACAGCTCCGTCACGGCTGTGTGGCCTTCCTGAGTTACTCAATCTCTCTGAGCTGACTTCCTCAAGTGTGAGAAGGGGCTGGGGCGCCTCTCCACGCTTGTGACGGGGCTAGCTGATGTGATGGAGACCCCACAGGCCACTGGCAGGGTCCCGGACACAGCATGGGCCTGGGGCGTCTCCCCCACCACATCTGGATGGCTTTGCTGCCAGGGACACCTGCAGCCTGGAGGCTGCTTGGCAGCCAGGGGCAAGGCCCTAGACGCCTGCCGGTGATTGTGACTGGAAGCAGCTTGTGCTTCCCTGGCAGAGAGCCCGGCCTTGCTGCAGGGTGCAGAGAGGGAAGGAGCTCAGGTCTGGCCAGAGGGGCCCAGGCCAGCCAAAGGGAAGCTTGCAGGGAGCAAGGCCCTGGCTTCCTGTGGGAGGGGAGCCCTGGCTGGAGGAGGGCACACCTTCAACTCCCTGTGCCCTGCAGGGCCTGAGTCTGGCTGCATCTTGGCTGGACCATGGAGCTCCTGGCTCCACTCCCTTCCTTCCTCCCCAGGGAAGCTCTCGAAGGCCTGACGTTCAGTTCCTCATACCCCGTATCAGGACGGAGAGGAGGCAGAGGAGGTGGCCACGGAACCCATGTCCGGTGCCGGTGAAGCTAGACAGTCCTTTCCTCTCTTCTGGGCCACCCCGTTCCTGGCCCTGTGAAGGGGGTGTGGGGGGTGGGGAGGGGTGAACCCAGTCCCTGGCCCATGGGGCTTCTCTGGTCACTGCACCGTGGCTGCGTGAGCCTGAATGAGAGAAGGGACAGGAGGGCACCCCTGGCTCCCATCAGCCCCGCACCTCTGCTCTCTCCCAGGAAGGATGGCCAGGCCACATTTACTGAGCATGGCTGCGAGCTCACCCTGTCGGGCTGCTGCGGTGGCTGGGCCACAGGTCACGAGGAGCGGTGCTGCCTCCCATGCCAGCGCTGCCCTGGAGACTACAGGCACCTGTGGGACCTCAGGCGGGGACTCCTGCTGCAGAGCCGTTTCCTCTCTTGGGGAGGAGTGAATCGTAAGTGTGCTGAGAACTCTCTGTGAAGCCCCATCCTCTGCAGCTGTTAGACATGCCGTGCTTACAGGCACATAGTATATTCTATGTCCTTGTATTTTAACCAAGATATCTGTGCTGGACGTGCTCATAGGCATGCCCCAGCTCTCTTTTGTTAGCCAATCGGGTTTTAGTTTAGATTGTGAGGTCTGGCTCCAGCCAACGGAGATCAGACACAGCAGTAAGGGCAACCCCAAATGCGTAAGGGAGACATTTGTCTGTTTTCCTTTGTTCATTGTCTTCTTGTGGCACAATGGCTAATGAGAGTACCCTTCCTGTATTCCAGGAAGTAAAAATTGCGTTGCTGAAAGATCCTTTGTCTCAGTGCTATTTTTTCTTTGCAGCACCGAGCATCTGTTTCCAACAAGGACAATTTACTGAGGCCTGGGAGCTTCCCACGGAATCCCTGCTCTCCCAAAGTCTGGTTGAGATCTCAAGTTTATTTTGCTGTACAGCTCTTTTTCTGGAGCTTCCAACAAGGCAGGCAGATTCTCCTGCTTCTTTGACAATGGAAGGATGGTGGTGTCTGGAGTTTGAGCTCGAGTGATCCTCCTGCCTTGGCCTCCCAAAATGTTGGGATTACAGGCGTGAGCCACTGCACTTGGCAAATTGCCTTTTTCTTTTTCTTTTTTTTTTTTTTGAGACGGAGTTTCGCTCTTGTTACCCAGGCTGGAGTGCAATGGCGCGATCTCGGCTCACCGCAACCTCCGCCTCCTGGGTTCAGGCAATTCTCCTGCCTCAGCCTCCTGAGTAGCTGGGATTACAGGCACGCGCCACCATGCCCAGCTAATTTTTTGTATTTTTAGTAGAGACGGGGTTTCACCATGTTGACCAGGATGGTCTCGATCTCTCGACCTTGTGATCCGCCCGCCTCGGCCTCCCAAAGTGCTGGGATTACAGGCTTGAGCCACCGCGCCCGGCTCAAATTGCCTTTTTCTTAAGACAAGAATGACCCCCTTTGGGGCCCCCGTTCGGTTTCTAGACTGGAAGTGCATTCCTATGGCTCTTCTCTGTTACTTTTTCTCCCAAAATTAAGCCCAACTGGCTTGTCTGTGCACTTGCATGAGGAACTGAATTATTGTTTTCATAGATAAATGAGAGAATGAGTTTTCTCAGCTCCCAAAAGAAAGGCATTTTGCTTTTCCCAGCTGAGAGGTGCCCTGGGTGACTGGAAAACAAGGGGGAGTGTCTTGGGGTCTGATCCCCTGTGATGTGCAGCAGCCCTACAGGGAACCCCCAACACAATTAGTTTAAAAAGTCTTGTCCAGGAAATGCATGTAGGAGCTGTCACTCTGGGGTTTTGCGTCCTCTTGGAGATGTTGGACTTCCAGAGAGAGAAACTGAGACACGTAAGAGGGCAAAGATGACTCCGTGGTGACTCACCGTGGAGTCCCGCCCACAACCAGCACACTTCCACTGCCCCACTGAACCCGGAGGCACAGCTCAGCTCCTCCTTCCGAGAAAAAAAAAGTGGGAAATAAATCATCTAAGACTCAGGAGAGACAAGAGAACGGCCCCCTTTTGGGCACATTGCTGGTTTTATGGTGCTGCTACTGGCAAGTGTTTGTACAAAACTGAAAATTTTGAGGGCATGCCAGGTTTCTTAGGGCCCAGCTGGTTCCATATTATGGTCTTTTTGACACATTTTAAACTGACGGGCAAATTCCATCCAGGAAGCATTCAGAGCCCAAAGGTCAGCCTCCAACTACAGAACTATAGAGTTCCTGGCTGGGCGATGTGGCTCATGCCTGTAATCCCAGCACTTTGGGAAGCCAAGGCAGGTGGATCACCTGAGGTCAGGAGTTCAAAGCCAGCCTGGCCAACATGGTGAAACCCTGCCTCTACAAAAACACAAAAATTATCTGAGCATGGTGGCACCTGTAACAAGAAAATAAGAGAGAGACTAAGAGAAGTTATAGATATAAAGAGGTATTTTTGTTAAGAAACGTTACAAGAAAAATAATTTTATCTGAGAAAGAATCTTGTATGGCAAATTTCTGTCCTAAAATAAATGACAAGGCTGGGTGTGGTGGCTCACTCCTGTAATCTCAACAGGTTGGGAGGCCAAGGTAGGAGGATCATGAGGTCAGGGGTTCGAGACCAGCCTGGCCAACATAGTGAAACCCTGTTTCTATTAAAAATACAACAATTAGCTGGGTATGGTTGTGCATGCCTGTAGTCCCAGCTACTTGGGAAGCTGAGGCAGGAGAATCATTTGAACCCAGGAGGCAGAGATTGAGGTGAGCCGAGATTGAGCCACTGCACTCCAGCTTGGGCATAGAGCAAGACTCCATCTCAAAAAAGATAAATAAATAAATAAATAAATAAATAAATAAATAAATAAATAACTGATTGTTTAAGAAAGAGAGATGTTCAAGACAAACTAGAAAGTTCAAGCATGGGCCGGGCGCGGTGGCTCAAGCCTGTAATCCCAGCACTTTGGGAGGCCGAGGCGGGTGGATCACGAGGTCGAGAGATCGAGACCATCCTGGTCAACATGGTGAAACCCCGTCTCTACTAAAAATACAAAAAAGTAGCTGGGCATGGTGGCGTGTGCCTGTAATCCCAGCTACTCAGGAGGCTGAGGCAGGAGAATTGCCTGAACCCAGGAGGCGGAGGTTGCGGTGAGCCGAGATCGCGCCATTGCACTCCAGCCTGGGTAACAAGAGCGAAACTCTGTCTCAAAAAAAAAAAAAAAAAAAAAAAAAAAAAAAAAAAAAAAGAAAGTTCAAGCATGTCATAAATTGTCTGTGTAAGTCACAATAAGTTCAGTTAAAAAAAGAATGTATAGAAATGTTACATGAGAGATTGGTCATGGTGGCTTACGCCTGTAATCCCCCGCACTTTGGGAGGCTGAGAAGGGTAGATCACTTGAGGTCAGGAGTTCGAGACCAGCCTGGCCAACAAGGTGAAATCCTGTTTCTACAAAAATACAAAAATTATCCAGGCATGGTAATGCATGCCTGTAGTTTCAGCTGCTCAAGAGGCTGAGGTCACTTGAACCTGGGAGGCAGAGGTTGCAGGGAGCCAAGATCATGCTATTTCACTCCAGCCTAGGCGACAGAATGAGACTCTATCTCAAAAAAAAAATTGCTTTAAAGGGTAATGAATGCCGGTCCATGTCCATTCCTATCTGGCCTAGACAATTTAATTGGCTGTAAATCTTTTGACTCTAAGTTCCTGGGTCATAGGGAGTCCCACCAAGAGACAGGCTTGATCCAGGGCTGGCAGCCACACTAGCCCAGCAATCGTATGGGACATAGTAAAGATCTGGTAGCCATTGATGTTGGCTCTGGCACATCTTGGCCAGAAGGGGGTGAATGTAAATAAAAAATGAAATCCTAAGGCCCCCAACCTTCCAAATGGATCCCTCCTCCCGGCCACAGGCACTCCAGTGTTAACCTGTTAAACTTGTCCAGGCTGTGATGGGAAGGGGTTGTGGGTCATGCCTCATGCCTCCTCTCATTTGGAATTCAGGAAAAGCTGACCAGCATTCACATCAGCACAGGCCTGAAGTCTGATAGGAAACATTTACAATCTATTCTCTCTGAAGCCTACGACCTGAGGCTTCTGCTGCATGGAAACCACGACCCCTTACAGCAACCCAGACTTTTTTTTCCACTGAGAATAGCTCTTTCAACCAATTGTCAATCAGAAAAACGCTGAATCTACCAAGAACCTAGAAGTTCCCCCAAACCACCCCACCTTCTCCTGCCCTTTCAGATTGAACCCATGTAAATAAATCATGTCTTCCTAAAATGTATAAAAGCAAGCTGGGTCACAGGCACCTTGGGGACCTGTTATCAACACCTGCTGAGGCTGTCAGGGGCACGTCCTTAACCTTGGCAAAACCAGCTTTCTAAAGGGACTCAGACCTGCCTCAGATGCTTTTGGGTTTGCACCCTCCAGGCTGGGTTTCTCTCTCCTTCAAGCCCTGGCCAGACAGTGCCTGCTGGTCAGAGGCAGCCAAGGCTTTCTGGTCCGACCCTGGGGGCTGGAGGAGGCAGAGGCAGGAGGTAGCAACTGGGTTGGGGATGATGTTTTCTTGGGACCCCAAAGCAGAGTGTCCCCCCCGTCGCTGCCAAGATGCTGGGTGGTCCCCATTGTTCTGCCAGATGAAGCCCTTCTGAGGTCTGACCCACAGCAGAAGGGCAGCTCCTGGCCTCAGAGGGCAGTCTCGGGGTTGAGAAGGTTATAGGTACCATATACCACCAACCTAGCTGCCTGTGCCGTTCCCGCTGGCTAAGGCCATCAGCTCTACGGCTAGAGGCCTGGGCAGCCTGAGTCCTGCTTACCAGAAGGCCACCGATGTGGGTGGGTGGGGTAAGGGCCATGGTGGGGTCTTGGCAAGACGTGCTGGTCACACCTGTCCCGGGTACCTTCCCTGGGGTGTGACTCAGCTGCGTTCCTGAGCAGGGGCCTCTGAGCTGAGCCTCACGCTGCAGCCTTCCCACCTGCAGGGACTCGCAGGTACGTTCTCTTCACACTCACTGTCACTGAGGGACAGATGGGGTAGGGGCGGGCCTTGATCGACCATGGGCCGCAGCCGCGAGTGTGCACATAACTGGACGTGCTGGTGCCTGTATCTGCAGCCGGCGTGGCTTCCCTTCCATAACTTTCCATGCTGGCATAGCAGCTCGGCCTGCCTTGCATGGGAACGGCAGAGGCCTGAGAGGAGGCAGAGGGAGGAGGCTTGACGTGGAGATGTTTTCTGAAGGTGGAGCTGGTGACGGCAGGCGTGGAAGAGGCTGGATTCCCACGGGCTGAGGCCGCCTGGACACTCCTCCTGGCTTCTGCCCTGGGGCCTGCAGCAGTGCCTCAGACCTGCCAAGGTGTCCCGGAGGGGCAGAGTTGGGGCTGAACATGGACGCCACATGCCCTCTGCCCACAGCCGCCACGGGACGACCCTCAGTGTTCAGCCACCTTGCTGCCCTCAGGGTTGGGGGGAAGGAGAAGGCCACGGGCAGCCTGGTGGCGAGGTCCACCTCCCGATCCCCCATCAGGGGATCACCCTCAGCTCCCCACTGTCCGGGAGCGGGTGGGCCGTGTGCCCGCCCCCAGCGTCCCATCCCAGCGCCCCACCACCTCTGCTCCCTCCCACTGCGTCTGGGGTCAGAGAGACAGGCGGAGAGGACGCAGTGCCCAGCGCTTCCTGAAGTCTGGCCAGGAGAGGCCGGGGCGACCTGGGCGGGGCAGGCACCTGAGGGGACGGTGCTGCGGCGGGGGCGACCCGGGGCTGGACAGACACCTGTACGGGACGGTGCTGGGACGTGGGCGTGGGCTGCAAAGCGATCCCACGCGTGACGCTCTCGAGTCCCTGAACGAGAGCGCTCTGAACGCCCTGGCGCCCAACGCTCCGCCCAGCCAGGCCTCCAGGGCCCCGGGACGCTCCACGCGCGGGCCGCGGGAGCGGAGGACGAGGCGGGCGGTCGGGGTCCTGTCTCCGCCGGGGTCGCCTTCGGCCGGGCCTGCCGCCCTGGGCCGGGGCACGCGGAGACCGCAGCGCGCGGCCTCGGGATCCGGGACGCCCAGCACTCCAGCCAGTGCGCACGCGCCGACCCTCCCCGGCGGGCGGCGACAGAGAGTCGCGGGCGCGGTCCGCCAGGCCGCCTAGAGCGGCCGCCCCGCCTCCGTACCGCGCACCAGAAACGGAAGCGGAGCCGGCCCCGCCCCGCGAGCGGCCATCTTGGAGGCTGAGGCGGCGGAGGCGCTGCGGCGGCTTCGGTGGGCCCAGTGCCGGCGCGGCGCGGCTGTTTCGGGCGCGGGCCCCGCTCTTCCGCACCCTGCTCCGGCCTCGACCACGGCGAGCCTGAGCGCGGCGGCAGGGAGAGGTGAGCGCGCTCTCGGGCCTGCGCCGGGTGCTCGGGCCCGCTCGTCCGCCCCTCCGGAGCCGGCCACGGCGGCGGCCCGGGGCTGCGGGGGACCCTGCGCGCCGCCCCTCGGTTCGCGCCGCCTCCCGCGGCTCCCGGCCCGAGCTCGCCTGCGCGGAACCCGAGGTCGGTTACCGCGGGCGCCCGGAGCTCCGGGTCGGGGGCGGGTCGCGGACTCGGCCCCTTGTCCGTTGGGACCCTCGCCGCGCCGCCGGGACGGGCAGCCCGGGTCCCGCTTGGTACATGGGTCCCGGGAGCCTGTCGGGGGAGGGCTGCCCCGGAAACCCCGAGGACGAGCGTGCCCGGGACGGCCCCGAGCTGCGCGTCCTCCCCGCCTCTGGCCGGTGTCGCCTCCCGGCCCCCCTCTCGGTGCCCGGCGCTCGGCGCGTGTGCATTTCGCCCGAGGCCGGTTGCCGGCCTCTTCGCGGACCCGGAGAGGAAGCGGCCGAGAGGTCGGGTCTCAGCTCGGTGGAAGGACGGCGAGGAGCGCTCGGGAGGCTCGGCCGGGGCTGGCCGGTGGCCCTGCGCCCTGCTCCGGGGGAGCCGGACGGTGCGATCTGGCTTCCGAGTGGCGGGCCGTGAGGACCTCGCACGATCCGAAAGTCCAGCCCCTGAGCCCAGGGCGGGGTTGGGTCTGGGTGCCTGGGACTCGCAGTCTGCCATCTGCGTGGCCTGGCACCGCTGACCTCCACTCGAGGCGGGGGCGCGCGTGAGTGCCGGGCAGGTGCGTGTCCCGCCTCCGCCGGCCCGGGCCCCCATCCCGTCTCCGGAGCAGTCCCGGTGGAGAAGGCAGAGACTTCCGTGGATTCCTGGGCCTGGCTGTGCCGCTCGCCCGGCCGATGGGTCAGGCCAGCGTTTCCTGCCACATCCCCTGAGCAGGAAAGAGCTGTCCAGAGAAAGAGGGACGGGGCGAGGCTGGGCAGCCACCACCTCATAGTGCCTGGCACGGTTGCTGTCTGTGATTCACACTGCTTTACTGCAGTTTCCGTGTGTTAACTTTTTTTTCTGTGCCTTTTTCTTTGAAAAGCGATGTCCCTTGTCTGTGGGACGTGTCTGAAGGGAACCTGAGACACATATGCTTCAAACCTCTTCTCAGAGTTTGCTTCCTTTGCGGATTTTTTTTTTAGCAGGGTCTTACTCTCTTGCCCATGCTGGAGTTCAGTGGTGTGATCTGAGCTCACTGCAGCCTCTGCCTCCTGAGTTCAAGTGATTCTCCCACCTCAGCCTTCCGAGTACAGTAGCTGGAATTACAGACACCCGCCACCACACTTGGCTAATTTTTTGTATTTTTAGTAGAGATGGGGTTTCACCATGTTGGCCAGGCTGGTCTCGAACTCCTGACCTCAGGTGATCTGACCACCTTGGCCTCCCAAAGTGCTGGGATTATAGGCATGAGCCACCATGCCCGGCCCCTTTGTGGATTTTTATTTTCCTCGTCCTTCCTGCTGTCATTTTGGGATGATGAGAATTGAGGGAAATAGCCCTCTGGTTTCCTGAGGCACGTGAGAACGCTGTTCTGTGTGAGGCTTGGGAAGGGTGGTTGGGAAAACGGCAGTTGAATCGTGAACATGATTTTAAAAGCTTCTCAAAGCGAGTATGGGAGGGAAGCATTCTTGTGGCTGACCAGATGGAACCTGTTTTATTTTTGCATGGCTGTCCATAAACTTTCCTGCAGCCTGGCCACTTAGCTAAGTCCAGACACAGCTGCAGCAGAATCGTCCAGTGCATTATTTTGTATATGGCAGAGTGTTAGCTTCAAGGTGAGCTTTTGAAAGGACAGCCCGTGTGGCGGTGCTGCTTGGGGTCATGGCTACGTCCATCACCAGGTGTTGGCCCGAGGAGAGCTCCCTGGCCCATTGGCTTCTTGAGCCAGGAGCTGGGGATGCTGCTGTGTCGGAGTGCCTCCTTCCTGGGCGCGACTGTAGCCCTCCTCCTGGGGAGGCACTCCTTAGGCAGAGGAGCCTGCCCTTGCCTGTACTGGGGCCCAAAAGGGCCCTGCGTGGTGTGTGGGGGTCACATGGAGGCCAAGTGGGAGGCATTTGGCAGGGAAATCAGGGAGGCCTCTGAAGGCGGTGGCTCCAGCCAGGCCCGTAAGGGCCTAGGAGAGTTTGCAGTACAGTCTGGGCTGGGAAACAGCTGTGAGGAGGAGTGAGTGTGTCGATCAGGGGTTTGGAAGGGGGCCCGGACCATGGTGGGTCTTGGGAGTTGGGAATGAGGAGGGCTGGCTGGGTTGCTCTGTCAGGGGCTTGGCAGGCAGGAGGAGGTGTTGATGTTTATTTGTCTGGCTGCGGAGGTATCTTGAGGGTGGCTGGGCGAGTGGGTGATCTGAACAGTGTGGTGACTTAGGGGGTACAAGAGGGCCTTGAAATGGGGAGAAACTAGAAGCTCAGACTTTCCGGACCCACAGCGTTGGGCGGGGGCGGGCGGCTGCTGGAGTGTTGATGGAAGTGACAACATTCTGCGTTTGGACAATGGGAGTGGGAAGGACGTGGGGAACAAGGCTTACAAGGGTCAGGGACCCCAGAGCAAGAAGCAGAGGTGGGTGGTGCATCTGGGAGCACGCTGTGGGTGCCCTGGCTGAGCCCTGCTCTCTTGGCCCTGGGTGTGTGGGGTGAGCAGCCAGGCCCTGGCTGTTACCATCCTCAGGTTGGGAGCAGACACTAAACAGGCTGGTGGTGTTGGTTCTCTAAGGAGGAATAAACCAGGCAAGGAGGCCAAGAGTCTGGAGATCTTTTGGGGTGGAGACTGAAGGGAGGCGGTGTGTACGGCTGTTTTGCAGGTATGGAGTTGGCTCTCCCACTGTTGTAAAGACGGATCTGAGACTCGGTCTTTTTTTTTTTTGAGAGAGAGAGTCTTGCTCTGTTGCCCAGGCTGGAGTGCAGTGGTGCGGTCTCAGCTCACTGCAACCTCCGCCTCCCATGTTCAAGTGATTCTTCTGCCCCAGCCTCCTGAGTAGCTGAGATTTCAGGCACGTGCCACTACACCTGACCAATTTTTAGTAGAGACAGGGTTTCACCATGTTGGGCAGGCTGGTCTCGAGCTCCTGACCTCAGGTGATCCACCCGCCGTGGCCTCTCAAAGTGCTCGGATTAGAGGCATGAGCCACCGTGCCAGGCTGAGACTCGGTAATTTATAAAGAAAAGGGGTTTAATAGACTCACAGTCGTGTGTGGCTGGGGAGGCCTCAGGAAACGGAAAACCATGGCAGAAGGGGAAGAGGCACATCTTACATGGTGGCAGGCGAGAGAGAGCGGGCGAGAGCGGGCGAGAGCGGGGAGTATCGCCTTAGAAGCCATCAGAGCTTGTGAGAACTCACTGTCACTGGAACGGCATGGAGCTGACCACCCCTGTGATCCAGGCTCTCCCACCAGGTTCTTCCCTGAACATTAGGGATTATGGGAATTACAATTCAAGATGAGATTTGGGTGGGGACACAGCCAAACCGTATTAGCAAGGATCCTCAAGTGCAGAAGCTGGAGTGGAGCTGACTTCACGATTGTGCAAACTGGGAGTTCAGAGTGGAGATCATTGGTCAGTGGCTGTTATTCAGGGATAGTATTAAGGTGTGTGGTCATGGCCTGGTGTGGTAGCTCACACTTGTAATCCCAGCACTTTGGGAGGTTGAGGCAGTCCGATTACCTGAGGTCAGGAGTTTGAGACCAGTCTGGCCAACATGGTGAAACCCCATCTCTAAAAATAAAAAAAAAAAAATTTGCTGGGCATGGTGGCATGTGCCTGTAGTCCCAGCTACTTGGGAGGCTGAGGCAGGAGAATGGCTTGAACTTGGGAGGCGGAGGTTGCAGTGAGCCGAGATCATACCACTGCACAGCCTGGGCAATGAAGAGTGAGACTCTGTCTCAAAAAATAAATAAATAAAATAAAAATAGGTTTGAGTTGGAGCTGGTCTGATGCAGTGGGAGCCCTGTGTTCTCATTAGCACCCCTCTCCCCAGCCTCAGGCATGGCTAGGGGCCTTGGGGTGCCTGATCCAGCCTCTTCTCTTGCATGGTAAGGGAAGTGGTAAGGCTCTTGAGTGGTAAGGTTCCACACCTCACACCCTGTTCTTATCAGCACCCCTCTCCCCAGCCTCAGCCATGGCTCAGGGGCCTTGGGGTGCCCAATCCAGCCTCTTCTCTTGCATGATGACATCTCATGCCTCGTGCTTGGCCCTCAGTGCTATCTTGAACATCCCTCATGGAGCCACCAGAGCGACCTTCCTAATAGAAGATAGGGTCTGTTTAAGGCTTGGACCTAAAACCCCTGCGGGGCCCAGGGCGCAGTGGCTCCTGCCTGTCATTCCAGCACTTTGGGCGGCTGAGGTGGGAGGAGGTCAGGGCCACCGTGACTCAAGCCTGGGCAACAGAGAAATATCCTGTCTCACAAAAAATAAATGAATAAAACCATTTTGCCCTGGCCGCACCTCCTTGGGCAGTCTCACCCCTGCCCCTCGCTGTGCCTGGGCCCTGCCACACTGCCCTGTCTCACGTGTGGCCTGTTCACCTGTGGCCCCTTTTACCAGGAAGACAGTTGCTCCTCTGCCCAGCGAGTGCCTTGGAGTCTCCAGAGGCTTTGTCACTCCAGCCGCAGAGGCTCCCCTTGTCTGCAGTTCCTTTTGCTTGTGGCCAGCAGAACATGTTGGGCAGCAGGTCCCGGGTGTGTGCAGGGACTGGTGGTGGTGCTTGCCCTTTTCCGTGGTGTGGATTCTCCATCTATGAGGGATTTTTGAGCTCAGAGTTGGCAGGTGTGAGTAGCTCCCCTCAGAGCCGGCACCACTACCTCAGGCCCTGCGAGTGTCTCCCTGCGTGAGTTCTTTGAGGACAGGGGTGAGGATTTGGGTTTCTGCTCATCTTTGAACCTGAGCTGTACATTGTATCAGTGAAGGTGGTGGCAGGACAGATGGGAAAAGAAGCTGCAGGGCGGGTGGCGAGTCAGGGTGACCTGTGAGCTGTGACTCGGTGACGGGGCTGAGGTACGCACTTCAGGGCTGGGGCCCGAATGAATGGCGGGTTGCAGAAACAGGAGTCAGGGGTGCGCTGCGGGGAGAAAGCCGTGGTAAGCGTTGCTCTTCTTTGTCAGTGTAGATGTTGTTTTTAACAGATGAGCAGCACCAGCACTAAGAGGGCTCCAACCACAGCGACCCAGAGGCTGAAGCAGGACTACCTTCGCATCAAGAAAGACCCGGTGCCTTACATCTGCGCTGAGCCCCTCCCTTCGAATATTCTCGAGTGGTAAGGCTCTGCGCCACTGATCACCCCGCACTGGCTGTCGCTGCCACTCAGGCCTCCGCTGGCCTGGCTGGGTGAGCCTGGTGCCCCGGTCATGGCATTGGTGAGGTGCTCCTGCACCCTCCCCAGGGGTGAGTGCGTGCCCAGGGGCCTGTGGACACACTCTGGTAGTTTTCCCAGTGGACGCATGCTGGGGACATCACAGAGCCCTGCTTGACTCAGGCTGGGGCTGGAGAGAATCTCTGGTGTGGGGTCATTGGGTGAGGGGGGATCCAGGTTGACTCAGGCTGGGGCTGGAGAGAATGTCTGGTGTGGGGTGCTTAGGGGAGGGGTCCAGGTGTGCAGGGCTCACAGCTGCTGCTGATGTGTGTTCCAGGTGCTTAGAGGAGAAATTGCCTTTCTAGACTCTACTCTTTGCTTCTGGATATGGGAATTAGCCTGTTTTGGGCCAGTGTAGGACTAGGGTCCGACACTCCTGTCCCTGGTGCTGGCTTGGGCCAGGCGCCCCGACCCTGAGGCTGACGACGAGAGGACTTGTGCCTCGTAAGCATTAACCTCACGGGGACTCTTTCTTGTTGAAGTCTGGGGCTCTGAGGGTGCATGCCGCTCTGCGGAAACACCGCTGTTGCAGGGCTGTGGTGATCGTGTAAGAAATAAAGTATGAGGCTGTTTTATGTTCTAGTCTTTAAAAAATCAGTCTTTAGTTTTTTTAAATTGAGAGAAAAGATACTTCAGTGAGTTGAAAGGAAGTGTGTTTTGGTCAGGAGCTGCTTTCTCTGGCTTACAGAGGAGGCCCAGCACGGGCAGTCGGAGGGTACCCAGGGTCAGGCAGAGCCTCGGCCACCAGAGCGCTCTCTGCGCCCAGTGCTGAAAGTCAGATGCAGCCCCGGGACACAGTCGGCAGGTGCGAGGGACGCGTTCCACAGTATCCACCGCCTCCCAGGTTGCGAGGACGCCCTCGATGTGTGTGGGGAGCCCTCCCCAGAAGTCTATGGGTTGGCGTCCCCAAGACCCTGCTCAGGTTCAATGATGGGCAAAGAATACTTACCTTAAAATTTCGGAGAAGAAAACAGTAGCCAGCCAGCAGAAGAAGGATGTGGGGCAGAGTCTCCAGGAAGCTCAGCACAGGCCTTCGGCCTCGCGAGGGTCGTGCCCCAGTCCCAGCATCAGGCTTGGGCTTGGACAGCGTGTGTGGAATGTTGACCGGGGCAGCTCATTTGAGACCAAAACATATTAGGGGAAGGCCCAGGGATTTTATGGGGCTGGTCCTGCAGGTACTCTCTGCCTGTCGCCCGCCAAGATACTGGACTTGCTGGAGCAGGGGCTCAGCGTAGACCGTGTTACTTGAACTGTTTTGGCGGTGATCCCTGTGGTCAGGTGGTGGCAGCTGGCCTGGACGGCAGTGTCAGGCCTGTGCCTCGAGAGCCCCGGGTGCGGCCTGCTAGGTGTCTCTGCCCCGCTGAGGGAAGAGTGCTTTCCCAGAAAAGGCCTGTGGGGCGCGCTGCGGGCCACACAGATTCCATGTTGTCTCGGCCACCGCAAGGCTGCTGGGCTGTGTCTCCGGAAGAGGACGACTTCGTGTCTTCCCAGTGTTCACGGACTGGGCACAGTGACAAAACAGGACCACGTTCCTGGGTACGTTGTGTGCTGAGCTCAGAGGCACTTGGTTCCCGGGCCACTGACACACGATCATGACACTTTTGAGTAAAAGATACCAGCTGGCAGATAGCAGGCATCACAGACAGAGTCTTGCCCTGTCACCCAGGCTGCAGCGCACCACCATGCCCGGCTAGTTTTCTTTTTTTTTTGAGATGGAGTTTTGCTCTGTTGCCCAGGCTGGAGTCCAGTGGCACAGTCTCGGCTCACTGCAACCTCCGGCTCCTGGGTTCAAGCGATTCTCCTGCCTCAGCCCCCGAGTAGCTGGGATTACAGGTGTCCACCGCCATGCCCCACTAATTTTTTTTTGTATTTTTAGTAGAGATGGGTTTCACCATGTTGATCAGGCTGGTCTCAAACACCTGACCTCATGGTCCACTTGCCTCAGCCTCCCAAAGTGCTGGAATTACAGATGTGAGCCACCGAGCCTGGTCCCAATTAGCCTTAAAGTGACAGCACATGTGTCCTTTGGGAGAGCAGGGCAGTGGCTGGGGCTCGCAGTTGGCAGCAGTGTCTGGTTTCTGGCATCTCTAGCTGGTTTTACTTTCTTCTCTGTGCCCTTTGGTTTTGTTTGGGAATCTGTAAAGCCCAGACACTGCTTTACATAGAGTGAAAGCCTTACTCGTGTGTGTGGAGGGGTACGGATCGATTTGCTGTTGCTCCTGGTCTCAGGGTGAGCTCTGTGTGGGGAGTTGGCTTTGGGGAGAATCACGGCTGTTCCTGTTCCTTCCGCTCCGGAACAGCTGCTCAAGGTCACTTCTGGTGTTTCCAGGAGCATGAAAGGGTCTGGATACAGAGCCAGCGTCCTGTCACTAGCTGTGTTCTGTTTAGCCTACGTGCATGGTACTAAAAAGTACATTATACATAAGCACATTTTTAAAGATACAAATTTTGTTTTTTTGGGTTTTCTTTGTTTTGTTTCTTTTTGGGATGGAGTCTTGCTCTGTCACCCAGGCTGGAGTGCAATGGCACGATCACGGCTCACTGCAGTCTCCACCTTCTGGGTTCAAGCGATTCTCCTGCCTCAGCCTCCTGAGTAGCTGGGACTAGAGGTGTGTGCCACCATGCCCGGCTAATTTTGGTATTTTTAGTAGAGACAGGGTTTCACCATATTGGCCAGGCTAGTCTCAAACTCCTGACCTCGTGATCCACCCGCCTCGGCCTCCCAAAGTGCTAATATAAATTTTAAAATACACTTTTTTTTTTTTTTTTTTTGGAGACAGAGTCTCTGTTGCCCAGATTGAATGTGGTGGCACAATCATAGCTCACTGCAGCCTTAAACTCCTGGGCTCAGGTAATCCTCCCGCCTGAGACTGAAGTGTGCACTACCACCCGCCGCTGCTGACTTTTTTTTTTTTTTTTTTTTTTTTTTTTGGGAATAAAGGTGGGTCTGTGTTGCCTAGGCTAGTCTTAAACTCCTGGGCTCAATGATCTTCCCACCTTGGCCTCCCCAAATGCCGAGATTATAGGCGTGAGTCCCTACACCCAGTTTTCAAGTACATCTTAATAATGTGCTATGAAATTAAAATTTATTTAAAATTTCAGGGTTTTTTTTTTTTTTTGAGATGGTGTCTCTCTTTGTTGCCCAGGCAGGAGTGCAGTGGCACGATCTTGGCTCACTGCAGCCTTCGCCTCTTGGGTTCAAGCAGTTCTCTGCCTCAGCCTCCCAAGTAGCTGGAACTGTAGGTGTGTGCCACCATGCCTGGCTAAACTTTTTATTTTTAGTAGAGACGGGGCCATACTGGCCAGGCTGGTCTCAAACTCCTGACCTCGTGATCTGCCCGCCTCAGCCTCCCAAAGTGCTGGGATTACAGGCGTGAGGCACCATGCCCAGCCTCAGTTGTTATTAATGATTAGAGAGGATTAGCTTCGTGAGTGTTATATTGTAGAAACAAAGCTACTTTATGGTAAACTTGTATAGTCTCTAAGGTCTCATTACACAGAGACTAAAAGCACCCTTAGCAGAAGAGACTGGTGGCTTTGAAGCCGTGTTGCTGTTTGACATGCCACCTTCCTTTGTTCACCTTCTACCTGAATGTGAATGTAATTCTGGCTGGGTCCTGTGAACCCCAGGCTTGGAATTTTTAGATTTTGGAGAATTTGCTGTCCTCAAATCCCAACTAATTTTCTTCTCTCCCTTAGGCACTATGTCGTCAGAGGCCCAGAGATGACCCCTTATGAAGGTACGGATTCTGTCCTCAGTTAGCAGGCTTTATGTTCTGAAACGGCCTTGCCCGGTAAACATCTTTTATTTGCAAACAACAGCCTTTCTGCCTTGGATGGATGTGCCTTAGTTACATAGGCTCAGCTGGAACTCACCCCCAGCTGATTCTCCGAGCCCCGGAAGTGTTTGCTCCGCGCGGTGTGGGCTGCTGTCTGTCAGTCTGCAGCGGAGGCCCGTAGTGTCAGTGTTCACCAGCCTCCAACACCATAGGGTTAGAGCTGAGAAACCAGACCGGGGTAAACACTGAAGCTGGCCTGTCTGCTGTTTCTTAAGACCTAGTGAATATCATCAAAAGGAAAGAAAGGCAGGTTCTTCAGTGTGTCTCTGTGCTGGGCGCTCTCAGGGTCTTGCGATCCTCAGAACGGCCTTTGAGCTAAGCGGAAGTCTCCCTGTGTGTGGTGGCATCTGGGGCTCTGGGAGGCTGCAGGACCTGCCCAGCACGTCAGTCCCTCATGGGCTGCCAAGGCCACCCCAGGTCAACAGCCGACACCGAGAGTCCCGGGTGTCTTTACAGAGCAGACACTGGAGTGGTCAGCAAGTTTCTGGGGCCTTAAGGGGTGCTGGCACCAGCCTCAGGGTCTGGGCCAGGTTAGGAGTCGGCATGCCTGTGGACGCTGCCCCACCAGCAAGTGTAAGGCAGAGCAGGGCCAGGTCGGCAGCCGCTTGGCTCTCCAGCCACAGGGCCCCGGCTTCAGAGGGCTGGAGCAGCAGGCTCTGTCTGCCTGTGTGTGGGGCTTTGGGTGAGATTTCACGAGAGAAGGGTGCTGCTGCTAGAGGTTTGCTCACCCCTGCTTTGGACTGTTGGGAGGGGGGTGGGTGGGTAAGAATGAAAAGGGTCAGGCTCTCCTGAAGGCGCTTTGGCTGAGTTATCACAGCCTTACCCTTACTCTCCTTTGATCCAGGCATCCCAGTTCCGGGATAACCTGCAGCCAGCGTGCAGGAGCACATCTAGGGTGGGCGCGTGATCACGGCGTCACTGATGAGGACTGGCACTGGGGATGCCGCAGGCCGAGGCGAGATGCGGCCTGTGAGCAGGCGTCCAGGGCGTGCGTGTTCAAGTGCGGCTGACATGTCTGGGTGCCTTCAGCTGGTGTGAAGAACGTAACCACAAAATGAGTAGCGGTCTTTGATGAGCAAAATTATGCCAGCTTAAAAAATTTTTTCTGTTTTGTGGTTTTAGTATTTTTGTATCTTTTTTTTTTTTTTTGGGACGGAGTCTCCCAGGCTGGAGTGCAGTGGCATGATCTTGGCTCACTGCAACCTCTGTCTCCCGGTTTCAGGCGATTCTCCTGTCTCAGCCTCCCAAGTAGCTGGGACTACAGGTGCCCACCACACCTGGCTAATTTTTATATTTTTCGTAGAGACGGGGTTTCACCATGTTGGTCAGGCTGGTCTCTTAACTCCTGACTTTGTGATCGGCCCACCTTGGCTTCCCAAAGTGCTGGGATTATAGGTGTGAGCCACCAATGCCTGGCCAGTTTTAGTATTTTTGAAACAAATGTTGAATATTGATTAATTCTGTAACCACATCCCACAGCCCCCATCATCACCAGCCCGGGCAGTTGCTGGTGGAGACGAGCTGCTCCCTCGACAGGGTGGGACACAGTCGGGAGAAGGGGGGCAGCCCCTGGGGGTGTGCAGGGGGTGTGGCCATTGTCAGCCCCAACCCTGTCACTCGTTCTTCATCTTGGTCTTCTCCCATCCCTTCAGTGGTTGCTCACAACCTTGGGTGGCTCTGGTGGTCCCGGGTCTCAGGAAAGCCTCCCTTCAGAGACAGAAGGCGTCTTCCTGCTGCCCTCCCTTTTCCCTTTCTGTGGTACTGCTGCTCCCGCCCGGCCCTCCCCTCACTGGGGCTGCCTTCTGCTGTTTGCAGCCCTGCCCTCTGCTCTCCTTCAGCGTCTCCAAATTGCCACTTGCTAAGGGGCTGTTCTCAGGCCTCAGTTTCTTGGCCTCTGGTATCTGATGCTGCTGCTGATGGCTTCCTTCTCGACTTTGGGATGTTCTGACCCCTCTTCCTGCCTTTTTGGCGGCTCCTGTGCAGGGTCCGTGTCTTTTTGCCCCGGCGTGCATTAGCTGTGGCCCCTCCACATGCTGGGCTCCTTGGCCGTTCTGCCCCTGGTGCTGCCTGACAGTTCAGAGCTGGCTTCCTACAAATGTTGCTAAATAACTCCCCAAGTTAATCTGTAGATTTTACACAGTCATAAAAAATCTCAGTAGTTTTTTTTTTTTTTAAAACACTACCCAAGCTTACTCTAAAATTTACATGTGAAGGCAAAGGACCTAGAATAGCTGAAATAACTTTTCTAAAGTGGAGTCCATGGTTTCAAGACTTACCCCAGTGATGAGGGTCAGGCGGCGGTAGGGGAGGGACGGGCCTTGGGGCAGAAGAGCCAGCTGGGCCTTCGCCTCAGGCTTTTCAGCAGATGGTGTGGGGTGTGGGGACGTCCCTGGCCACCGTGTTCAAGTCGCCGGGGACCCACTTCAGGACGAAGTGGGTGTTTCCTGATTTTCACCTGTGCGGATGCCTGGTACTGTCAGTATCTGTGTATGTGGCTCTGCCTGCGTTTGTCTGTGTTTCTTTGGTGGGTGGCAAGCAGTGGAATTGCTGTCTGGGGCTTCCCGACGTGTCTGTGCTCAGTGGGGCAGCAGGGTGCCCATCTCCCAGTGCCCTCTCCACTCCACGTGACCCCTTCCTGCCGTGTAAATCACACTTTCCTGTCAGTACCGAGCTAAACGTCATCCCAAACTGGCTTTGGCTGTCCTGCTTCCTCTTTAGACACACACCTTTTTCTGTCACTCATTCTTCGGCCTTTCCTGAGGACCCCGTGTGTCCTCTGGGTGCCATTCCTTCGGAAGACGCCTTCCCCTCACTCTGGTGCATGTGGCTTTTCACCAGGGTGGGTTAGTGACATTCGCTCATGCCATCTCTCCACTGTCGGCTCCACCGCTGTTCTGTGCGTCCTTGAGTGCCAGCCTGGGCAGAGTGCAGAGAGGATGCTGTAGCGCCCCCATGCTCAATAGCATGTCCGACAGTGAAGCTGTGTTTCCATCCAGGATCTGTGGGAGGGAGAGCAGCCCCCAGCGATCGAGAGACACACAAAGGAAAACAGCTTTGATCACCCTCGGGCTCTGGGGTGCCCGGCCCCCTGGGAGGCCACACACACAAAGGGAGGCCAGGGAAAGTGGAGAGATCGGGACCCCCAGGCTGACCCTTTATTGAGTCTAGGGCGTTCTGCACACAGGTTTCCCTCGGGGAGTTGGAGTTTTAAATGGTGGGTTTAAAGCACAGGGGCACAAGCCCCGAGGGGCCATGCTGTGACTGTGAGGGACTCTGCGGCCTGGCCGCATAGTCCATGTGGGCTTGGGGTCCACGGGGACACAGGGAGGTGGTCGCCAAGGAGCAGTTGCGAGGAAGGGGGCTGTGAGCTGGAAGGTGTCGACGAGGGGGTGGTCCTGCTTCGGGTCGGAGAAGGTCCAGCCTAGATTCAGAACAGATGCTGAGGTAGCCTGAAGCATGAGGATTCCCTGCAAGATGTGAAGTGGCTGCAGGGCAGGGGTGCTGCTTCCTGCACAGGCTGGCTCTGGAGCAGAAGAGCTGTGGCCATTTGGGACTCGCGTTTCCTTGAGGCAGGGCTGTGCACAGGGAGCCCAGGGGGGAGGACAGGCCGGTGCTCCTCATACCTGTGGCATGTGCAGGTACACAGGCGGCATGCATGCGCACACGTCACGAACACGTGTCACGCATGCAGGTGTGTCCAGGGATGGCGTGCACACAGCTGCATGCACGTGAATACATGCACACACCTGTCACGCACGCGGGTGTGGCCGAGAAGTCCTGGCTCCCACACTTCTCCCCTGGTTTGGGTTGGCCCAAGCTCTACATTTCCAACCAACTCTAGGTGCAGCCTGGACAGCCAGGGTGTGGGCCTCAGGCTGGGGCGGGGCTGCCGTGGGGCAGCTTGTGGAGGGTCGGGAGCAGGGGCGGGGGAGGGGGTGGCACCCAGGGTGAGGAGTTCTAGATTGATTTGAAGCGGGGGCTGACAGGATTTGTTCATGGGTAGGGTATGATACCAGGAGGTGTTTGCCATTTGGTGGGAGTGACTGGAATTCTGTCCTGGATGGGGGCATCTAGGTGCTGTCCTGTGGATGGTCAGGGTAGTGGCCTGGAGTGTGCAGGGGGCCTGTGGGTCCAGGGTGAGGGTGCTGGCTGAGCAGCCATTCCAGGGCTCCTGGTGGGAGACCATGAAACTGGGGCAACCCCAGGAGTATGCCAGGACTGAGAGGAGAGTGCCCTGTGCCTGGGTGGCTGAAGAGGGGCTGGCTGGGGTGGGAAGAGGGGGCGAGAGGGAGGAGCCACACCAGGGTGGGGCTTTGAAGAGGTGGAGCCAGGAGTGGCCCCTGATAAGGCCAGGCTGAGGGGTGGTCAGAAACCAGTGGGGACGTGTGGGTGACCCTGAAGTCGACCTTCAGGTCAGGTTTGGTAGAGCAGGGAGAAGGCCTGGTCAGATGGACTTGAGGGCTTGGGAGGGGAGGATGTGGGGACAGCCACAGACAAGGCCCTTCTCCAGGGGTTCAGGTCAGAGCAAGGGGCATTTGGCAGCAATTGGAGGGACGTGGGGTAGAGAGTGGTGTGCTTGAGGTGGGTTTTGCTGGCCTCTGGGTGCAGTTGGGTCAGGGAGGCGGACGGTACTGGAGAGTTGCTGGGTCGGGACCCCAGTTCTGCGAGGGGCGGCCTCAGCTGGACATGGAGCTCCTGATATGTTGCGGGCTTTGCAAGGAGGCCCTGCAGGCCCCCTTCCGACCCCTCCGCTCCCGGTTGGGGTGTGTGTGTGCGGGTATAGGTGGGGTGTGGAGGGGCGTTGGGTCGGAGTGGTCATGACAGTGGGATGGAAGTGGCACTGGAGAGTGAGGCCGGAGAGGCGGGGGGACTGAGCCTGGGAGCCGGTTCGGGTTAGAGAGGGCAGCGAGGACCCGGGAGCTGGGCTGAGTGGTGGCGTGTGGGTGGGGAGACCTCCAGCCCCTCCTCCTGCCCCCGCGGTGGGGGACAACAAGGCCTTTTCTGTTCTGTTTCCATGTAGGTGGCTATTATCATGGAAAACTAATTTTTCCCAGAGAATTTCCTTTTAAACCTCCCAGTATTTATATGATAACTCCCAATGGAAGATTTAAGTGCAACACCAGGTAAGGACCGGGAGGGCCGAGGAAGCTCTGTGGTCCGAGGGGGCGTGTGCGCTGACCGGCCCCTGTTTTGCAGGCTGTGTCTTTCTATCACGGATTTCCACCCGGACACGTGGAACCCAGCCTGGTCTGTCTCCACCATCCTGACTGGACTCCTGAGCTTCATGGTGGAGAAGGGCCCCACCCTGGGCAGCATAGAGACGTCGGACTTCACGGTGAGGTTTCGAGCAGCTCTCCCTGGCGGGCCGTCAGCCTTGCGTCTGGGGCTGGTTCTGCTCCTGAGTCGCAGCTGCCTTTCTTCTCAGCAGGCAGGGCTGGGTGGAGTTCCTGCCTTGTCCCCGGCACCGTCATGGAGACTGCTCTGCTCCGGGCTTCCTCGGCGCTCGGCCTCCTGTTCCCCTCTGCCTCTTGGTCTCGCTTTTACCCGCATCAAGCTTCACGCACGCCCAGCGGGGGCCCTGCCGTGGGATCTTGGGGTGGGCTGAGGCGGTGCCAGTTACGCAGCCTGGGGGGCCCTGCCGGCAGGGAGCACACTGCCTTTCTCGCTAGCGTGTTTTATTTTTCTGTTTTTAATAGGAATCAAGTGTGATAGCATTAATTGGTCATGGAAAGATCAGTAAGCCTTTTTGAGATTCTCAGTCAGTTTGTTATGAAGAGCATGCTTACTCAGTACCTTCTACAGCCTGAAGACTGCAGCTCTTGACTTTGAAATAACCTGTTTTTAGAAGTTCGAAAGAATTGGCTGGGCACGGTGGCTCACTAGGATTACAGTGCTAGGGAGGCCGAGGTGGGTGGATCACCTGAGGTCAGGAGTTCAAGACCAGCCTGGCCATCATGGTGAAACCCCATCCTAAGAAAAAAAAATAAATAAAATAAATAAAATAAAAAAAAGTTTGAAAGAATTGAAGTTAGTTTTCTGGCTGATTCCCTTCTCTTTCTTCCTAGAAAAGACAGCTGGCAGCGCAGAGTTCAGCGTTTAATTTAAAAGATAAAGTCTTTTGTGAATTATTTCCTGAAGTTGTGGAGGTAAGAAAGAGAAAGTAGGAAGTGAGTTTTGCCTTCCCCTGTGTTAAAAACACTTGTCAGTTTCACTTCTTCCCAAAGCTTAAGGTTTGTATCCTGAAGCTGCAGACCTTCCCAGAGGATGGCTCCTCTCCGGGAGCCCCGAGGCAGGAGAGACAGAAGGCCTGGGCCCTGAGGGGTGGCCTGCCAACCACCCCGGGGCTGGGGGCTGGGCCTGTCCCAGAAGGGCGTGGAGCTCCTTGGCCTCAGTGGCCCTTACATGGTCTGGGGATGGCTGGGAGGCACAGCAGCTGCCCGAAGCCATGTGGGACTGGAATGGATCCTGGTCTTGGCCTGCGACTCAGCCTTGCTCTGATCTGAGTGCAGGGACCCAGAGGGACAGGCGCAGTGAGGCCGGCCCTTGCTCAGGCCCTCACCTGTGAGACAGGGTCAGGATGGGACACAGCCAAGGTCTTTGGTGGTGGTGGGCTGTGGGCTCCTAGGAATGGGAGTGCTGGTCCCGAAGGCGCTGGCTGGAGACGAGCTGAGTTTCTCGCTGTTTTTCTCTTAGGAAATTAAACAAAAGCAGAAAGCACAAGACGAACTCAGTAGCAGACCCCAGACTCTCCCCTTGCCAGACGTGGTTCCAGACGGGGAGACACACCTCGTCCAGAACGGGATTCAGCTTCTCAACGGGCACGCGCCAGGGGCCGTCCCAAACCTCCCAGGGCTCCAGCAGGCCAACCGGCACCACGGACTCCTGGGTGGCGCCCTGGCGAACTTGTTTGTTATAGTCGGGTTTGCAGCCTTCGCCTACACCGTCAAGTACGTGCTGAGGAGCATCGCGCAGGAGTGAGGCCTGGCATCGAGACCAAGGCGCCACTGAGGGCGCGTCGCACGAGCGTGACCTGGGCCGGCCAGACATGCTGCCCAGCACAGGCACACCCACCAGGCTCCTGGCTTTAGGTTTTAAAAACCTGGAAAGGAAAGCAAAAGCCAAAATGTGTGACTGGGCTTCGGAGGAGACTGGAGACAGCCCTGCCCTGGCCATGTGCCGCGGGGGCTGGCGTGGAGGGGCCGCCGGCTGCGGGTTTTGTAGCATATCTTCTGTGTTGTCTTTGGATCTGTTTTAGTAAACCCGTTTTCCATTTTAGTAGATTTGGTCGCTTAGAAATACAACCCGATGCCGACTGCAGGCTGTGCCTGCATTCTTGGAGCTCCCGGCTCCTCCGTGGGTGGGATCCTGCGTCCTGGTGGTGGGGCTGGCCGTGTGGTGACAAGGCTTAGCGGGGCGGGTGACGGCCATGGGTCAGGATCCAAGGGGATAGGGTTTGGTCTCGGCAGTTTAAAATGTGTTTGCCGCCGGGCGCGGTGGCTGACGCCTATAAAATCAGCACTTCGGGAGGCCGAGGTGGGCTGATCACGAGGTCAAGAGATCAAGACCATCCTGGCCAACATAGTGAAACCCCGTCTCTACTAAAACATATATTAAAAAAATTAGCCGGGCGTGGTGGCGCGCGTCCGGAGTCCCAGCTACTCGGAAGGCTGAGGCAGGAGAATTGCTTGAACCTGGGAGGCGGAGGTTGCAGTGAGCCGGGATTGCCCCGCTGCACTCCAGCCTGGCGTCTGGCAACAAAACGAGACTCTCAGAAAAAAGAAAAGTGTCTGCCGGCAGTCAGAACGAGACCCATCCTTCTGGAGGCGCTTGGGCTTTGCTGCTGCAGGGAAGTCAGGAGCATGAGGGGTCGCCCTTGGCTGTGGCTTCTGCGGGGCGGGGCCTCCCGGGCGCCCCTCTGGCTGCTGCAGGCTGGGGGCCCCGGGCACCTGCAGAGCCTTTTCTCCGAATTCCTGAGGTCGGCGGCCCGAAGTCGGTGCTCTGGTGCTGGTGAAGGCGCAGGGCTGGAGGCCCCGCGGCCGGAAGACTGGCGCTGCGCTCGGGCTCGCCCGGGGCTTCCTCCTGCGCTGGCCACGGTAGGTGACGGCTCCGCACCACGTTCGCTCTTCACAGGAGATGGCAGAGGCGACCCCGGCCCGGGAGAGACGCCATGAGTCGGCGGGGCTGTGTCGGGCCCACGGCTCCCCGCATGGTGGTCGCCTTCCCGCCTCTGCGTCCCTCCGTGGCTTCGCCGCGTGGGGTGTGCCGAAGGTGGGTCGTGGCCGCAGGCAGGAGCCCACCTGTCCCAGAGGCACAGCCGGTGCCATCACCCTTCGGAATTGCTTATAACTTAGCACTTGTGTGTACTGAACCTATTCTTGTGGGAAAAAGTCTTCTGTCACGTCTTTGTTTCTGAATTTCTTTTTTTTTTTTTTTTGAGATGGAGTTTCACTCTTGTTACCCAGGCTGGAGTGCAGTGGCGTGATCTCGGCTCACCGCAACCTCCGCCTCCTGGGTTCAGGCGATTCTCCTGCCTCAGCCTCCTGAGTAGCTGGGATTACAGGCACGCGCCACCATGCCCAGCTAATTTCTTGTATTTTTTGTAGAGACGGGTTTCACCATGTTGACCAGGATGGTCTCGATTTCTCGACCTCGTGATCCGCCTGCCTCGGCCTCCCAAAGTTGTGGGATTACAGGCTTGAGCCACCGCGCCCAGCTGTTTCTGAATTTCATGCCGCCTGTGTCCGTGCTGGCCGCGACGTGTGTCCATCTCTGTGCTCAGGGCTGGGGTGGCCGTGACCAGGGGTCACACGTGCTGGCCTGGGGGCGGTGTGGCCGCTGCAGGGCAAGGTGGGTCCCAGTAGGGAGCTTCTGCAGACCTCTGCCCGAATCCCGTACTGGACGCCAACCCCGCTGCAGCCTCGGCGCCTCCATGACCAGCAGCATCAGTTCCAAAGCCTGCTGTTGCCCGGGGGTCGTGGGAGAATGCTGACTCCCGTTTCCTGTCAGGTATGCTGACTCCCGCCTGTAATCCCAGCACTTTAGGGGGCTGAGGGGCGGGTCTCTTGAGCCCAGCCTGGGCAACGTAGACCCCATCTCACAAAAACAACGACCTGGCTGTGATGGTGCACACCTATGGTCTCAGCTACTCAGGAGGCTGAGGTGGGAGCACCACCTGAGCCCAGGAGGTGACAGCCGCAGTGAGCCGTGATGGGGCCACTGCACTCCAGCCAGGTGACAGAGCGAGACCCTGTCTCAGACGTTTTACTTCTTTTCTACATGTAAAATCTCATTTTTTTTTCAGACAGAGTCTTGCTCTGTTACCCAGTCTGGAGTGCAGCGGTGCCATCACGGTTCACTGTAACCTCCCCTCCTGGGTTCAAGGGATCCTTCAAACTCCTACGCGGCCCCTACGTAGCTGGGACCACAGGTGTGAGCCACTGTGCCTGGCTAATTTTTGTAGTTTTTGCAGTTATGGGGTTTCGTGATGTTGCACAGGCTGGTCTCAAACTCCTGAGCTTGAGGGATCCATCTGCCTTGGCCTCCGGAAGTGTTAGGATCACAGGCAAGAGCCACCATGCTGACTGAAATCTCAAGTTTTTTTTTTTTTTTTTTAAGACAGCTTCACTCTGTCACCGGGGCTGGAGTGCAATGGTGCAGTCTCAGCTCACTGCAACCTCTGCCTCCCGGGTTCAGGTGATTCTCTTGCCTCAGCCTCCATAGTAGCTGGGACTACACGTGCCACCACCATGCCCAGCTAATTTTTGTATTTTTAGTAGAGGTGGGGTTTCACCATATTGGCCAGGCTGGTCTTGAACTCCTAACCTCATGATCTTCCTGCCTCAGCCTCCCAAACTGCTGGGATTACAGGTGTGAGCCACCCCATTTGGCCTGGAAATCTCAACTTCTAACGACCTGTGGTCAGCAGTGGACGTGCCTGGCGGTGCCCATGGCCTATTGTCTGCACTGGCCCAAAATGAAAGATGATCTTTTGCCTGTGGGGCCGGGCTTGCCTGACCCCATCCCCATTTCCCTTAGAGGAATCATGGGCTCCTCTGTTCTTGTGGCGCCACTGGTGGGGGCTGACCTTGACCTCACCCCCCGCCCCGTGAGCATGGAGTGAGGGGTGTGGGGTCCGCCTTTCCCGACCCATGCTGGATGCTGGTCACAACTAGGGCTCACCTGCCGAGTCTGGCGGGGCTGGTGCAGTGTGGGAACTTCCCAGTGCCCCCAGAGTTCATGACCTTTGTGGACACGGGGCCGGGAGGCTTCACCAGTGTGCTCTGGAGTCAGCTTCTGAGGGCCCGGAGGGCAAGGGGGCAGCCAGGGTCCCTGGCAGGTTCCCAAGCATCATCCCCATCCCAGCCTGGTCTCCGGTGGCTCTGCCTGTGGATGCGGCCTGGGGCTGGGGTCTCGGCGTGGCTGCCCTTGGGTCTGGCAAATAGTGGGGGGGTGTCTGGAGTGTTCCAAGCTGTCCATCAGGGCCGGCACATTGAGCTTCCTGTTAATTTGGTGGCCACTCAGCCTCAGCCAGGACTAGTGGCTGGGGTTCTTCCAGCACCCCCGGCTACCCCTTCCCCCAGCCACTGGGCCCAAGGGGCCTGTTGCCTTGACCTGGCCTCACCTGACCCAGGTGTAACTCAGGGCCCTGCCTTCCCAGCCAGGCCCGCCAGCATCCCCAGGACCCTGGGCTGGGCTGTGAGGGCAGGGCACCGGGGAGGGCCTGGGTGAGGAGGTTGTGGGAAGGGACTGGGCTCTGTCCATGGCTGGTGGCTGCAGCTACCGGGGAGCCCTTGGACGCTCGCTCCTGGTGGCTGGCTGCAGAGGCTGGTGCCAGGGGGGGCCAGGTCAGGTTCCTGGAGGAGGAAGGGGAGGAGTCAGCTGTCTTCACGGTTCCCAGGATGAGGCGGATCTCTGGGGAAGGGGGGAGGGCCAGGGTGGGGTCTGGGGAGGGGAAGCAAGGAGTGGAGGTGGGGGCCAGGGGGTCTCCGCCTCATCTCCGCCCCTGGCAGCTCGTCCGAGTGTGAGCCTTCCCCTTGGAGCCTCGAGGTCTGGGGAGGAGGGCAGGGGAGGATTCATTTGTCAGTGGAATGAGCAGGCCAGAGGGCTGCGACACTGGGGACCTGCGTGGGACCGTCACGCGCAGATCTGGGCAGATCCCTGCAGACGTGCGGTGGCGCAGGCCGGACGTGCCCCTGTGCCTCGTCCCTGCCCGGGGGCTGTGAGCGCCGGCCGCCCCACGACCGCGTCCTGGCGCCGGGGTCCCCCCACCGCCACCGCCACCACGTCTTCCCTCCAGGGGATGCCGGAGGCCCCTAAGGTAGGTGGCCGTCGGGGCACTCGTGGTTGCTGGGAGCTTCGGCTGCGGGCTGTCGTCCCCCAGCAGGCCCTGTGGCTCCTCCAGGCCTTGGCCATGGGGCCTGTCGTGGGGTCTGCTGCAGCCTGCCCTGCCGGCCTCTGGGAAGCCCCCTCCTCCCCTGCGGCCAGGACCCGGCCCCCAGCTGTCTGGGGTGGGTCGGCGAAGGGGGCTTCCCGCAGGGGTTGGGGCTGCAGTTGGCCCTTTGAGGCCTGGGCCTGCCGTGTCCTGAGCAACCTGTTGCTATTGGCTAAATTGCTGATTTCGGGGTGGGGGTGAGGAGGGGCCAGGCACCTCGTTAGATGGTTCAGCAGACCCCCGAGAGCCCAGCGCCCCGTAACTCCTATGGCTGGAGACACTGGCAAGCCTGTCGCTTGTGCTTTTGGGGGTCCTGTGTAGCCAGCACCCCTTCTTGCAGGTGAAATCCTCAGGCCCCAGCCTGGCCAAGCATCCTCACAGAGGCAGAAGGCCCTGAGCCCACCTCAACCCTGGGCTTCCTGTCCTGTCGAGGGTCCCCGGATGGGTCTCCAGCTGCTGCCCTCAGGCCCCAGGACTGGGAGGGGAGCTGCAGCCTGCACACCTTTGGTACTGGCTTCCCCGCTCCCGAGGGCGTCTCTGCGGCAGCCAACCCGGCTGCCTCCCAGCCCCCGCAGCCCCATTTCCCAGATGGGCAGGCTGAGGAAGGTTGAGGCCTTGAGGCTGTGGCTCTGCCAGCTCAGGAAGAGTGGGCTGGTTCCCGGTGTGAGGGCCAGGCTGGCATTGCTGGCAGGGGCGGGCGGTGGTGGGGTCCTCAGCAGTCTCGGCCAGTCCCAGGGAAGGGAGGGGCGCCCCTGCCCAGGGCTGCTCCAGGCCTCCCTGGAAGGGTGTGTGCCCAGGTGTGTGCCCAGGCTGACCCTCTAGGAGTCCGGGTGGGTGGTTCTGCAGTCTGCTCTCTGCTGCCTCTGGCCCTCATTCTCCAGATAGGCTGATGCTCATGCCCCTCCAGGGCACCGGGTCCCTCCAGCTGGTTGCAGGCCGCCAAGAGAGCCAGCAGACAGGGGGTACGTGAGGAGTGGGGGGTGCATTTGAAATGGTCTTGGCTTGTTTTTCCCTGGGCGGGCCCGGGTCAGGGCTGGGGACGTGCTCACCCTCCTGGCCCCCACGTTCCCATGGTAGAAGCCTGTCTGGTCCACTGGGAGGACCCCCTGCTGTGTCCACTCAGGAGGCCGAGGCTGTCTTCAGAACCTGGCCCTGCTGGTTTGGGGCTAGGCCAAGCTCAGGATGGGACTCTGCTGTGGGCCAGGGTCCCTTGGCTCACCCTGCCCTGGGGAGGGGCTCTCTCCCGGCCAGGCCGCACACTTGCTGTTGGAGCCTGGCACTTGTCCGCTTGCAGGCCAGGCTGCTGCAGCCCATACCCGCTTAATGCTCCTTCTCTGACTGTGGAGGCTGGGGTGGCTTAAGCGGGTGATGGAGAGGGCAGCAGGCTCTTGGGGCAGCTCTATCCCACCGTGTCTGGCCATTGCTTGAGACAATAGGGGTGGGCTGACAATGGGGGTGTCCTGGGGACAATGCCAGGACCTGAACCCAAGGAGTGGAGTGAACTGGAAGGTACAGGGTCCTTGGAGGCAGAGTCCATGCCCCCTTCCCCCCGGGAGCCACTTGGCCTGGTGCCTCTGGGACTCCCAGTAAGGCCCGTGAAAACTCTCTCCTGTCTTCCCCACAAGGCCCCATCCCCGGCCGGGCTCAGGGCGTCAGGGTCCGGCTGTGCCCACGGAAGCCCTGCGTCCTTGCCCTGCCGGTACCCGGCATCGGGACAGCTTCTGAGGCCCCCATGGCGGCTGGTGGTCTTTCTCCTGCCGGCGATGGCTTGTGGCATCTTCCCTGTGTCTGCCCTGGGGTTCCCAGCTTTCTGCAGGGCACAGCCCCAGTGCACTGACCCGGTCCCGTCCCTTCAGCCCTCCCAGGCCTCAGGACCTGAGTTCTCAGATGCCCGCAGGACATGGCTGAACTTTGTACGGCGGCCACTCGCCGGCGCGTTGAGGAAGCGGTGCCGAGGCCGGGACACGAAGCCGGTGAGACTGGCTGGGGTGCGGTGCTGCCTGCTGCTGGGTCCCACTGGGACCCTCACCGTCGTCTTCTGTCTCCCCGCAGCGGGGCCTCTTGGGCCCCCCAGGACCTCCAGGTGCAGAAATGACCCCAGAGACCCTGCTCCGGGAGTTTCAGGAGATGCTGGAAGGTCAGCCGCCCCAAACTGCCCCGGGTCCGGAGGTGCCTGGGCGCCTGAACTGACCCTGCTGGCCGCCTGTGCCCTCTTCCCCGCAGAGGCCACGGAACACCGGTTCTCAGGGCCGTTGGACCCAGTGTGGCCCCCGGGGGTGGGCCCGAGGCTGTTGGGCGAGGCCTTTCACTGCCGGCTGAAGGGCCCCCGCCGGGTGGACAAGCGGATGCTGGTGGAGCTGGACGGCTTTCAGGCTGTGAGTGGGGCCGGGGCCCAGCCCGGTCCAGAGTCTGGGAGCTGGGTGGGGCCCCAGGTGGGTTGGAGGTCTGGAGGGGGCTTGGAGGGCAAAGGGCTGCCTCGGGTCAGGGTTGGGAGGCCCTGGGGGGCCCAGACCACACCTTATGCCCAGGCCAAGGATGGGTCCCCAGCAGCCGCGAAGCAGGGGGATCCTCCTGGGTGCGGGCCGGAGGGTTCACTCGTCGGCACCCACAGAGAGAGTGAGCGTCCCGGGGAGGCCTGCTCCAGTGAGGGGCTGTCGGCTGCAGGCACCTTCCCCGGGAGGGGTCTGTGGGGTGCTGGCCGCTCACCCGCTGCCCTCACAGCCTGCCACCCAAGGTGCCTTCCTTCGAGGCTCCGGTTTGAGTCTGGCCTCGGGTCGGTTCACGGCACCTGCGTCGGCATCTTCCAGTTCTCTGCCAGCCTGCACGTGGGTGAGCCGGATGGGGCTGTGCTGTGTGCTGTGACGGGGCTCGGGCCGAGCTTCCTGGGGGTGCCCGGCCCTGGGCACGGCTGGTGGTCTTTCTCCCCTTAGAGAGCTGCCCCCTGCCCACGCCTTGGACTGGGTGTGGGGTCCCTGCTACACTCTGGGCCTCAGGCCCACCCTCCCGAGCCCCAGCAGCCACTCCTGGGCCTGTCCTGGGCCAGGTGCCCCAAAGCCCCTGCCTGGGCCCCCACGCCCCCATGCGCCACCCTCCCCAGGGCTGTCTCCACAGACCACAGTGAGCTGCAGGGCAAGGCCCGGCTGCGGGTCCGGGGTGCCGTGCGTGTCCTCGTCTGCATCCAGTCTCTGTGCCAACGCCACATGTGAGTGGCCTCAGCCCCGCTCCAGGCACAGCCCAAGGGACCACCCTTGGGCTGGGGGGGTCACAGGCCCACACAGGGTCTCTGGGCATGGGGGTGGGTCTTGGCCCCGTGGACCTGCAGCGCCTCAGCCTTGTCGTGCGGGGCTGTGTTCAGGTCCCTGGAGGTCATCTCGGGCCTAGGGGGCAACAGCAAGTCTTCACAGCACAGCTGCAGGGGAGGCGGGGATGGGAGCGTGAGGCTGGGCCAGGTGTGAGCAAGAGGGTTTGGGAGTGCTCGGGGCGCAGAGCTCTGGGGCCTCAGCACCTCCTAGCACAGGGCAGGCGGGCAGACGCTGCCTGTCGAGGGGCTGGGGTGTGGCTGCCCGCCGTGGTGACGTCCCCGTACCTCTCACAGGCTGGGCAGTACGCCTTCGTGTTTGCGGACAGTGGTTCCGGGGCCGTCCTCACCATCCAGGCGGGCTCCAGCTTCTCTGGGCTGCTCCTGGGCACGTGAGGGTGCTGAGGCGGGCTGGGCGAGGAGCTGCCGCCGGAGTTTGGGGATCCTCCCATGGGTGCCTGTGGTCATCACAATAAAGAGCCGTCACCCTGGCTGCCACCCTCGAGTGCTGTGTGGATGTTTCCGTGGGGGTGGAGGCCGGGCTGCCGAGGTCTGGGGGAGCTGAGACTCCGGGCCACAGAATCTCGGGGCAGACTGCGCGGCCTGGGGTGGCGGTGGTGGGAGGCTGGGCCCTGAGGATAGGGACCACCGTCTGCGGAGGCCGCGCACGGCCTGTCCATGAGCCTGTCCAGCCTTTGGGGGCCCTGGAAGCTGCCAGGTTGGGACATCGCACAGCTCTGGGCCCTCGCGAGGCCTGCATCCTGGGGGGGCTGTGGGGGCCTCTGTGTGGGAGGGTGTGCAGGCCATACCCGGGACCGCGTGCTCACATATGCTGGTCGCCACAGGTGTGCGGAGCTGAAGGGCACCCCTGTCAGGTTGGCCCAGACCGTGGGGTGCCCTGGGCACCCAGGTGGAGCAGGGGTGGGACCAGCAGGCTTCTCCCCGCCTGGCCCAGGGGCAGCCACACCCTAAGGACCAGCCTCCCAGATGCCAGAATTGGCCATGGAAGGTTGGTGGGCCCCACGTGCAACTCCCATGCCGCTGCCTGCTGGCAGGTCCTGTGGATTTGGGTCCCGTTCCCTGCCCGCCCCATTTTGGCTCTGGCAAAGAGACCAGAGAGCGGATTGGCCTCAGGACGTCTGGGCCTCTGCTGAGCTGCAGAGACGTCCTCTCAGGGCCCTGGTGGGTGGTGGGGTCGGGGAGGTTGGAGGAGGCTGACGTCCATGGCTATGACCCCTCCCCTGGGACCGGGACCTGCCTGGGCTGGCACCTGGGCAGCGAGGCAGGACCAGCGAGGTGTGTGGGTGGGCACCAATCAGCAGGGGGTGGGCCTGGCTGCTGACCCGTCCCAGCGCTCTCCCTGGAGCCCCCAGGGTGGCATAGGGGCTGGGGCTGTCTGGAGGCCTCTGCTTCCCTTGCCCAGGCTGTGGCCACTGGCCTGGGGATGTCCAGCCAGGCAAAGGCTGGTGACAGGCACCACTCTGGGACCCCATCCAGGAGGCGGGGTGGTAGGGAGGTCAACAGCTTCGGCACCAACTCAAGCGTCCTGAAGCCCTGGTGTGGGGTGCGGGATACCAGCCTGGATGCAAAAGCCTGGGCTTGGGGCTCCTCTCTGCTCTCAGCACCCCTTTGGTGGGCACGGCCTGCCCCTGGGGCCCGGACCCGGAGCTCAGGGTCTCTCCCCTCTGCAGCCCCTGCCCTGCTTGGCCACGGCGCTCCGCAGTTCCCCTCTAGAGAGCAGGGTTGCCGCCCGTCGTGAGGGGTGACCTGGGCTGTGCCTGGATGTCCCGGAGCTGGGTGGCGGGGATGGCCGTGTTGGAGCCCTGAGGAGGCCGGGTGTGGCCTGCACGCTCCTAGTATGCGTGAGACCCAGGGCCGCAGACACCCCTGTTTGCTTCAAGTTTTCAGCAGCTCTCCCCGTGCCTGGCTGGGCCTCGCTCACCCGTCCTGCCCTCGGCTCCCCAGCTCCGGGCGCGAATGGGCTGGGACCAGGCGCCCCGGATCAGGCAGCACCGCCCCGGCCTCACCGTCTGGGAATCGGCCCTCCAGGTCCTTCAGCAGCAGCCTGTCCCCCACCGGACGGTCTGAAGGGTGATGAGGAGGCCCCCGCAGAGCCACACCTGCGACCCCGGGCTTCGCAGCAGCAGCCGCCGTCTTGCACCCCGGCCAGCTGAGTTGAGGGGGCTTTGTAGCATCTGTAGCCCCGGCCGGAGCCCCAGTCCGAGGAGTGGCCCCTAGGCCACACTGCACAAGTCCTCCAGCCTCATGCCACGCAGGGCGAGCCCTTCCCTAGGGCCCCAGCTGCACCTGCCTGGCCCACCCTGGCACGGTGGCCCTGGGGCTGCCTCCGTGAGGTCAGAAGCAGTATTCCCAGCCCATGCTGCTGTCCTGGTGTTGAACTCAGACAGAAATGTGGATGGCAGCTCAGGGCAGCTAGAAAGTCGTCTTGGGGCCAGGAGCACCGGCCACCTCAAGGGAGGCAGCAGGAGTCAGGGAGAGGCGGGGCTGGGGGCTCCTGGCTGTGAGAGGGGGCTGGGCCCAGCCCGGCCCTGTGTCAGGTGTGGACATCCTTGTGCATCCGTTCCTGGTACCTCAAGGGCCCCACTGTGGGGGCGTGTGGGGGATACGGCCGCCCTGGCCTGGCCCCTGGGGGTGCCTGGGTATGGACCCTGGCACTGCAGCCGGGACAGGCAGGTGCTGTGGGACCGGCTTTGGCATCTGACTGCCGCCTGTCCCCACCCCTGTTGCCCTGCTGGGAGGGGGTCTGCTCCAAGGGCCCCCGGGCTGCCAGCCTCTGCAGTAACCTCAGCCTGTTTCTGCGGCCTGTCCCGGGCCCCAGACCACACCACACGTCCTGACCACTGTCACCTGGGTTTCGGGGCAAGTGTGGCCTGGGGGTGTGGGGGACGTCTGGGGGCCGCCTGTGCTGCTTTTTAAATATCTGTTTGCCCAGTGCTCGGTGTTGACCCGGAGTGAGAGTTGTGTGTCCCTGTGACTGGTGCGTGGCCTGTGTGTCTTCAGGTCTGTGAGGGGCTCTGCCCTGGCGCCGGGACTCTCTGCAGAGCCAGCAGCTTGGCCCCCTGGGAGCAAACCCAGGGCAGCTGGCCAGGGCCTTGGGGCTGGAGCCCTCAGCCCGATACTCAGTGCCCGGAGTGGCCATGGGCAGAGTTCCTGGGGTCCAGGCCACAAAGTTCCGTGGTCCTGCCAGGGAGCTCATCACACCAGACAGTCAACAGGGGGCCCACGGAGCTGTGATGGCCGCCCCAGCATTTAGGGCTCCCTGAACTGGGTGAGGGGGGGGTCCAGAGAGGGGCCTCCCACCCCCAGCTAGGGGCTGCTCAGCGAGCCGACCTTAGGGGAAGCCCCTGGGAGGCTTCTTTCCTCCCTGTAGAGCGCTGCCCTGGGACCTGCCACGCTGGAGGCCGCTGGGGCTGGAGCCAGGGGCAGAGCTGGGGCTGGATGGGAAAGGGGGACTGGATCCAGGGGATGGAGCTGGGGGCTGGAGTGGTTGCGGGGGGCAGGAGGCTGGAGCCAGGGAAGAGCTGGGGCTGGAGCTGGCGGGGAAGAGGGGCTGGAGTGAGGTGGGGCGCTGGAGCCGGGGGCAGAGCTATGACCTGTGGCTGTAGCTCTCGGGCTGGGCTTGGCCAGTCTGCCCTTCAGGCCACTCCGAGCTGTGGCAGCCTCAGGGCCTGTCCCAGGGGTCTCCCGTGGCCTGAGCCTGGAGTGGCAGCGTGTCTGGGAGCTGGGAACACAGCCAGCCCTGCCTGTGGCTGCTGAGCGTGTCTGACAGGTACACAGGTGAGCCTGGCAGCAGAGACCTGGGGACAGAGGGTCTCTGTTTGGGAGGCCAGGCAGTCCCCGCTCTGGGGCAGCGACTCACGGGGCCTCCGTGTGACATCTGTGTCGCAACAGCTGTGTGTCACGCATGCGACGTGGGGCCTTCCACCCACCCCACGCCCGTGGCCCTCACGTGGGGTGACAAAGAGTGACAGCTGGCCAGGGCTGGAGGGCTGGGAAGACCCCACCTTGGTCTCTGCAGGGAAGTGTCTCCAGCCCCCTCAGCCCCCTCACCCTCACGGAGGGGTGGGTGGGGGGAGCAGGACACCCCTCCACAGCAGGAGGCAGAGCCTCTGGACTCAGGCCCTCGGGTCAGGTGCCTTTTAGGCTGAGTCCCAGTGTCTGGGCCGGTCTGCAGAGGCGGTGGAGGGTGAGGCACCGTGATCCCCTGTCGCCCCGGTGGGGACTTGGGCCTGGCTCTGCCCGTCATCACTCCCTCTCCCTCCGAGGCGGGCGCAGAGCCCCTGGGGGAGGCTGGGCCTGCCGAGACCTTCAGACGCCTCCAGAGGGTGGGGCCCGGGCTTGAGTTTCCTTTTGCCTGGGTCACCGGGCTGGGCCAGGCCCCGGGTCCGGGGGGAGGGGAGGGGACTGCGGGCCTCCTGGGCCCCATCCTGCCTGCCCCGCCAGCCCGGGAGGGTCCGAGGCTGCCTGTGGTGTTCGCTCTGCAGGACGAAGCTGAGGTCGCTGCAGAGCCACCCCTGCGACCCCTGGCTTCTCAGCTGTGGGCGCTGCCTTGCACCCCGGCCCACTGAGTTGAGGGGGCTTTGCAGTATCCATGGCCCCGGTGGGGCAGGATGCCCCAGCCCCAGTCCACGGAGAGGCCCCAAGGCCATGCTGCACGTCTCGCTGGGCAACAGGACCAGGGCCGAGGCCGAGGCCGGGCGGGGAGGAACGCCTGCCGCTCATCCACCGTCCACCTCTGCTGGGAACCCCGAGGAGGGAGGCTCGGGTCCTTGGGGAGGGAGGAGGGGGTGGGGCCTAGAGAGACCCTCCGAGGGGATGAGGCCCAGGGCAGGGTGGGGCCGGGTGTTGGTTCTTTTCCTGGGGTGGTTCTGACCCGGCCGGGGCGGTGCAGGGCCGTGGGCCTGCCGGGTGCAGCGCGGCCATCGGGGCAGGGTCGGCAGGGAGGGTGCGGAGGGCAGGGAGGCCAGAGAGGGGCCGTGAGGTCTGGGGGTGCAGAGGGCTGAGGGAGAGGAGTGTGGGCACCCAGAGGCCAGCTTGCTGGGGTGGCATGGGTTCCAGCTCCTGGGCTGTGGGAAGGTCCGGGGTGGGTGGCTGAGACCTCAAGGGGAGGCCCAGGGATTTGGGCTGTGCCCCCTCAAACACCTCCTCTTTGAGGACCCCAGAGACTGGCCAGGCCTGTGTGATGGACACAGAAGCCTTTCCCCTGGGCCACGGGGGGAGAGGGAGATGCCAGCTCACCCCAGAGCAAGAAACCAGGAGAAAGGGCCGAGCCCCTCCCAGGCCCCACAGAGCCAGTCCGTGGAGCTGGAAACGTTTTCACTGGCTGCTGGTGGGCCCAGGAACATGGCCTTGCGTGAACGAGGGGCCTCCTCTCCCCTCCGGGTCTGCTCTGGGTGTGGGGGGCCAGGCCCGCCCGTCTCGGCGGCCACCTGCTCCCCAGGGCTCCCAAGGTATCTGCTTGTCAGCTGGTCTCACGGTGGCATGGCTGGGGAGCCTGGGGCTGGCAGGGCAGCAGGAGGGCCATGCCCCCTAGATCCGAGGACTCAGCCCAGGCTCGGCCAGGAAGAGGGTGGAAGAGTCTGGGGTACCCAGGTGGCAGGGACCAGGACACACAAAGGCCTCCCGGGCACACGGTGTGTGCTGAGCCCCGGGAGGAGGAGGAGGAGATCGGGCCCCGTCAGTGCTGGGTGTCTGCGGCGCCTGCCCTCGTGGAGTACCGAAGAGAGGGCACAGGGAGCTGGGCTGGCACCCGGGGCTGCCGCACGGGGCGTCTCCCCTGGGAGACCTGGAGGGCGCCCTCCTGAGGTCCTGGGAAGAGGCCTGTGGGTGGAGCCCTTGCCCCTACTTGCCTGGTGGGGGGGGTCATCAAGCCTTGGACTCAGAGGCGTCGCCTGGGTCCTCGGGTTCATGGCCACACAGCTGCCTTCTCCTTTCTGATCAGGCCAGTCCCATGGGAGGAAGACCAGCTCGGCCTCGGCTTAATGTGACTCTGCCTACAGAGGCCTGAACCCCAAACAAGGTCAGTCTGCAGCTGCTGTTAGGGCTTGGAACTCAGTCCAGAACAGGAGCCTCCATCGACCACCAGCCTCCCAGCCAGGCACAGGGGGCAGGTGGAGGCCTGGAGGCCTCAGGGGTGAGGGTGCCCCCAGGTGCAGGCAGCACGTTCATCTTGGGGGCTACTGCCCAGGCCACAGGCCCTGTGGGTGCCCAGAGAGCTGAAGCTGATGTCAGGGGGCAGCCTCCAGCAGGTGGGGGCAAAGGGGCAGGACCAGGGTCCCCAGGGGAACGGCAGAGGTGGGTGCTCTCCTGAGGGATCCTGAAGGGACCAGAGCCCTCCCTCTTGGCTTGACCTGCATTTCCCGCCGGCCACGCGCCTCCTGGGGGCTGTGCACGCACAGCTGCTCCATGCCTGTCCAGGTGGGCTCTCAGGCCACTGGAGGAGATACACCCGTGGAGCTCAGGAACAGTCAGCTGTCTTGTACCCCAAGTTCCCACATGGAATAGAGCTCGGTGACTTCCCATCTCCCGAGGGCCTCCTGGTTCAGCCCTGGTCTCCGGGAGTACGTCGGTGGGTGGGGAGCTGCGCGTGCTCAGCCTGGGGGAGGGGATGCCGTGGCACGTCCGCCGTCTAGAGGAGCCACGGGGCAGGGAGACACCAGCAAGCAGGGAGGATCCACAGGGCAAGTTCGAGGTGAGGCCAGAGAGCTGCAGCTGCCCGGCTCTGGAAGCCCCCAGCCCCCAGCCACAGGTCCGGGTCCAGCCGTCAGCCCACATGTCCTCTGAACCCGCTCACCACCGCACAGATGGGAGGCTCAGCCCGGGCAGGCTTTACTCTGATTTAAATTTCAACGTCTTCGGTGAAAGAACACTACATTTCCATTTTTGTAGGTCAGAAGTGGTTGCATACGGGATTTTTACTTTCTCCTAGGGGGTCTGGGGCATTTGCGCTGTGCATTCCACAGGGGCAACTCTGGGGGGCCACTGCAGGGCGAGGTGTGGGAGGCCAGCCCTTGGTTCAAATCCCGCTCTCCACTGCCTGAGGTCCTCAGCAAGTCCTCTGGCGTCTCCAAGCACACACAGCTTTCCTCAAGCAATTATGGGATCTCAACACCCGTGAGGGGCAGACCCTGGGCTCGAGTGTGCGACCCCCGTGGGAGGGGAGGGCCGCATCCTGCTCACACAGGAGCCGTCAGTCCCAGATTCAGGGTGGCTCATTGGAGCTTGAACTCATCTGCCTGACCTAGGGAAGCCTCTGGTCCCACCCGTGCCTCCTGGGGGTGGGAGGATCGCCCTGCACATCACTGAGCACAGAGCACCCCCCACCCCATTCTTTCCTCCGAGACCACTGCTTCCTTCAAACAGAAATAACCCAAACCTGCTCCCAAACCCATGGCCTGAGCCTGACCCCAACCCAACCCTGACCGTGACCCTAACGCTCCAGACTGGATCCCGCCCCAAAGTAGGACAGCAAAGGCCACAGCGGGGACCACACAGGTTCTCCAGACACAAAACCCCAGTGGGACTCCGGGGCTCATGGTCACCCCTTGTCCCGGGGCCACTTTATTTTACTTTGGCAAGGACTACAGCGTTCAGTTTTCTCAGTCAACAAGGAGGCTTCCCAGGACGCACGAAGGTAGCGAGAGGTGGGCCGGGTTCCGGCCGGCTGGTCCTGTTTTTTTTTGAGGCAGAATTTGGGAAGCCTCGTCAGCACCCACGGGTTCGACTCCTGTGACGTGGGCCAGAGTGTGAGGCGAAGCAGCACGAGCTCTCTGCGGCCACGGGAAGCCTTAAACGGAAAGTCTCTTCAAAGGAGACAACGCTGTGACCGACGTGTAAACGGAAAAGAGAAACGGCCAGTTTTAAAGTTCTCCTGCGTTTGTTTAAACACCCGCGGGGCTGACAGAACAAGCGGCACAAATGCATTACCCACAACGCCAAGTTCTGACATCAAAGTCTTTCCTTAAATCACGTAAAAAACACCGAGACCAGCACACTGCCAGCTTAAACTTACATCGACACGAACTTACAATAAATAAGTCACAAGCCAACACCGAGTTCTATTTACCACGAAGTCACTGGACAGAGACAGAGACCAAAACACCATTAAAGCGAACCGATGTGAAACCACTCTCTGTCTTAAGACGCATACGAGAAACGCCACTGGTAAGAACGGAGTCCAGCGCCGCGCGCCGGTCAGGACCGCACGGGGCCAGCGGGCCACGGTGCAGCCGGTGACCCGGCTCGGGCTCGGACCCGCTGAGGTCCAGGAACGGGGGGCGCCTCCCCCTGGACACGGCGCGCTGCCCCGGCGACCCCCAAGGGTTCTCCGAAACGCAGGCCGAGACGCACGCGGCGACCACAGGCGCGGCCCCCTCGGCATCTGCCCCAAGGCGCGGCGGGGTGAACCGGTGCCCCGAGGGCCGGGCGGCGGCGGCGGCTCAGGGGATGCCCTCCCTCCTCTGGCAGCACTGCGAGGGCGGCGCGGACCAGTCGTAGACGTAGGACAGGCGCAGCTGCACCTCGCGCTTGCACAGGCGGCCCTCGCGCGCCAGCGTCGCGTGCTTCTCCAGCATGTCCTCCAGGCTCTGCTTGTGCGTCACCAGGTACTGGTTGCTGCAGCCGCGGGAGCGGTACTCGGTGTCGAAGCGCGGGTCGTGCTCGCGCTGCACGTCCACCGGCGCCAGCCAGGCGCCCAGAGACACGTCCTCGCTGTGCCAGGCGCGCAGGTAGTCGCGGCTCAGGCGCAGGTAGCGCACCAGGTCGGCCGAGAGCACGTAGCCGCCGCCCAGCGCGTAGGGCAGGTAGTAGTCGCAGAGCTGCCAGGCGGCCTCGCGCCAGCGGCCCCCGGGCTTGACGCGGCCGCGGCCCGAGAAGAAGCCCCAGTAGAGGCGGCGGCGGCGCGCGGGGTCGCGGGCCCGCAGCTCCGCCAGCAGCGCGTCCAGCCGCGCGAAGGAGTCGTCGTCCGCCTTGAGCACGAACTCGAAGGCCACGTGCTCGTCCAGCCAGGCCAGCATGGCCAGCACCTTGGCCGTGAGGTTGTCGTAGGCGTCGCGCAGCGCGGGCAGCAGCAGCAGGTCCCCGTGCCGCGCCTGCTCGCGCTCCAGGGCGCGCCGCTCCTCGGCGCCCAGGCCGGCGGTGCCCACGGCGAAGCGCGCCCACACGTCGCCCGGGGCCCCGCGCCGCGTCAGCCACGTGCTGCGGACCACGCTGCGGCGCTCGGCGGCGCGGGGCGCGCTGGCCACCAGCACCGCCAGGAAGGCGGCGGCGTGCGCGGGCGCGGGGGGCTGGGGGCTGCGGCCCGGCGCCGCCCCGGGGCCCCCGGGCTCGGACGCGCAGCGCGCCAGGTAGAGCAGCGCCGCCCCGCACAGCACCAGCGCGCCGAGGCCCAGCGCCGCCCGCCGCCGCCACGCGCGCCGCAGCAGCTTCATGGCGCCCGCGCCGGGCCCGCGGCCCAGGCCGGGCGCGCGAATGCGCAGGCGCCGCCGGCTCGGGGCGGTGCGCGTGCGCACGGCGCTCCCGGGAGCGCGCCGGACCCTTCCGAAGACGCCGAGTCTCGGGGGCGCTCGGGGACCGGCGACCAATCGGCGGCCGCGGCGGTGCCAGGAGCGGCCGTCACGTGGCCTCGCGCGCCCTTCTCATTGGTCGACCTCGGAGCGGCCCAGCGACCGCTTCCGCCCGAAGGAGAGATGGTGGTGCCGGCGTCCCGGCAGCGAGGTCGCGCCCGTTCGCGCCGCCCCCGCCCGCAAGAAAGATGGCAGCGGCCTGAGCCAGGCCTGTTGGCAGCGTCACGGGCGCTTCGCTCAGCTCCTCGGATCCCGGGTGCGGGGAGGCAGGCCGGTGAGTGAGGGGCCCCAGGCGGCCTCTGCAGGCCGCGGGGCCGACTGTCCCCGCCGGCTGGACGGCGAGGGCGGGTCCGGAGGCCGTGGCCGCCTCCCGCCCTGGGCCAGGGACACCGTCGGTCCGCTCGGCCTCGAGCCCTAGCGGGACTCCGCCGTCCCCGCGGCTCCTGGGGGCAGGGACGGGCCGACGACACGGGTCTCCCCGGCCATCGGCACGTCTGGTCTTCTGTCGGCCAAAACCTACGAATGCCACCGCGACACGGAGGCCCGGGGGGTCTGGCTGGACTCGCGTTTGTCGGCGAGGCGGCCGCGGACGAGCCGCCCGGCTTCCCTGCGCCTCCGTTTCCGCTTCCGAAGCGCGTGGACCCTCGTGCCGGGCTCGGAGGATTTGGAGGTCTGAAGTCGGCTCAGAGGCGGTGTCCGGACCCTGGCGAGCGTTCGGAATCAGTGCGTGTGTTTCACCGCCAGAAAGAGCCTCGATCCCCCAGAGCTGAGGCCGGGGACGGCAGAGAAACGCCGTCTCTGCTTACGCCGGTCCCCACGTCCCCTTCGCGAGGGCGCGTCGGCTCCCTGCTGGGGACGGAGGCTCGCGGGGGCGGCGATTCCGCAGGCCGAGGTCTGCAGTCCCATCCGGGTGGGCGGGACAGGCCGGCTCGGCTGTGCCTTCAGCTGTGACGCCAGGGGAGGAAGTGCCACGTGATGGACTCCCGATATTAAGAGTTATTTTGGGGCTACTTTTTAAAAATTTCCTTTTTTGAGACAGGGTCTCATCTTTTTGTTTTTGCTATTTAAAGACACGCAGTCTCGGCCGGGCGCGGTGGTTCACGCCTGTAAATCTCAGCACTTTGGGAGGTCCAGGCAGGTGGATCACAAGCTCAGGAGTTCAAGACCAGCCTCCCCACCTGGCCAAGATGTGAAACCCTGTCTCTACTAAAAATACAAAAAAAAAAAAAAAAAAAAAAAAAAAAAAAAATGCCGGGCGTGGTTGTGGGCGCCTGTAATCCCAGCTACTTGGGACGCTGAGGCAGGAGAATTGCTGGAATCCGGGAGCAGGAGCTTGCAGTGAGCTGAGGGCTGAGGTCGCGCCACTGCACTCCAGCCTGGGTGACAGAGCAAGACTCCGTATCAAAAAAAAAAAAAAAAAAAAAAAGACCCACCCAGTCTCACTGTGCTGCCCAGGGTAGTCTCACGGTCCTCCTGTCTCAAGGAAACGTCCCTGTAACTCATCAAGATCATGTAGAATCGAGAGCTGGGTCTGTTCTCTCTAGGAACAAGGTGCAGTATCTTTGCGCACAGCATGTTTTACGACTGTAGTTAGCGGAGTCAGCACCAGGAAGACATGTCTGGTGAGCTGGGACGACAGGAATAGAATTAGAATAGAATTATGCCACCAGGAGGGAAGGAAAAAGCCCTCAACCGTGTTAAGAAAATCAGGCCGATGGCCGGGCACAGTGGCTCATGCCTGTATTCCCAGCACTTTGGGAGGCCAAGGTGGGAGAATCACCTGAGGTCGGGAGTTCAAGACCAGCCTCACCCAGCATGGAGAAACCCCGTCTCTACTACAAAAATTAGCTGGGCGTGGTGGTACATGCTTGTAATCCCTGCTACTTGGGAGGCTGAAGCAGGAGAATCACTTGAACCCAGGAGAGGGAGGTTTCGGTGAGCTGAGATCACGCCATTACAATCCATCCTGAGGAACAAGAGTGAAACTCCATCTCAGAAAAAAAAAAAAAAACAATGTTAAATCAGGCCCGGTGCCCATGGCTCACACCTGTAGTCCCAGGACTTTGGGATGCTGAGGTGGGAGGATCACTTGAGGTCAGGAGTGTGAGACCAGCCTGGCCAACAGGGTAAAACCATATGGAGAGGCAGTTACAAACTCAGTGTCTGTAAAAAAGGGTAAAAAGAGTAGGTGCAGTGGCTCACGCCTATGATCTCAGCACCTTGGCAGGCTGAGGCAAGAGGATCGCTTGAAGTCGGGAGTTTGAGACCAGCCTGGGCAATACATCGAGACGTGTCCCTTCAAAAAATAAAATAATAATAAATTAGCCGGCTGTGGTGGCGCATGCCTGTGGTCCCAGCTGCTCAGGTGGCTGAGGCAAGAGGATCTCCTGAGCCCAGAAGTTCGAGATCTCGGTGAGCTGTGATCACCACCACACTCCAGCCTGGGTGACAGACCAAGACCCTGTTTCTAAAAAAAAAAAAAAAAAGGAAAAAGATGCTGTGTGTGGTCTGGAGCCTGTAAACCAAGAACACGTTTCCTGTTGCAGAATGGACGTGCTCAGGGCACGCGGTCTCACTAACGAGGTGTCTGTCTTCTCCGCAGACCGTGAGCTACTCGCCGTGCGGGCTTCCGGGGCCGCGCTGCCCATCCCCAGCCTGTGGCTGTCGTGGGGACCCGGCCCTCTTCAGTGCCTGGGGCTTGGACTGGAGCCAGACTTCACTTCCTCCCCTGCCCCTGCCCCTCCCAGCACCTGGCCCTGGGTGGCGATGGCGTCCAGGTGGGGTCCTCTGGTGGGCCTGGCTCCGCACTGCCTCTGGCTCCTGGGGGCGGTCCTTCTGATGGACGCGTCTGCGAGACCCGCCAACCACACGTCCACTCGAGAGAGAGCGGCCCACAGGGAGGAGAATGAGATCCTGCCCCCGGACCACCTGAACGGCGTGAAGCTGGAGGTGGACGGGCACCTCAACCGGGACTTCCACCAGGAGGTCTTCCTGGGCAGGGACCTGGGAGGCTTTGATGAGGACACGGAGCCACGGCGGAGCCGGAGGAAGCTGATGGTCATCTTTTCCAAGTAGGCGCCGCCCGCGCGGTGGGGGGCGCTGGGCCCTGTGTCGGCACCTGCCGGGCCGGCAAGGCGTGCCCATGATCAGCGGCGCTTCCGGCCTGCTGTTGGCACCAAGGCCAGTGCTGGCGGCCCGGAGCTGCTCCTCGAATGCCCTGGGTCCTCCGGGGCTGACAGGGCCGGAGTCGGCCTCTGTGGCCATCCCTAGGATAGCAGGAGGCACCCACCGCACCGCGTGGTCAGCGTGCTGAGGGGCAGACTGGCGACCTCCGCGGGCTGCAGCACCAGCTAGACAAGGCCTGGCTGAGGAGCAAGGGGCGGCCACGGGCAGCTGGAGAGCTGGTGCCTTGAGCGCCGGGCTCCTCCTGGAACGCCCTCTACCCTGCGTCCGCGGTCCCTGTCACACGCGGCGGGGCCCTCTACCCTGTGTGTCCGTGGTCCCTGCCACACGCGGCGGGGCCCTCTACCCTGTGTGTCCGTGGTCCCTGCCGCACGCGGCGGGGCCCTCTACCCTGCGTCCGCGGTCCCTGTCACACACGGCGGGGCCCTCTACCCTGTGTGTCCGTGGTCCCTGTCACACGCGGCGGGGCCCTCTACCCTGCGTCCGCGGTCCCTGCATCCGCGGTCCCTGCCACACGCGGCGGGGAGCGTGTCACACGCAGATGTGGGGAGTGTGGGGTTGGCTTGTTTTGCTGGCCTGGTCAGGAGCAGAGCTGTGCTGTGCCTGTGGCCATGCTTGGCTGTCACCGCCCCTGCCCTGCCAGGTTCCCGAGCCCCTCTTGTCTCTCTGCCTAGTGCTGAGTTTTGTCCCTGACCACGTCCCCCAGTCTTGGGAGCCTGGTATAAGGGGCCCAAGATGGGTCAGCCTGACCAGTCACCCCCCGCAGAGTCAGGTCCTGCGGCAGAGCCGGGGTACCCTGCGGGGTGGCCCTGGAACCCACACGCACTGGGCGCTGGCCTCACCTCTGGAAGATGCCTGGCCACAGAGCTGGGTCAGGACATGCCCTCAAGTCCTCCAGGCCAGCTGAGGTGCAAGGCAGGGAGCCAGGGTGCAGGTGAGAGAACACCCTGGGGTTTCTGGGGCCTGCAGGACACATGGAGGCAGCCCCGGCCTCACCGTCCTGCTGGGCCTGGTGCTCCAGGGCTGATGTGCAGAGGGGCAGATGGCAGAGTTGGTGAGCAGGGGTTGGGCAGGGCCGGGGCCCAGGGGAGCAGGTGCAGGTAGGGAAGGAGTGAGGATTGGCCTGACTGTGCCAGGGCCCTGCTGAGGGTGGGGATGGGCCCGGCTGTGCCAGGGCCCTGGGCTGAGGATCCAGGCTTTCGGGTGGAGCACAGCTGGGCTGGTGGGAGGGAGGCATGGTGCCAGCTGGAGGCCCTGGGCACTGGGCACGGCATCCTTTTGCTCTTCTCCCCAGATGGCATGAGTCAGGGTTCCCTGTGTGGCCTGTGTTTACTTGGTAGAGGCCGCCGGTGCTCCTGGGGTCTGTCAGCATCACTGCCCAGGAGCTCACAAAGGCCTGGCTCGGGTGTCACGGGGTGGGCGGCGGGGGTGTGTCCCTGCCCATGTGGTGCTGGGAGCGGGCTGCCCGCCTGGCGAGGGGAGTCAAGGTGTCTGCTCGGAGCGTCTCCAGCAGGACCGGAGGTTTCTTTCTGCTGACTGTAAGGAAATGCTGAGCCAGCTCGTTTGAGGAGGGGGTGCGCGCAGTGGGAAGTAGCAGTGGGTCTCCCTGACACCAGCGCCAAGCAGTGACTTCACTCCTTAGCACGGGGTTCCCTCTTGCCTTCTTTCTGTGCAGGCCCCGTACCGCCAGGACCTACATTCAGCCGTCCGGTCTCCTCTGCACCTTCGGGCAGGGACAGCATCTGAGACTCCCCTGTTTTTTCGTGGACCTAACAGTTCTGAGGGGGGCTGGGACTCCCCTGTTTTTTTAATGGACGTAACAGTTCTGAGGGGGGCTGGGACTCCCCTGTTTTTTAATGGACGTAACAGTTCTGAGGGGGGCTGGGACTCCCCTGTTTTTTAATGGACGTAACAGTTCTGAGGGGGGCTGGGACTCCCCTGTTTTTTAATGGACGTAACAGTTCTGAGGAGGGCTGGGACTCCCCTGTTTTTTCATGGACATAACAGTTCTGAGGGGGGCTGGGACTCCCCTGTTTTTTAATGGACGTAACAGTTCTGAGGGGGGCTGGGCAGGAGGTTGTAGGATGTCCCCCTTTGGGCTCGTTAGGTGTGTTTCTTCCTGACTGGATGGAGCTGAGGGATTTGGAAAGAATACCCAGAAGGGAGGTGCCCTTCCTTGGGGGTCCTGGACACCACGTGGCACCCCGGGGATGCTGACCTGGGTGACCTGAGCAGGGCGTCTGTGGGCGGCTCCCTGGGGAGCTGTCTATCCCTGTCCCCGCCCCTCCCTCCCTCGAGTCCGGGACTGGGTCCAGGTGATGCCTCCTCCTGTGGGTCGAGTGTCACAGCCACGCGGATTCCGTGGGTTTCTGCTCCCTGTCCATTTACTTATGAGTCAAGGCTCTTTTTGTTTTTGTGTCTGTGTTTGCTTTGCGGTCTCGCTCTGTTGCCCAGGCCGGAGTGCAGTGGTGGGATCTCAGCTCACTGCAGCCTCAAGCTCCTGGGCGCAAGCGATTCTCCCGCCTCAGCCTCTTAAGTAGCTGGGCTCACAGGTGTGCACCACCGCACCCAGCCAACTTCTAAATTGTTTTGTAGAGACAGGGTCTTGCTACGTTGCCCAGGTTGGCCTCGGATTCCTCGAGCCTCAACCTCCCACAGCCTCCCACCTGGGACGTGGAGGCTGCAGTGAACTGTGATGGCGTCACTGCAGCCTGGGCGACCGAGACCCTAACTCAAAACAAAACAAAATCCTTCCTTCATAGAAATCCCTCCTCCCACCTCAGCCTCCCACAGTGCTGAAACCACAGGGGTGGCCGCATCGGCCAGCCCCTCGTGGGCTTGCGTCCTGCGGCGTGGACTTTGCTGCGTGCTTTGGGCCCAGCACTGCTGATTGTGCCGCCCGTGCGGCGTCCGCGCTGGCTGTTGGGAGCTGTGGCTCTTGCGTCTTTGGCTTTTGAGCTCACTTTGCCTCTCGGCTTCATGGCATCATGAGATGCTCCAGGCTGGCCTCCACCTGTCCCGTGCACAGCAGCCGCCTTTCCAGCGAGTCCTGGTCCTGGCCGGAGCTGGAAGCTGGGATCTTCCCCTTGTCCTCTCGGGGGCCAGAGCTCGGTACCTTGAAGCTGACCTGGCCCAGGTCCCCGACCACACACACCTGGCGAGGGGCCGGGGCACTGTCCTCTTGGGACGCCTCTGGCAAGTGCACCAGCCCGGCCCCGGAGACCCCGCCCCCTCAAAGCCCCGCCTCCCAGCGCTGCTGCCCTGGGGGTTGAGTTTCCAGCAGCTGAGCTCAGGCTTGGGTGGCATGTGACGTTGAAGCCGAGCTCTGTGAGGCTGGGACCCAGTCCTCCTGGCCTGTGCCGGCCCATGTCTCCGATCGGTGTCCTGGCTCCTCAAGTCTGTGGTTTCTTCTATCCTTCGACACAATGCTAAGTCCCCACATGGTCTCTCTCCTAAGTCTTGTAACTTTACGTTTATATGCAGAAAGGATTTTGTTTTGTTTTGTTTTGTTTTGAGTTAGGGTCTCGGTCGCCCAGGCTGCAGTGGCGCCATCACAGTTCACTGCAGCCTCCACGACCCCTGTCGAGACCGTCCTCCCACCTCAGCCTCTTGAGTAGCTGAGACCACAGGTCCGTGTCACCGCACCTGGCGGATTTTTGTAATTGTTTTTTGTAGAGATGAGGTCTCTCTGTGTTGCCCAGGCTGGTCTTGAACTCTTGGGCTCAAGCGATCCCCCCGTCTTGGCCTCTCAGCCTGCTGGGATTGCAGGTGTGGCCACGGCATCTGGCCTACCTGAAGCATCTAAAATAAAATGTAGGCCGGGCCCAGTGGCTACACCTGTAATCCCAGCAGTTTGGGAGGCCAAGGTGGGTGGAATCACTTGAGGTCAGGAGTTCAAGACCAGCCTGGCCAATGTGGTGAGACCCCACTTAAACTAAAAATACAAAAATTAGCTGGGTGTGATGGCACACAACTATAATCCCAGCTACTAGGGAGGCTGAGGTGGGAGAATCCCTGAACCTGGGAGGCAGAGGTTGCAGTGAGCCAAGACTGTGCCACTGCACTCCAGCCTGCTGACAGCGAGATTCCGTTTCAATGAATAAATAAAAGTGAAGACGGTCACTTTTGAGAGCCGTTGGAGAGAGGAGTCCAGTGGTGATTCTGTACTGCTGTGACGGAGCCGGAGGGTCCCTGTGTCGTCCTGGGGCGGGGACTGTGGCACCCACCTTCCCCAGTGTGTCTGGCACGGCCCCCGCTCCCATGAACCCCCATGAGCCCCCATGTCCTGTGGCGCCCGGGGGAGCATTCGCTGTTGGGAATGGGTTCACACTGCGTGGAGTCCCGGGGCTGGTGCCATCCGTCTGGCAGTTTGGGGTCCTGGGGCCGGTCTGACGGCCGCCTGCCCACGTGCTGCCTGCAGGGTAGATGTGAACAGCGACCGGAAGATCAGCGCCAAGGAGATGCAGCGCTGGATCATGGAGAAGACGGCCGAGCACTTCCAGGAGGCCATGGAGGAGAGCAAGATGCACTTCCGAGCCGTGGACCCCGACGGGGACGGTACCACGGCCGGGCCGGTGGGCAGGGCGGGTAGGGCAGGCAGGGCCGTGGGCCTGGCCTGGGGCCTGGAGGGTGGACGGGCCTGGTCTGAGGGAAGGGCGGTGGGGAAGTGTCAGCTGGAGGCCCGAGGTGTGGTGGGGTATGCTGGGGTACGTGGAAGCTGGGTTGGCGCTGCCCGAGGCTCCGTGAGGAAAATGTGCACTGAGCACCGGGCGTGGCCACGGAAGGTGCCGCTCAGGACCTGGTGCTGCCTGTGCCTCTCAGTGGCCCTGGGCACAGACATTCCCAGCTGGCTTCGCAGGTGAGGAGGTGGGCACGAGCTGCTGGCCTGGGCCCCAGGGCTCCAGACACTGGCATCCCGCTGACTCCAGCCTGGCCAGCAGAGTGAGACCCTGTCTCGGCTGAAAAGGCAGCTCAGCTCAGCTCAGCTCAGCTCAGTCCTGACAGGTATGCCCCGCTCTTCCAGGCCACGTGTCATGGGACGAGTATAAAGTGAGGTTTTTGGCGAGTAAAGGTCACAGTGAGAAAGAGGTTGCTGACGCCATCAGGCTCAACGAGGAGCTCAAAGTGGACGAGGAAAGTGAGTGCTCACCGGGCTCCTGCGAGGGTCTCGGGCATCTCCTGCGTGCGTGCGTGCGAGTGCACCACGTGCATGTGCTCGTGGGTACATGCGGTGGGTGTGCCGTGTGTGTGCGGGTACATGTGGGTGTGCCATGTGCTCGTAGGTACATGCAGTGAGTGTGCCATGTGCTCATGGGTACATGCGGGTGAGTGCTGTGTGCTCATGGGTACACGTGCAGGTGAGTGAGCCGTGTGCTCGTGGGTACATGCAGGTGAGTGTGCGTGTGCTTGTGGGTACCTGTGAGTGCCATGTGCTCGTGGGTACACGTGCAGGTGAGTGTGCCATGTGCTCATGGGTACATGCAGGTGAGTGCTGTGTGCTCGTGGGTACACACGTGCAGGTGAGAGCCATGTGCTTGTGGGTACATGTGAGTACCGTGTGCTCGTGGGTACATGCACGTGAGTGTGCGTGTGCTTTTGGGTACATGTGAGTACTGTATGCTCATGGGTACATGCAGGTGAGTGTGCGTGTGCTTGTGGGTACATGTGAGTGCCGTGTGCTCGTGGGTACACGTGCAGGTGAGTGAGCCGTGTGCTCGTGGGTATATGTGAATCTGCACACGTGTCTGCATCACGCCCATTGTGTATGCACACGTGCAGGCGTGTCCTGTGTATCCCAACATGGGTGGTGGTGGCTCTGAGGAGGGAAGAAGCCATTGCTGGCCCAGGCGCCGCCCAGGGGTCGGGTGGGGAGCGTGTGAGCCGTGCCCGGCCGCTCTCAGCACACTCTCTGCTGGTCACGACACCATTATGGCGGTTATCCAGTTAGCTCCTACAGAGAATCTGGGGCCGTGAATCTGGTGTGGGGCCCTGCCTGATACTCTGAAGGCCACGTGAGGCAGGGTTTCCCAGGGAGAGGGAACGGACTGTGTCTGAGGGCCTGGCTCTGGGGTCTGGGGTCTGGGGTCTGCTGAGACATCTGTGTGGCCACCAGGTGGTCACCAGGGAAGCGGTCAGGTCCCAGGGAGAGGCTCTTCCTTGTGTCGGGGGCACGGCTGTTGACCTGCAGGGCATCCTCAGCCCTGGCTGGGTCCTAGCTGGTGCCTCTGTGTGAAGAGGGTGGAGCGAGGTGGGGCCTGGCACCTGGTTAAGGGTGGGTGAGAGGAGAGCCCGCCACCCTGCACGGGGCCGGTTCCCGGAGAGCCGTCTGGGCAGCAGCCCTGCCAGTGCCGTGGTGGCACACAGCAGAGCGGGTACCACGGTTGCCGCTCCCCTGGGGCTCTGTGTGCCCTTACCCGGCACGCTCGCTTTCTGGTTTGGTTTGGGGCTTTGCGGGGGGTCTGAGGAGGTGCCTGCCAGTTCCATCACTGCTCTGGTTCCTGGGGTGGTGTCTCCCCACGGGACTGGTGATGTGAAACGCGGCCGTTCCTGGCAGGCTGGGCGTATCTTACACCTTTATGTTTTGTGCCTGCACAGCCTGTCAGACGTTTCCTTACCAGAGGCTGACGTCAAACCACCTCTTCACCTCTCTTTTTGCGTGCGACTGTCTCTCTTACCCAGCCTGGAATGCAGTGGTGTAATCTCGGCTCACTGTGGCCGTAACTTCTGGGCTCAGGTGAGCCTCCCACCCCAGCCTTCCAGGTAGCTGGGACCACAGGTGCCCACCACCTTGCCTGGCTAATTTTTTAATTTTTTTGTACAGACAGATTTTGCCATGTTGGCCAGGCTGGTCTCAAACTCCTGGCTTCGAGTGATCTGCCCACCTCAGCCTCCCAAAGTGCTGGGATTACAGGTGTGAGCCACTGCACCTAGGCTTAACTTAACCCTTTTTTTAGTTTTTAACTTGTTATTGTTTTGGAGAGAGGGTCTCACTTTTGCCCAGGCTGCAGTGCAGTGGCACGATGTCAGCTCACTGTGATCTCCGCATCCTGGGCTCAGTCTGTCCTCCTAGGAGAATAAAAAAAAATAAAGTTGTAAGACATGTTCCTGCCAGGAATGGCCCTATATCATGTGACCAGCCCCCATCGGGGGCAGCCTCCTGAGTAACTGGGACCACCAGTGGGTGCCACCAGGCCCAGCTGATTTAAAAACATGTATTTTTTTGTAGACATGAGATCTCCCCTTGTCACCTGGCAGGTCTCCAACTCTTGGGGTTTGAGAGGGTTTAAGTGATGTGCCAGCTCGGCCTCCCCCCGTCCTGGGGCGTGTGTGCGAGTGGCCCGCCCGCCTCGGCCCCCGCGTCTTGGGATTGCCGGCTCCTGTGCCCGCCCTTGTCCTTGTGGAACGGCGTGGAGGCCTCCCAGGCCTGTCGGCTCTGCCTGCCCTCTTCAGTTCGTGTGTGCTCATCTTGAGTTTGGTCCTGTCCTTTCTAAATCATACAAATTAGACATTAAAAAGACCAGAACTAAGAGACAGAATCTCCCTGTGTGCCCAGGCTGGCCTCAAAGCCCTGGCTAAAGGGATCTGCCCGCCTCGGCCTCCCAGCTGCCGGGAGCCCCGTCCCCGGCCAGACTGGACGGTGTCTCCTTTCTGAAGAGCGGTTCCCATTTTCCTCACCGCACCCAGTCGGTGCCTGCCCTGGGCCTGCGTCCCACTCCGTCCCGCTGGTGAGCTCTGCGCAGCCCGCGCGGCCTGCCGGCGATTTGCCGGGTGGGGGCCCGTGCCTGTATCGGCACCACGGCTCCTGTCGTGTTTGTCTTTCCCGGGTGCCATTTTATTTGGGTCTCTTCTGCTCAGGACACGTCCCACCTGGACCTAGAGCTTCGTGGCATCTCTGTGAAGCCGCCTTCTACCTTGGGGGCTCAGCAGAGGTGTATTTAGAATTTGCTCCGTGTTCTGGGGACCCTGTGCACCTTGAGGTGCCCGTCCCTGCTCAACCATGTCTGATCCGCCTTCGCCTCCCTGGCCTTCGGCTGATTAGAACCCCCTTAGCCCTTCGGGTATTTGGCTTCTGGATCAGGAAGAATAGCTGCCGGGTCCTGGAGGGAGGTGCTGGGAAGCCCTGGCAGGTACCGCCACACCCCCCTGACCTCTGACACCTCCCCTGCGACCTCCCACCCCTCTCCTGCATGGCTCCTTCAAGGGCCACGTATGGCCCACAGCATGAGTCCCAGGCTGCTGTCCTCACGTGATTCTGGAGGCTGTGGTGAGGGCATGGCAGGCGGGCCTCACCCCATCTCCTGCCTCCATCCACTGCCTCTCCCGGGGTCTGTGTCCTCTTCCCACAGGGACAGTGGTCATCGATCCTCCCTGAACCAGGACGGTGTCTGCAGATCCGTTACTAACAGTGGCTGCAGAGACCCAGCTTCTGGCAGGGGGGCTGGGACCCGTGGCTTCTCCGGGGCCCGAGGTCGGTGCTGGGGCTGAGTGGCTATGAGAACCCTGTGCTGGAGAAGGCGCCTCCCGGCTGGCCTGCACCAGGCGCCTGTGCCTGCCCCTGTCCTGGGGGGGTCAGTTTGGTCCTGTCCATCCGTCCCGGGAGCTGTGGTGGAGCAGATGGGGAGAGGCGCCCCGGGATCCATCGCCCCGTCACTCCCGTCTTCCTTTAAGTGAACTTGTCATGTAGAAGGAGGTTGTTCGGAGATGTGACGGCAGCTGGGCTGAGCCGCTGACCGTGGTGAGGTTGTGTTTCTGCCCTGGAGACCAAGACAGGCCCTCGGGGTGAGAGGGGACGGGGCTGGGTGAGCACAGCGGGACAGCAAGGGCCACACACACACAGGCTGCGCCATGTCCCAGCCGGGAGGTTCCCGGGATGCTTAGCTTAGCCCCATCTCAGTCATTTCTGGAAACTTCCTGCCTGTGACATCACACGTGAAGGAAACGGAGGAGGGTGATGAGTCCTCCCCCTCCCCCGTGGGAGCACGCCTCAGCCTCCAGGGTGATTTCATTCCTCCTGGGGGCAGCCGCAGGCATGGGGGGCGGGGCCCTGGCCCATCCTGAGGGCTGGAGGAGTCTGGGCCACGGGGAGGTTCTGGACCATGTCTTGGGAGGTCTGGGTTGTGGGGGGTCTGGGATGTGTAATGGGTCCAGTCCGTATCTTGAGGGTCCAGATTCTGTCTTGGGGGTCTGGGCTGTGTCCACGGGGAGTCAGGGCCATCCATGTATTAGGGGATCTGGGATGGGGGATCAGGCTGTGTTGGGGGTCTGGGCTGTGTGTGGGGGGTCCTGGGTTACACGTTGGAAGGTCTAGGCAATGTGTTGGGTTGTGTCTTGGGGGCCCAGGCTGCGTCTGGGGAGCCTGTGAGTCCTGGAGGGTGGGGCTCCGGTCTCGTGGGCGGTTGTGCCCCGGGTGTCAGCCCTCGAGTTCAGGCAGCACCTCTCGTAACGTTCTGGATTTGCGTGCCGGCGTCTGCCTGCCTCGATGCCCACGGGCTGTGCCCCTCTCAGCACAGGAAGTCCTAGAGAACCTGAAGGACCGCTGGTACCAGGCGGACAGCCCTCCTGCGGACCTGCTGCTGACAGAGCCGGAGTTCCTGTCGTTCCTGCACCCCGAGCACAGCCGGGGCATGCTCAGGTTCATGGTGAAGGAGATCGTCCGGGACCTGGGTGAGGCGGCGCCGGCCCGGCGGCGCACTGTAGGGACCGGGCGTGGCGGGAGGTCGGGGCGGGTCCTGCGGGAGCCCCCGCCCAGGTGTGAGCTGACCCGCTCCCGCCTCACAGACCAGGACGGCGACAAGCAGCTCTCTCTGCCCGAGTTCATCTCCCTGCCCGTGGGCACCGTGGAGAACCAGCAGGGCCAGGACATCGACGACAACTGGGTGAGAGACAGGAAGAAGGAGTTTGAGGAGCTCATCGACTCCGACCATGACGGCATCGTGACCGCGGAGGAGCTGGAGGTGAGTCCTGTGCAGCCGTCCCAAGCCGGCCTGCAAGCTCTGCGCCTGGGACTGGAGGCTGTGCTGGAGGCCGTGCGGAGGCTGTGTTGGAGGCTCTGTGGAGGCCGTGCTGGAGGCCGTGCTGGAGGCTCTGTGGAGGCCGTGCTGAGGCCGTGCTGGAGGCCATGGTGGAGGCTCTGTGGAGGCCGTGCTGAGGCCGCACTGGAGGCTCTGTGGAGGCCGTGCTGGAGGCTGCACTGGTGGCTCTGTGGAGGCCGTGCTGGAGGCTGTGGTGGAGGCTCTGTGGAGGCCGTGGTGGAGGCCGTGGTGGAGGCTCTGTGGAGGCCGTGCTGAGGCCGCACTGGAGGCTCTGTGGAGGCCGTGCTGGAGGCCATGCTGGTGGCTCTGTGGAGGCCGTGCTGGAGGCCATGTGGAGGCTCTGTGGAGGCCGTGCTGAGGCCGCACTGGAGACTCTGTGGAGGCCGTGCTGGAGGCCATGGTGGAGGCTCTGTGGAGGCCGTGCTGAGGCCGCACTGGAGGCTCTGTGGAGGCCGTGCTGGAGGCCATGGTGGAGGCTCTGTGGAGGCCGTGCTGAGGCTGCACTGGAGGCTCTGTGGAGGCCGTGCTGGAGGCTGCACTGGTGGCTCTGTGGAGGCCGTGCTGGAGGCTGTGGTGGAGGCTCTGTGGAGGCCGTGCTGGAGGCTGTGCTGGAGGCCGTGGTGGAGGCTCTGTGGAGGCCGTGCTGAGGCTGTGCTGGAGGCTCTGTGGAGGCTCTGTGGAGGCCGTGCTGGAGGCCATGGTGGAGGCTCTGTGGAGGCCGTACTGGAGGCCATGGTGGAGGCTCTGTGGAGGCCGTGCTGAGGCCGCACTGGAGGCTCTGTGGAGGCCGTGCTGGAGGCCATGGTGGAGGCTCTGTGGAGGCCGTGCTGAGGCCGCACTGGAGGCTCTGTGGAGGCCGTGCTCACGGCCGTGCTGGACGCTGCGCGCCTGGCTGTGCTGGTGGCCAACCTGAGACTGCCAGGGCCATCACTTGGGCGTTTGCTTAGCGACATCCATGGCGTGGGCTCCAACGAAGGCCCCCAGGCTGCGTGGCAGTTGTTGGTGTTTAGGCTCAGAAGAGAGACGGGAGCCTGGCCAGGCCCCATCCTCATCCCCTCTCGGGGGGGCATCAGGGTTCCCACAGCCCCTTTTTAACAGGGCCACAAGGGGAGGCTGGTGCTGGGCCCAGCTCCGGGGCAGGTGGGCGGGGCGGCCTCTGCCACCTCGCTGGAATATACTACCTTCCTCTGAAATGTTTTCACTGGTATCATGTGTAGGTGCCACGTGGGGCTTGTTTTTCTTCCACTGCTGAGTGAGTCATTTTGTTTTCATGTAGAAAATCCTCTGATCCCTGCCGATAGCCCGTGGGCCTGGCCCAGGTCAGGGATCCTTCAGAACTGGGGTCCTGGCTGGTGCAGCCCCTGTGCCTCGTGACCCCTGCCGGCCTCGGGCTTCTCCCCACCCTGTGCCCTTCTCATATGTGCTTTCTTCGGGAACCTTCCAGAATGTGCCCACATTCCCGCTGCAGCCAGTGGGCATCTTAGGAGCCACTTTGTGTGGGTGGCTTCGGAGCCTGGGTCCAGCTCCTCCGCTGAGCGGAGCCCGCAGGGGCTCCCGGGTGGGACCAGCGCTGGGAGGGTGGCAAGGTGGCCGCTGACCCGCGCCCCGCTGGCCTGTCCCCCGCCTACCCGCGCCCCGCCGACCCCGCCGACCCGCTCCCGCTGACCAGCGTCCGGCTCGCCCGCAGAGCTACATGGACCCCATGAACGAGTACAATGCCCTGAACGAGGCCAAGCAGATGATCGCCGTCGCCGACGAGAACCAGAACCAGCACCTGGAGCCCGAGGAGATGCTGAAGTACAGCGAGTTCTTCACGGGCAGCAAGCTGGTGGACTACGCGCGCAGCGTGCACGAGGAGTTCTGACGCCGCCCGCCCCGGCCGCCCTTCGCCCCACTGGGGTGGCTGTCGCCGACACGTGTCAGCGGCTGTTCGGACCCCGGCTCCTCTCTCCCGGCGCGCGGCTGAGACGCGGCGGGGCGCAGGGCCTCGAAATCGCGCATCTCACTTCTGAGAACCTCATCTCGCTCCAGTGATTCCGCCGAACGTCCGGGCCGGGCCCTGGCGACCTCCGCTCCGTGGGAAAGAACGCAGCTCCTCCGCGTCCTTGAAAACTGAACGATCAATAAAAATAGATGAAACCTGGCTGGAAATGAGTAGCCAGGAAGTTGAGGGAAGGGCGCCTGGTCTTTCCCGGGCCGGGGGCGTCAGAGCCACCCAGGCCCCACCGCGGCCGCCAGGAAAATGCAAATGCTTGTGACGAGAACCACACTGATTCACTCTAAACGTGGTTGCATTTTTTGGTCAGCTTCGTTCTTTGGGTGTGAAACAAAAAACAACAGCTTGGCACGTTTGCGTCACAGTTTCCACTCCAGCGCTGGAGGCCTGTGCCGGGTCACGGGGGAGGCTGGAGGTCATGGCGGGTTCCGGGTGGTTCTCCTAGCAGGTGGGGATGGCGGGGGCTCCAGGGGGGTGGAGGGCAGTGCTGTGTATGTCAGTGTAAGTGAGCGGGGGTCCCGGGGCAGGTGGGCAGTGGTGTGTGTGTGTGTGCACGCGCGCGGGGGTCCTGGGGCAGGTGGGCAGTGGTGTGTGTGTGTGTGTGTGTCTGTGTGTGTGAGTGGTGTGTGAGAGTGGGGGCCCCGGGGCAGGTGGGCAGTGCTCTGTGTGTGTGTGCGAGTGAGCAGGTGTCCCGGGGCAGGTGGGTGGCGCTGTGTGTGAGTCGGGGTCCTGGGGCAGCAGACATGCTTATTGAGTTTGGACATTTAAAACAGGAGCCAGAGCCCCTCTGAGTCGCTTGTGGTAGTTTGGGGTAGAGAAGGAAACTCCCACAATGGTAAGGCCATTGCCGGGGTGTGTAGAGGGGCGGGTGCAGCCCCAGGAGGGGCAGAGCATGGGACATGTTGGACAGCTGGTGGGGATCCTGTCTGTGGCGTGTGGGGGCTCAGGCTCTGTCCTGGCTCCAGGCAGGAGCTCAGGGACGCTGGGAGTGCCCCCTCCTCAGTTTGCCCTTTGGTGCCCCTGTGACTGGCTTCTGCCCTGAGCCCACCTGTCCAGGGCCCCTGCGGGGCCAAGAAGGCAGGCTGGCACCTGGGGTGGGTCCCAGGCAGGTGGCGGGAGGAAGGTCCCCGGCCCTGCTCGGAGGTGGCCTGGACTCTGCCCTTCCCCACCCGTGACCCCAGGCCCGAGTCAGGGGCCATCATGGCAGCACTTGACGTCCTGTGCTGAGGGCCACGCACCTGGAGGTGGGAGGTATTCACTGAGGCCACCCCGGGCTGGGCATGAGGGCGGGGGCACGGCTCGGTGTGTGGCAGCACCTGGCCCTGCAGAGGCCCCAGCCAGCTCCAGGCTGGTACCCAAGGAGCAGGGGTCTCTCATGGCCTGCTGTGACACCATGTGCAGAGTGGGGAGCCCAGCTCCTGGGGGGAGGTCCAAGCTGCAGGCTGCCTTGTAGAGCTCGGGGGTCCTGAGCTCTGGGTTGGTGTCCAGCCTCCTGTGGCCACTGCATACCGGGTTCCATGGACGTGGCGGGGCTCTCTCCTGCCAGCGCCTCAGACCTGTGACCTTCAGCCCGGGACAAGGAGACCTGACCTCCCTGGGCAGCTTCCAGCAGGAGGGGCGGAGCCCCCGCTGGTGGGGTGCCCTCCGTGGTGGACATGCCCTGCTCAACACACCTGTGGGCAGACGTGGCCACTCAGGACCCAGGGGAGAAGTGTGGCCACCAAGACACCCAGCTCACCTCAGCCTCCAAGAACCCGGTTGCAAATGGAAGCTTTTTCTCACTGTCAGTGGGAAACCCATGTGAACGCTGGGTAGCATCGTCCTGAAAATGCCAGAACTTTCCTCCTCTGTCCACTTGGGGTGTGGGCACACACACGCACGGCCTGGGGTAGGTACTCTGAGCCCTTCCAGGATCCTATCCGCGGAGACGCGGGGAGGGAGACCGAGTAGGGCAGGTGGCCTCTCCCTCCACTCCCTCCCCCCCCAGGCCCTGCAGGCTCCATGGCTGGGAGTTTCCCCGCAGGTGGGCCGCAGGCAGGCAGCTGCTTCCTGTGCTCCTAGGAGCGGAGGGGATTTCCAGCCGCTTCCCTCTGCTCCGTCCCCCCGAGGCCCCTCTCCACTGGCAGCTTTAAAAATGAACTTTGGATGATTGCCGGCTCATCACAGGTATTTGGAAGGTGCAGGAGGGCCCAGAGAGCCCCCAGCCCTGCCCCTGCTCCCCGGCTCTGCAAGCCGTTCCCTTCCTCTGGGCAAGAACCTGGGAGCTGTTTGCCTAGAAACCTGCCTGCCAGTATGCCAGGCCACGCGGGACCCCCCCATCCCCCGTCTCCACACGCAGGGCTGCCGGGGGTTTGGCCGTAAGCCCCTGCTGTGCGCAGGCACACTCCATGTGGGCCCTGGTGGTGGGTGTCTTTTTTCTTTTTTGAGACGGAGTCTTGCTCTGTCACCTAGACAAATCTCGGCTTTGCAACCTCCGCCTCCTGGGTGCAAGCAGTTCTCTTGCCTCGATCTCTGAGTAGTTGGGATTACAGGCGCCCGCCACCATCCCTGGATAAAATTGTAGTTCAGTAGAGACGGGGTTTCACCATGTTGGCCAGGCTGGTCTTGAGCTCCTGACCTCAGGTGATCTGCCACCTCCGACTCTCAAAGTGCTGAGATTGCAGGCGGGTCATCCCAGGCCAGGGTGTCTGTCATCATGGCCGCGGCCACTGCTGCTCAGAGCTGGTCTTGGGCACTCAGTGGGTCACATGCTCCAGGGCCCAGACAATACCACAGCCCCAAAGGTCCAGACTGAGGGGGCTCGCTCCTGGCTCAGTGCTGTCTGTTAACCCGTGTGCTCCATCGACCTTTTTGCTGAGGGTTAGGCCACAGGCCAGGCCCGACTGTGCCCTGGGGTCTGAACGTGGTGGTCTTGGGCAGAAGAGGGCAGAAGGCAGAAGAAGCCATCGGGGTCCCCGGCCGGCCTGCCACCTGCCTCCTCCCCTTCTTCTGCCCTCTTCCCCCCTCCCCTCCCCTCCCCTCCTCCACAGTCCTTATAGCCACAACCCGCAAGGAAAAACCCAGACTCTGGCGAACGCGGAGCCAAGAATGTGCGTGGGGGTGCAGCGGCGGGGCCGGGGGCCCTGGGAGGTGGCTCTGCTCCTCCTGGGCCTGGTGCTGAGCGCCTCGGGGCTCCACTGCGTCGGGGACACCTACCCCGGCGGCAACCGGTGCTGTGATGAGTGCCAGCCAGGTGAGGCCCGGCCTTGGGAGGGCACCACACACGGGGTGGGGGTCGGCCCTGGGGCCCTGTCTGGGGTGGGCCAGCCGGGAGGCCGGTCCCGGGGAGGGGGTGGGCAAGGGGCCGGCCAGACCCGACAGAGGACATGCCTGGGGCATCCATGGGCACAGGCCTGGGGCCGAGGGGGCCGACAGCTGCCTGACACGGCGGCCTCTGCTGCAGGCTACGGGATGGTCAGCCGCTGCAGCCATACTCAGAACTCCGTGTGCCGCCCGTGTGAGCCCGGCTACTACAGCGATGCCGTCAGCGCCAAGCCGTGCAAGACCTGCACACGCTGCAACCTCAGTGAGCTCCCACCCGCCACAGCCCCCCCAGACGGGGCTCCCGCCCGCCACAGCCCCCCCAGACGGGGCTCCCGCCCGCCACAGCTCCCCTAGACGGGGCTCCCGCCAGCCACAGCCCCCCCAGACGGGGCTCCCGCCCGCCACAGCTCCCCCCAGACGGGGCTCCCGCCCGCCACAGCACCCCCCAGACGGGGCTCCCGCCCGCCACAGCTCCCCCAGACGGGGCTCCCGCCCGCCACAGCCCCCCCCAGACGGGGCTCCCGCCTGCCACAGCTCCCCGCAGACGGGGCTCCCGCCCGCCACAGCCCCCCCACAGACGGGGCTCCCGCCCGCCACAGCCCCCCCAGACGGGGCTCCCGCCCGCCACAGCTCCCCCAGACGGGGCTCCCGCCCGCCACAGCCCCCCCCAGACGGGGCTCCCGCCCGCCACAGCCCTCCCCAGACGGGGCTCCCGCCCGCCACAGCCCCCACCAGACGGGGCTCCCGCCTGCCACAGCTCCCCCCAGACGGGGCTCCCGCCCGCCACAGCTCCCCGCAGACGGGGCTCCCGCCCGCCACAGCACCCCCCGACGGGGCTCCCGCCCGCCACAGCTCCCCCAAGATGGGGCTCCCGCCCGCCACAGCTCCCCCCAGACGGAGCCCACCCGCCCACAGCCCTCCAGACGGGGCTCCCACCCGCCACAGCCCACCCAGCACAGGGGTGGCAGCCTGGCAGCCACATTCCCGCACAGCAGCGGGGGCTCCACAGCCTCAGAAACAAACTTCAAACCACAGCGGGGTCTGTGCCGCCCCCAGGGGTCCTTCCAGGAGCTGAGGCATTTCCCTGGGGCACACCCCTCCTCCTGAGGCCCCAGACTTGGCCAAGCCACGTTGAGTCGGGAAGCCCATGTTGGCCACGTGGCCTGGCCCTGCTGTCCCGAGCATTGCGGCTGGAGCTGGTGGATGGGTGGGGAAGGGGACTGGGGCTGCGCAGAACCGACCCAGGCGGTGGCCAGGAAGGGATGGCCCAGGAGCCTTGGGGGCTGCAGGGGCCAAATGCCTCACCTCTGGGGAGGTCGCAGACCCCTGGCCGTGGCCTTGGTGCAGTGGGAAGGCCACGCTGTCCTCCTGTGCCCACGCTTCCTGGGGACCCTGTCTGCAGCCCCCACCTGACGACCCCCCATCCGGCCCCTGCTCAGGAAGTGGCAGCGAGCAGAAGCAGAAGTGCACAGCCACGCAGGACGCCGTGTGCCGCTGCCGGCCAGGCACCGAGCCTGTGCACAGCTACAAGCTTGGAGTTGGTGAGCTCCGCGGGCTGCGGCTGGTTGGCGGGGTGTGCCCGGCAGCTGTCTGTGCTGCAGGTGGGGCGTGGGCTGCGGGAACCCGGCCCCACTGGTGCCTCCTCCAGTGTCGCCAAGACTGGGCTCCTGGGTCAGGCTCCCTCCCGGTGGGACGTGAGCAGGGAGGGCTTCCAGAGGCCAAGCCCCAGCACCTGGCCCTGGGGACGAGTGCCTGCCTCACAGGCTTTGCCCCGTATCCCCAGTACCTCCGGCCTGTGGGCCGCCCCGACCACCCTGTTTTTGTTGCAGACTGCGCCCCCTGCCCCCCAGGGCATTTCTCCTCCGGTGACAACCAGCCTTGCAAGCCCTGGACCAAGTGAGGGCCCAGCCAGGGGCTGGGAATGGGGCCGGGGGCTGGGAGGGGCTGCAGGGGGCAGAAGGTTGGGGGTCTGGGAGGGGCAGAGCGGGGTTTGGGGAGCAGTGCTGGTAGCCTGGGTAGCCTGGCTGTGCAGCTGGGCCAGATCCGGGAGCAGTTAGCTGCTGCCTGGGAGCAGTCTTTCCCATGGGTACAGCTGGGCATGTGGGCCCCTCACCCTCCGCAGCTGAGAGGCCCTGGGGGCACAGGACAGAGGGGCCGCTGGGGGCTGCAGATACAGGGGAAGGGAGCGTGGCCTTAGAAACCCCTGTGGGTCTCGTGGGGCTGGCCGGGTCCTTGGCTGCCACTGGTCTGGCTCTGCGGTGGAGGCTCCCTTACCATCCTCCCAGGCTGTCCCTGGTCCCAGGGGTCTCGCCTGAGCAGCACCCCCTGCACCTGCAGCTGCACCTTGGCCGGGAAGAGCACACAGCAGCCAGCCAGCAACAGCTCAGACGCCGTCTGTGAGGACAGGGGCCCCCCAGCCACGCGGCCCCAGGGGACCCGGGCCCCCACTGCGAGGCCCACCACTGCCCGGGCCATTGAAGCCTGGTCCAGAACCTCACAGGGACCCTCCACAAGGCCTGCTGAGGCCACCGGGGGTAAGGGCGCCTGGGCCAGCCCAGTGGGTGCCCCCAACCCAAATGGGAGGAGAGGAGGGTGGCATGGGGGTCCCTCCTGTGGACCCCACCCAGTAGGCCCCTTCCTGCAGGCCCTGCGGTCGCTGCCATCCTGGGCCTGGGCCTGGCCCTGGGCCTCCTGGGCCCCCTGGCCATGCTGCTGGCCCTGCACCTACTCCGGAGGGACCTGAGCCCGCCCCCCGACGCCCTCAAGCCTCCTGGTGAGTGCCATGCGGCCTCTCCTCGCTGCTCCTGGAGAGTGACGCCCGCCCACCAATCTCTCCTCCTTTTCTCCTCCCCAGGGGGAGGCAGTTTCCGGACCCCCATCCAAGAGGAGCAGGCCGACGCACACTCTGCCCTGGCCAAGATCTGACCCGGCCCACCAAGGCGGACGCTGGGCCCCGGAGGGTCTGCTGGGCGAGCAGGGCAGGTGCCGGCCGCCGCCCTGCCACGCTCCTGGGCCACGCCACGCTGTGCTAGGCGCCGCTGGCTGCTCCGGCCCTCTTCTTATGTATGCCATGCATACTCCGCACCCTGTGGGGCCCAATAAAAACCCGGCAGACAGAGTCTCTTACTGGCACCGTGGGCTGGGGGCTGTGTCTGCGGCAGGGAGGCCTGGGTCGGGCCCGCCTCTGGCTGGAGAGAGGTCTTGGGCCAGGGTGGAGGTCGGGGTCTCGGGGTCAAGTGGGACCCTGGAGGCTGGTCCCTGGGTATGAGTTCTAGACTGAGCAGGGAGGGTGGGGCAGTGATGGGGAGGCTAAGGCGGGGCAGGTGGGGGGCTCAGGGCCAGGGCCCCTGGGGTGGGGGCTGGGAGGGGCAGGCAGGGCGGAGGGGCGGGGGCTCCTGGCCAGGCGCTGACAAGGGCCACAGGCCCCCGAGCCCTGGGTCACCCAAGGAGCTTGGGAGCGGCTGACCCCTGGGCCTCTTGTGCCCTTGGAGGAGGAGCGCAGAGACCTGGCCCCTCTTTTCCACCACACCCCCACCCCCACACCCACCCCCGCGGCACCTGGGAGGGGGTCCCAGGGCCCCTGAGCACCCTGAGGAGTCCCTTCAGGGGCACCGTATGTCCCTGCTGTGGGTGTCCAGGGTGACGGCCCCCTTGGAAACCACGGTTTCTGCTTGAGCCAGGGTCTGTCCGTCCCGGGCCCACCCTGAGTTCGGCCCTGAACAAGAACATCCACAGCGACTCCACGTCACGTGGTCCCACAGTGGCGAAACCTAGACGTCCACCAGCAGCGTGGACCTGCCAGTGCTGGTGTGCTCAGATGGGTCCCCAGCCCATGCCACGAGTGTCAGAGAAGGCCCAAGGTCCCAGAGCCAGCCCCAGCTGCACGGAATCCTTGCAAGCTGGTGTCCGGGAGTGGGTGTCCTTCCTTCAAGCAACGAAGTGCTGCTTCCAGAGCCCCAGTCACGCCCGAGGCCACAGCTTGGGAACCAGACGGAGTCCCCACACCCGGTCCTCACTGCACTCATGAGCGGGAGACAAACAGCCAGGCCGGGCGTGGAGGTTCATGCCTGGAATCCCAGCACTTTGGGAGGCCGAGGCGGGAGGATCACGAAGTCAGGAGTTTGAGACCAGCCTGGCTAACGTGGTGAAACCCCGTCTCTACTAAAGATACAAAAAGTTAGCTGGGCGTGGTGGCAGGCGCCTGTAGTCCCTGCCACTCAGGAGGCTGAGGCAGGAGAATTGCCTGAACCCAGGAGGTGGAGGTTGGCGGTGAGCCGAGATCTTACCATTGAACTCTATGGAGTGAGACTGGCTCAAAAAAAAAAAAAAAAAAAAAAGAAAAAAGAAAAAAAAAGGGAAAGACAGAATTAATGATCAGCCAGGTGTGGTGGTGCATGCCCGAGGTCCCGGCCGTTTGAGGGGGGCCAAGGTGCGAGGGTCACTTGAGCTGGAGAGGTCGAGGCTGCAGTGAGAAGTGATTGAAAAAATAATAATAAAATGAAATTTTAAAAAAATTACATAAAAAGAAACGCATGAAGCCTGATGGAAGGTTTTGCTGAGGGCGTGGCCCAGCCCGGACGCTCAGGCCGCCATGGCTGCAGTTCCAGGCCTGCAGCTGCACCTGCGCCCACACGCGGCGTCCCAGGCCAGCCTTCCCTCTCCGTGCCCTCCACCGGGGCACTGCCCATGGCTGTCCGGGGCTCCTGTGCCTGGCAGACGGCTCCCCTCAACGCCGCGGTCCTGGGTGTGGAGAACTGGCCGCAGGGTGGGAAGGGGAGCGCCCCGCACGGCAGCCCACGGCGCCACACCACAAGTGGCCACAAGCAAGACGCCATCTCTGGCCTTGGGCTGCCCGACGCCTCCTGCCTCTCCAGCGGGTCTCCCTTCAAACCTGTGTCCTCCACCCACTCTGTGCCAGCCACAGCCGTCCCCGGCTGCACTGGGAGGTCAGAGGCCACCCTGTCCTCTCCCCCAGCGCCTTCTCTGACTGTGCGAGGTTCAGCCTACAGTCCCTGCACAGGATTGGGGGGGCACCCCTCGAAGAACCCCCCTCCACTATGGGGCAGGCGAGACCAGGCCTGGAGAGGGGACTGTGGGTGTGGGAAGGGGTCAGATGGCCAGGTCCTGTGGGGCCCGCAGGTTGAAGCCTGTGGGAAAGGGGTCTCCTTCCCAAACCTGGCGCTCACACCCATGGCTTCCTGTCTCCTCCCGTCTGGGCACAGCCCCCGCAGGCCCAGGCCTGTGGCACCCCTTCCGCAGCCAGGCCTCCTGCTGAAACCCAGGTGGACACAGGGTCACCTCTGCTTGGTCTCCCTGCTCACCCTCCCCGGCCCCTCGCCCAAGGTCATCTCTGCTAGAGACTCCTGCGCCATCTGCGCTCCAGGGCCTGCCTGAGCTCAGACATGGTGCCCATCTGCGTCCTCACCCTGGGGCCCCACAGCTGCCCCGCCTTCTGCACGCACGGAAGGCCTGCCCCTCACCCAGCCGCCGCACTGTGGGCTGTTCTATGCCGTGAATGCCCCGTTATTTGTGTCATTGGTGAGTTGCTCACAACACCGGAAAATAAGATGAGCAGATAAAATCACCTCCAGCCTCGAAGGCCGAGGACGCGAGTCACGGGGAGCCTGGGAGGACGTCACTCCCGCAGCTGCTCCGGGGAACGTGGTGTGGGGGCTGTTCAGGCCACTCAAGGTGTCAGCTGCGCCATGGGCACCAGGACTGGGGTGAGCCTGAGCTGGTGCAGACCCCTTGGGCTTTTAAAACTGCCAGGGGCTCCGGGCCTCCTCCCTGAACATCTTTGCCTGTGTTAGGTCTGATGGTGCCTCCTGCTCTCCAGGGGCTCAGCCCCTCCCAGGCTAGGGGCTGAATGAAGATCTCCAGGCCCCTCAAATACAGGGTCCCCAGGCCCCACTGGCCCACCCCTTTCTCTCTGAGCGTCTGGGCAGCGTGGAGCCATGGAGACCCCCCACTTTTCTGCAGTGTCTGAGGACTGCCTCTCAAGGCAGGCTCCCACATCTTGGATCTGAGAACCGGGGGCGTTACAAACAGCTGATTCCTGCCATTTACCTTGGAAAAGGAGGAATCGCCTTACGGGGTGAGGCGGGGGCTGCAGGTCTCAAAAGAGTGTCTGACCACATCACAACGGCCACTACTCCACCAGCCGTGGGCACAGCCACGCTCATGTTCCCCAGCACCCCCGCCCCCAGCATTCCTTCGGGTCTCCACTTGGCGATGAATAGCACAGAAGCAGGCTGAGCAATCCAGGGAGGCTTCCTGGTGGAGGCAGGGTCCCAGAACCACTCGGTGCCCACAGGGGAAACTGAGGTTCAGAGAGATGTAGGGCAGCCTCTGGAGAACTTGTGAGGGGTGCCCCTCGACCCCCTCCAGGACCCGGCTCTGTCTGGCGTGATGGATGAAGGTGGCTCCACAGAGGCCTGGGTGAGAACCAGCCTGAGACTCAGCAGACCCGGCAGGCCGCTCTGCCCTGGGCCTCTGGTGCCCGCAGGGGTGGCTGGCACTGACTAGAAGAGGTGCCATGCACCCTCTGGTCCCTCTCCCCAGCCCTCCTGGTGCCCCCTCCCAAGCCCTGGGAGCTCCCTGGGTTGGCAGCTGAGGGGGGTCCCCGGGGACCGTGCGCAAGGGGAGCCCACAGGCCTGTGACCCATGGCAAGCCTCACACCCGGAGCCGGCCAGGCTGGGCGTGGTGAGCTGAGGGCCGCCTGTCTTCATTCTGTGTCGGCCCCGCGCTGGGGTCCGTGGCTGAGGTGCCCTGGGAGTGACGGGTTTGTGGGGACCTTTCAGAGTCTTGCAGATACCACCCAGGGTAGTGGGGTGAAGGGGGTGCTGGGCCCCCTGGGACGAGGTGCTAAGCCCCGCCCCTGCCTGGGACCCACCGAGGTGGCCACAGATTTGCATAGAAAACCATTCTGATCCCCCTGCCTGGTTTCCCCGCCCCTGCCGGCGACCTGCGGGGACCAGGCTGTGTCCACAGCGCCCACATCCCTCCCCACATGCATTTGGGGCGCATTTTGGCTGGAATTCTCAGTTCATGATCACTTCCAGTCACCTCCAGGCAGGGAGGGTGAGGACGGGGACGGGGTGTGTCCAACTTGCTGTGGGCTCCTGAACTGGGGTGCGGCTGCCGGGCGATGGGCGCGTGCGGGGTTCTGTGCGGCCTGGCGCTGCTGTGGGCGCTCGGCCGGGGTCAGCGCCCCACCGGGGGCCTGGGGTGCGGCCCTGGCCGCCTCCTGGTCGGGGCAGGAACCGACGCGCGCTGCTGCCGCGTTCACCCGACACGCTGCTGCCATGCGGACCCGGGTAAGTGAGCCGCGCTTCCTCAGGCGACCGGCCAAGACTGCAGCGTGGAAGCCGGAGAGGCGCGCCCCCTCCCCGTGCTCAGACCGCCGTCGCTGTCACTGTCGTCTAAGGAGGGCGGGCACGAGGCTGCTGCAGGCTTTTGGGGGGAGGTAGGGCCCCAGAGGGAGGTGGCCCCGAGAGGGCCGGGCAAGCACGGTGGGAGCCCTCAGAGGGATCCGGGGACCCAGGTCCTGCTGGCCGGTTGTGAGCCCGTGACCGTCGCCCAGCCCCCTCCTGCCCAGCTGCCCCCACCCTCTGCCGTCTGCCCCGCTGCCTGCCCCTGACCCGACCTGCACCTGGGCGGGGGTGAGGGTTCAGCTGACACGTGGGTCTGGGGAGGAAGCTGGCAGAGAGGACACCCCAGAGCTGCTTCCTCCAGGGCCTGCGGGTTGAGGGGACGCTCTGTCCCGAGGCCCAGCGTGGCTGGTGGTGGTGACAGCAGTGCAGGGGGGCCAGGCAGGCAGCCTCTGAGGTGTCCCCGGGCCTCCAGGGGGCCGTGCCCTGGTGGGGGGCACCCCTGAGTCCAGCAGGGACAGCTCCTGCAGAGTCACAGCAGCAGGCCAGGGCGGCTGCGGGGCACAGAGGGCGTGGAGCCAGGCCACAGGGCCCGGGAGCAAGACAGAGCTGGACACAACCAGGGTCCTGACTCCCAGCCACAAGCCCTCCACTCCATGGAGCCGACTGTGGGTGGTGGGGAACGGACAGCCAGCTCCCCTGGAGGGCTGAGGGGAGACCTGAGGAGCAGGGGCCTCAGCCCAGCTGCTGGGGGCTGGCTTGTCTCTTGCCCAGGCACGGACTGCTGCTCCGAGAGGGACTGTGTGTGCCTCCAGCCTGAGTTCCACTGCGGGGACCCTTGCTGCGAAGCCTGTCAGCACCATCCTTGCCCACCAGGCCAGCAGGCGCAGTCCCAGGGTGAGTCCAGGCAGCTGTGGGTGTCCACACAGGCCAGGGGTTGCCCCAGGGCCGAGGCAGAGCTCGTGGGCGCAGGTGTCCGGTGAGGACGTGTGGTGTGTGGGGTGCTGGGCAGGCGGGCCAGGCTGTGCTCAGGGCGCCATGCAGCTCTGCGGGGTGTCCGTCTCCCTGTTCCCAGTCTCGGCTTCTCCATCCAGCTCAACGGCCCTGATGTCCCTCAGGGCTGTGAGAACCCGGGGTGGGGTGGGGACGCCGATCCTGTCTGCCCTCACTGAATGTGGAAAGCCTGCCCTGTGCCCCCAGGACTCCTGTCTGAGGTCCAGGGCTGTATCCCTCTCTGGAAGAAGCTCAAGGCCCCCTAGGGGCTTGTTTACCTGATGGGGGGCCAGGCTGGGCACAGGGGCACTGGGAGGAGCGAGGCCTGGAGGGGGGTTGTGTGAGGTTGGACGGGGCTGGGTCTGGGGTCTGGCGACCCAGCCTTTCTCTGGGACCCTCACCCTTTCCACCTTCTGTTCCACTGGGTCCAGCCCAGGGCCTGGGCTGGCTCCTGCATGACCTCTGCCCACGCTCAGCCCCCAGTGGGCAGGCTGTCCACCCCCACGCCCCTGGCAGGCTCCTCCCCCAGGATCCCCAGGGAGCCTCCAGGTGCCCTCACTGCATCCCACCCCAGATGCCTGACCCTGATGGGCAGGCGTGGCCCTGGCGCTGGGACCTCTGTTGAATGGATGATGTGGGGGGTCACTCTCAGGATCCAGACGCCCAGATGGCCCCTCCTCATCCATCCCGGACACTCCGGCATCCTCGCTCCCTCCCTCCCGCCCCCCCTACCCCAGGGAAATTCACATTCGGCTTCACGTGTGTGGACTGTGCCTGGGGGACCTTCTCCGGAGGCCGTGAGGGCCACTGCAAACCTTGGACAGAGTGAGTCCTGGCGGGCCCTGCGGGCGGCCAGGTGCTCCAAGCCCACTCTGGGGAGGGTCCCCTCCAGCCCTGGACAGCGCCGAGGACATCAGCTGGGGCTGAAGGGGGCTGTATCCGTGTTCCAGCTGCACCCAGTTTGGGTTTCTCACCGTGTTCCCGGGGAACAAGACCCACAACGCCGTGTGTGTCCCAGGGCGCCCGCCTGCAGAGTCACCTGGGTTGCTAACCATCACCCTGCTGGCTGTGGCCGCCTGCATCCTCCTCCTGACCTCGGCCCTGCTTGGACTGAACGTCTGGCAGCTGAGGGGTCGGCGTGCATGGCCCCGAGGTCAGTCCCGTCCCTCCCCGGGGTGGGGAGCGGGGAGCCTGGCCGTCCGCTAACTGCGCGCCCACCCCGCAGGGACCCAGCCACCAGAGGTGCCGCCGTCCACTGAAGACGCCAGCAGCTGCCAGTTCCCCGAGGAAGAGCGGGGGGAGCGGTCGGCAGAGGATAAGGGCCGCCTGGGAGACCTGTGGGTGTGAGCCTGGCTGTCCTCCGGGCCGCCGACCACAGCCAGCCTCTCCCCAGGAGCTCTCCGGGCAGCAAGGGCTCCGTGTTCTGCTCTGGACCGGGCCTTGCTCCCCTGGCAGCAGAAGTGGGTGCAGGATGGTGGCAGTGCCCAGCCCCCTGGACCACGCAGGTTGGCGGCCGTGGCCGGGCACTGCAGCAGGGAGAGAGACACAGCTGGCTCCCGCCCTCCTCTGCCAGCCCCACTGGCGAAGGGTCTCCGGGCTCCTCACTGCCAGGACAGGAGGCTGTGCTGTGGGTGCAGTGCCCAGCATGGGACCCGGCTGCAGGGAGCCTTCAATAAACACTTGTTCAGTGAGCTGAGTGATGAATGCTGGGTGCCAGGGGAGGACCGGGTGCTCCGGGCTGGGCTGTGGGGCACCGTGTCCACGCCTGGCGTGGTCCCCTCCACAGGGAGCAAAGGGAGGGTAGCCAGGGCCATGCTGGGAACTCCTGGTGGGTGGGGGTGGGGGCCCACGTGGGGCCATTCCAGTCCCGGGCCAGCGCTCCTCAGGGACAGAGACTCAGTGGCTTCACCAGGAGGGCGCTCTGCGCTGGTGCCCCTGGGGACTCTGGTTTCTGGCCACACAGCCTGCCGGTCCCCGGGTACCCAGAGCCCAGACTCACATCAAGCACCTGCCAGTGGCGGGGCCCAGTCTCCAGGCCAGACCTCGCTCCTCAGCACACCACCCTTGCCGCCCAGCCTCCCGCTCCCGGTGAGATCTGATACCAGCTCGCTCAGCTGCCAGGGAGTGGCGGGCAGGCCGGTGCAGGCTCTCAACAGCGCCCTGGAGGCACCGCACACCTGGCCCCCAGCTCAGCTCCCCTTGGGCGGATGGGGCAGAGGGGGTGTAGGCAGCTCCCCACAGGGGACCAGGAGTGTGGAGAGCCCAGGGGTTGCACAGGGACACGGGAAGGCGGCAGCCCTGGGAACAGGCGGGGCCACGGCGTGAGCAGGACCCAGCCCTTCTGTGCCAGCGTGGGTGACACCCCCCCATGGGCACCGAGGAAGGAGAACTGTCCAGACCCCAGGCACAACCAGTGCCCGAAGAATATCTTACAGTGTTACTGCTCAGCTGTTTCCTTTATGTAATCCTTCATATATAATTATATATTAGTTCACAGAATTAGTGGTTGAAGTGTAACTTACTGCTTACATATATCTAGTTTATATAATCTTACTTAATACTTATATCTTCTGAGTTCTATATAATCTTTCTATATAATCATACAAGTATTGTGATCACAGCCGTACCGACACATTTAGTGCTGACTTATAGAATCCTCCTATATAACCATATCGTCGTCTGTAGTAGGAGGAATGCCCAGAGCAGTCCCAGAGCAGAAGCAGTACATGGGAAAACAGCCAGACCAGGACGAGGACCAAAGACCCAGGCGGCGGCAGCCCCGCCTGAAAGGGCACACGCTGTACGGCAGGCTTGGAGCAGGAGCCTCTCCTCCTGAGACAGGAGCTGTAGCACCTTGCATCCAGTTCCTGTGGAAAGTCGGCCTCAGGCCTGAGATCCTGGAAGTAACGGAGGGAGAAGAACCCTCAGGTGTGACCAGTCACGGCGGCCGGACACCCTGTCAGTCTTTTCTCGCTTCTGTGCTAGCTCAAATCATCCTCCCATAAATACCTTAGAGAAGAGCGCACGTCTGTCAGCCCCCACTGCACTGGCTTACAGCATCCTTCTATTGGAAACCCTCTGAAGCCTCCAGCTCCCGATAAGAAGTGTCGCGCACGACACCTGCTGCACACAGCCCACCTCCTTGCCTCGGTGACCTAATGGGGGTGGACCCCTTTTCTGTACACGACCCTCTACTACCGCACACAGCACGGCCCCCTACTGCGCACGGCCCACCTCTCTGCCCAGGTGACACAATGGGGTGGCCCCTCGCTTGTGACTCATGATTATGGATGCCCTGTTACTGAGCCTACAGATGATGACCTCACTCACGGCCCTGTCCCCTGCTTGTACCTAATAAATACAGATGCTCTGGGGCATTTGGGGGCCGTCACTGATCTCTGCTCACAGGTGGTGTGCACCCACCCCCCTGCCCCGAGTCCAGATGCTCTTCACCAGTTCTTCAGTGTCCTGTCCGTTTACTTCTCGGATCCTGCACCTCAGCACAGCATAAGGGACACCCCACAACCATGTGGGGCCCAACAGCCTTACATGCTGGCAGCGTACTGGGTCCTGGGCTCGGTCCTGGGCTTGAAGCTAGGTACTGGGTTAGGAACTGGGTACTGGGCTAGGTACTGGCACTGGGCTCGGGGCTGGGTACCGGGTTTGGTGCGCTCCCTGCATGCCCCACCGGACCGACCCGGGGCTGTCCCGCACCTTCCTCCCGCGGGGGTGACTCAGCGCGGAAACTCCTCTTGGGCGGCCTCGCGTGGGCCACGGCGCCGAGACGTCAGCGCGGGGGCGGCGGGCGGGGGATTCCGCGGGCTCCTGGCGGGGTCTGGGGTCTCCTCCCCTCCCGGCCCTGCCCGCGGTTCTCCTGGAGCTCGACCCTCCCCCTGTCAGGGCCTCCAGGGGCCTGGGGTGGGGGTGGGGGTGGGGGTGGGGGTGGGGGTCGAGCCCGGCTGGTGGGAGGGGGGAGGGGGGCCGACCCGGGCTGGGGGGGTAGGGCGGCCGAGACGGGCTGGGGGTATGGGGGGGGCCGAGCCGGGCTGGGGGGGGAGGGGGGGCCGAGGCGGGCTGGGGGGGAGGGGGAGCTGAGTCGGGCTGGGGTCGCCCCTGTGAGGCTCAGCCACCGCCCCTCCCACCTGCGGCGCAGTCGTCTCGGCTTCCTGGGGGGGCCCCCCTCTCTGCTCCCCCTGGAAGCGGGACCTGCAGCCTCAGGGCTGCCTCCACCTGCTCCGGAAAACCGCAGCCGCCCCACCTCCCCTGCCGGACTTTTCAGCGCACAACCCTAATCCTGTTCTCAGAAGCGCTTCCGCGGCAGCCCTGCGTCCCCTTCCTCCTGCCCCACCCCTCCCTGCTGGAAGAGCCCCCTCCCCGCCTTCCACTGAGATCTGGACTTGGTCATGCGGGACGCCCCAAGCTGACAGAGACCCCTGTGGCGGGGGTCTTTGACCTATGGCAGTGTCCACAGCCAGACACCCCTTTGCAGCCCAGCCTAGGACAGGTGGGGGGTCCTTGAGGGCCGGGGGTGGCCCCCAGCCACCCCAGCTGCGTGGGTCTCTGCTTCATGATTCAGGTCCCCTCCTGGTGCTGGGCTGAGCCCTGAGGACGTCCGGGCAGGACGGGAGGGGCCTTGCTCCTCTGGCCAGTGACCCTCAGGGGAGATGGGGTGCCTGGCCTCAGGGAGGAGGCAGACAGCTGCCTCCCACAAAGCTCGTCTTCCCTGAAAGCTCCAGGAATTGAGGGCTTTCTGGAGTTGGTGATTCAGGCCCGGGATTGTCCTGGTCCCTCCTAAAGACACACGGTGGAGGGGGGCGGGAGGGGCCGGAAGGGGCCCAATGGACGTGCAAGCCTGGAGTCCTCAGGGATCATCCGTCTTTAGCAGAAAGACACATGGCCGCCCTCGGACCCTCAGCGGACCCCAGGGCCCGGCTGCTGGCCGGACAGCACGGGGGAGGCTGCAGGGATGGCGTGTGTGTGGCTGTGCCTGTGTCCAAGTGGGAGGCAGCTTGACCCCCTCACCTTCCCCTCGAGTCCCCTTCCTGGCAGGCAGCAGGACCCCAGGACTCACCCATGGAAGGGAGGGGGAGAGTGGGCACGGGAGGGCGCGGGGGGCCTCTACCTTGGGTCCCAGGCTCCAGCTGGCGCCGTCTCTGGGAAGCCCCTCTGACGCTCCCTGAGCGCCTCTTGTCCCCGAGGGGTCCTGACGCCTTTACTGTGGCCCTGGCTGCCACTTCAGTTGAATGTCAGATGCTCAGGCACCCACGGTTCCCACTCCCTGGAGGCCCCTCCTGCTTCACCCCTCCCAGGCCTTGGTGGGCTGCAGATTAGGCCGCTGCTGCCCTTGGCCCCCCAGAGGGTCCAGCAGACCTGCCAGGAGGGGACTGGGGCCCTGGGCTGCCACCTCAGTGACAGGTGTGTTCCCAGCATGTCACAGGGACCCCCACGCTGCGGCCTCAGCGGCAGGATTGTGCTGGGTCGGGGGGGCGGCCCTGGCTTGGGGCGGCTCCTTACTGGCTCTGAGACCCGGGGCCTCCTTTGGCCTCTCTGGGCCCCGTTCCCTCTGTCCCGCTGTGCCCTCTCCTGGGCGCCCTGGCTGTGCCCTGCCTGCCGCGCTGCCCTCTAGAGGTGCCAGCCACTGCATCTTGGGAAGGAGCTCACGGTGGACCGGGGGCCAAGGCAGGGTCTGCTCGGCCGTGGCCTGTGGAGCGTTGGGGGCGGGGCTGCAGGTGGCGGGCCTGGGGCAGGACCCCTCGTCCTCAGGTCTTGACTTGGGCACAGAGGCCTTGAGCCAGCCATGGGGAAGAGGCCTACATGCTCTAGCTCTCTGGTGGGAGGTGGCTGAGGGGGTGGGGCCGTGACGGGGTCAGGGCAGGGTCTGGCGAGTGTGGATGCAGCTGGACCATCAGAGCTCTTGCTGGAGACCCCCAGGCCCATGGGGAACGGAACCGTCAGCGGCCATGCAGGACTGACCAGAGCTGGGCCAGCGTGGGCTCAGCATAGCCTCTGGAGGACCTCCTGTGGGGGCAGCCGCCCTGTGCCCCTCAGCCCTGGCTGAGTCCTGGGCCAGCTGCAGGAGGGCTGGGAGCTCGTGGAGCTGGGGGCCCAGGAAGGTTCTGTGCCCGGTGGGCTGGGACGAGCCCTGTGGGTGCCCAGGGCAGCAATCCTGGGCTCAAGGGGGTCCTCCTTTGGACCTCCAGAGGGTTCAGAGGGGCTTATGGGGTATAGACCCTTCCTGGGGACACCAGGCAGTGGCGGGTGGCAGGCCAGGCCGTGGGGCTGTGGGGTTGCAGGGCTGAGTCGGGTCCAGGTGCTCAGGGGCACAGGGTGATGGGCGGGAGCCCAGCCCAGCTGTGGGGACTCCTCTCTTTCAGCACGGTCCCCCTGGGACACAGCCCAGCTGTGGGGACTCCTCTCCTTCAGCATGGCCCCCCCGGGACACAGCCCAGCTGTGGGGACTCCCCCCTTTCAGCACAGCCCCGGTGGGACACAGTCCAGCTGTGGTGACCCTCTCCCTCAGCATGCTCCCCCGGGACACAACCCAGCTGTGGGGATCCCCTCCCTCAGCACGGCCCCCCCTAGGGACACAGCCCAGCTGTGGGGACCCCCTCCCTCAGCACGGCCCCCCCAGGACTTGGCTGGCATGGTGGAGGTGACCCTGGGGCACAGGCTTGGTGGTGCCAAAGCAACAGGATGGTGCAGAGACCGTGTTTGTAACAAAGTAGCCTTTAGTGTGGCAGGGGTGGCATGGTGGGGTGGGGTCCATGCCAGCCGGGTGACCCACCCCCCTAGGGTCTTGTGTTCCCAGGCTGCTTGTGCTCCTCCTGGGCTGTCCCTGGGGAAGGCTCTTGCACCAGGTCCCTGTCGCCCCTGCCCAGCTGCTCAGTGCCTGGGGCCTGGGGCTCCCGGTGGTGGGCGTCGTCGGGGCCGGGGCCTGGGCTGGGTGGCCGGGGCTGCCATGGGGCCGAGTGAGGGGGCGTGGGTCTGTGGGCACCCGGCCGGGCTGGGGCGTGCGGTGTGGGCGGCTGGGAGGACTCGGCCTGGCGGGGGGCGCGGGGGGGCCGGCTGGGGAGGCCGCTCGGGGCCCCGGGACGCAGCCGCTGCTCGGCCTCCCCCGTGTGCAGGAGCACGAAGCGACGCTGGGTCCTCAGGGGCAGCATCTTCTGGCCGCGCAGGCTCTTCTGGAAGGTCTCCAGTGCCAGGTCTGGCGTGGTGGGAGAGAGAAGGTAAGTGGGGGCAGAGCCTGGAGGAGGGGGAGGAGCAGGAAGGGGCGGGGAGGGGGAGGGGTGGGGTCCAAGGGGGCTGAGGTGTGGGGAAGGTTGTGGGGGGGGCGGCGCTGCCACGCAGGCCCTGGGGATGTGGGAGAGCCCCGGCTGTGGGGTCTGAGCTTGGGAATAGGGCGGCCGGGCAGGCGTAGGGGCGTGGGGTGGGGGCTTTGAGGCTCACCCAGAGTCTCCATGACCACACCTGGGATGACCTCCTTCAGGACCTCGCAGTTGGTGTGCAGGGCGGGGTTGGAATTCATCTCCAGCAGCCACACCTGCACCAGACACCACTCGGCTCCCTCCCCCATTCACCCCCACCTGCCACGAGCCCACGGGGACTGCAGGAGGCAGAGGCCCTGTCCTCACTCAGCGAGGGGGCCCTGGGAGGCCACTTCCTTTTCTGCAGCCTCACTCCCCTGTCTGTCCACCGAGGCTCTGAAGGTCTGAGGCTCTGGCCTGAGCAAGTACCCTGGGAGGGGTGCAGGTCCATCCCAGCTGCAGAGGAGGGGAGCCTGGTGGACACACCCAGCCCCAGGGGTGGGGGCTGACAGCCGAGTCCACCTGGGGCTGCCCATGTGGTCAGGGTGTGCACACGCCCCGCCTCCTGCATCTCCCCACTGTGCCCCCAGCGTGCCCCCGCCATGCCCCCACTGCCAGGACAGCACCTTGAAGTTGTCATCAATCAGGAAGTCACAGCCGATGAGGTCGAAGTAACCCAGCTTGCACTCCAGCTTGGACTTGGCGGCCAGGAAGCAGTGGACCATGATCTGCTGCATCCGCTTCTGCAGGGGGCAGGGAGGCATCGTGGCTGCGGCCTCAGCAGCCACACCCATCTGGACTCGCACCCGCACAGCCACACCTGCTCACGTGTCTGCACGCAGCATCACAGCCTCGCAGCCGGGAGCTCATTGAGCCAAATCCCGGGGCTCCCAGCGAGTATCAGGCACTGGGGGTACAGGGGTGAGGGAAGCTCTGCTCTCCAGCAGCTCGCTCAGTATTCGAGACGGAAAGCAAACGGGATACATAAAATCTGGAATCTGGGCAAGAACAGGGAACTCTAGTATCTTAACGTGCTCTAGTTTCATCCTCTGCTTCCCAGCTCAGTGGTGGCCTCAAAGAACAACAGCGTGTATCCCCAGAACTGGAGACAGCAGAATCGGCCTCATTTATTTTCAAGACGTAACCGTTTGTTTTCTTATGTCTGGTAGTTTCTTGGAAGATCCCACTTGAGAGGACTAAAAGGTGTGAGGGCCGGGCGCGGTGGCTCACACCTGTCGTCCCAGCACTTTGGGAGGCTGAGGCGGGCGGATCACCTGAGCCCAGGAGTCTGAGATCAGCCTGGGCAATACAGTGAGACACTCCGCCCAGAAGCCCGAGGTACATCCTTCTCAAGTGCACGTGAATTTAAACCAAATAGACCTGACAGATGTCTACAAAACACTCCACCCAAAAGCCCATCAAGTGCACGTGAATTTAAACCAGGATAGACCCTGCACTTGGACATCAACAAGTTTCAGGTGTTTTTTGGTTTTGCTTTTTAATGATCTACTTGATTAATAGTAAGTTTGTTTGTTGTTTTTTTAGAGATGGGGTTTCACTGTGTTGTCTAGACTGGACTCAAATTCCTGGGTTAAGCAATCTTTCCATCTCAACCTCTTGAGTGACTGGGATTACAGGTGTGAGCCACCACACCAGCTCCAATAATTTTTCGTTAATTTTTAAAGGGTGGAAATGATAAAGTATGTTCTCTGACACAATGGAATGAAATTAGAAACAGAAAGAAACGAAAAATTAACAAATATGTGGAAATGAAATAATATGCTCTTAAGCAACCAGTGGGTCAAGGAAAAGCTCACAAAGGAAATTTAAAAATACTTTGTGGCTGGCTGTCTTGGCTCATGCCTATAATCCCAGCACTTTGGGAGACTGAGGCGGGTGGATTACCTGAGATCAAGACAAGCCTGGCCAACATGGTGAAACCCCATCTCTACTAAAAATACAAAACTCCGCCAGGTGTGGTGGCAGACACCTGCCTTGAGAGTGGCTTGAACCTGGGAGGCGGAGGCTGCAGTGAGCCGAGATCACGCCATTGCACTCCAGCCTGGGTGATACAGCAAGACTCTGTCTCAAAAAAAAAAAAAAAAAAAAAAAAATTAGCCAGGCGTGGTGGCAGGCACCTGTAATTCCAACTGCTTGGGAGGCTGAGGCAGGAGAATTGCTTGAACCCAGGAGGTACGGTTGGAGTGAGACGAGATCGCGTCGTTACATTCCAGCCTGGGTGACAAGAGAAAACTCCGTCTCAAAAAAAAAAAAAAAAAAAAAAAAAAATTTCTCAGAGGAAAATTTATAGTACTAAGCACCTACCCTAAGCAAGAAGGAAAAGCTGAAATCATGACTTTTGACCTTAAGAAATTAGAAAAAGAATGGCCGGGCGCGGTGGCTCAAGCCTGTAATCCCAGCACTTTGGGAGGCCGAGGCGGGTGGATCACGAGGTCAAGAGATCGAGACCATCCTGGTCAACATGGTGAAACCCCGTCTCTACTAAAAATACAAAACATTAGCTGGGCGTGGTGGTGCGTGCCTGTAATCCCAGCTACTCTGGAGGCTGAGGCAGGAGAATTGCCTGAACCCAGGAGGCGGAGGTTGCGGTGAGCCGAGATCGCGCCATTGCACTCCAGCCTGGGTAACGAGCGAAACTTCGTCTCAAAAAAAAAAAAAAAAAAAAAAGAAAGAAAGAAATTAGAAAAAGAAGAGAAAACTAAACCCAAAGCAGGCAGAAACGCGGAAATAATAAAAGACTAGAGTAGAAATGACAGGGATAGAAAAGAGGAGAGAAAACCGGTGGCGCCGGGAGATGCTTCATCGAAAAGATCAAGAAAATTGACAAAGCCTTAGACAGACTGCAAAAAACGGAGAGAAGAATCAAATTACCAAAATCAGGGGAAAAAGACTTTATATTGATGAAAACGAGACTAGGGAATACTGTATACACTAAACAAATTAGCTGGCCTAGAAGAAATGCACAAATTCCTAGAAAAACCAACCAGACTAAAGATAAAAAAATCTGGATGGACCTAATACAAATAAAGATTGCAGTAGTATTAGCAATAATAATAAAATTTCTCACAAAGAAAAACCCAGGTGACTTTACTGGTGAATTATTCCAAACAAAGAATTAACACTGATCCTTCACAGAGACTCCAAAAATAAAAGAGGAAGGAACGCATCCTCACATGTTGTGAGGCCAGCATTACCCTGACACCCGAACCAAAGACCTCCAAGAAAAGAAGGCCACAGACCGGTACTGCTTGTGAGCACAGACACAAAAATCCTCATCAAAATACTAGCAAACCAAATCCAGTATTTAAATGGTTCTGTACCATTGTCAAGTGGGATTTATCGTATGAAAGTTAATCAGCGCAATGCAGCACATTAACAGAACGAAGGGAAGAGAAGACACGAGCATCTCAGGGGCCACAGAAAAAGCAGACAACAAAATTCAACATGCTCCTATAATATTAACAAAAACATTTGGCAAATTAGGAATAGAAGGGCGCATCCTCAGTCGGACCAGGGCATTCACGGAAAACCCACAGCCTTCCTCCTCAGGTCGCAGAGGAGGGCGGCTGCTTCTGCTACTTCTATCAACATTGTTCTGGAAGCTCTAGCCGGCAGTACATAAGAAAAGAAACAACAGGCATATCGATTTGAAAGGAAGAGGTAAAGCTGGCTCTGTTCCCAGTTGGCATGATCCTTACATACAAGTCTTGAGTATGCACACACACCCACGCACACACATGCACACACACGCACACACATGCACACTCACACACACTCATGCACACACACATGTGCACACACACAGGCACGGACAGGCACACGCACGCACACATGCACACGCACGCACACACGCATGCACGCATGTGCACACACACAGAGCTCATAAGTGAATTTGGCAAAGTTGGAGGATACAAGACCAACACACAAAAATCAGCTTTATTTTTATATACTAGCAATGGACAATCCAAAAAGGCAATTAAAAAAATAATTCTATTCACAAGTATCAAAAAAATAAAGTATAGCTAGGAATAATATTTACTCTAGGTGACAGACTTGTACCTAAAACATCACTGAAAGAAACTGAAGACCTAGAAAAATGGAAAGACTCCCTATATTCATGGATTGGAAGACTAGATATTGTTGAGATGTCACTACTACCCAAAGTGACCTACAGATTCAATGTGATGCTTATTAAAATTCCAGTGAGGCTGGGCGCGGTGGCTCACTGGAATTTTAATAAGCATCACATTGAATCACTATAATCCCACAACTGTAACGAGAGGCTGAGGCGGGCAGATCACCTGAGGTCAGGAGTTTGCGACCAGCCTGGCCAACACTGTGAAACTCTGTCTCTACGAAAAATACAAAAATTAGCTGGGCATGGTGGTGCACGCCTGTAATCCCAGCTTCTCTGGCAGCTGAAGCAGGAAAATCACTTGAACCTGGAAGGTGAGGTTACAGTGAGCCGAGATCACACCACTGCACTCCAGCCTGGGAGACAGAGCGAGACTCTGTCTCAAAAAAAATTTTTTTTCAATGGATTTTTATTTATTTATTTGAGCCTCTGCCCCTCTGAAATGGAAAAGCCAATTCTGAAATTCATGTGGACTTGTAAGGCACCCCTGAAGAGCCAAAACAATCTTGAAAAAGAACAACATGGAAAGCCTCATACATCCCAATTTCAGGACTCACTACAGAGCTATGGCGATCAAAACCAGGTGGTACTGGCATAAAGGCAGACACACGCACTAACGGAACGTTTGTGTCCAAACGTTTGAGGTCCAAACGTGAACCCAGGCAGCTCGGGTCAATTGACTTTCGAGACTGTGCCAGGACCACTGCACTCCAGCCTGGGAGGCGGAGGGAGACTCCATCTCAAAAAGAAAAAAGAAAAGAGAATGATACATGGGCGACATGGATGAACCCTGAAAACACCACACTGAATGAAAGAAGCCCGGGAGACGGAAGCTCCATCCATGGTGGGAGGGACCTCGCAGGCAGACCTGGCTGTCCCGGACTGGACCGCGCAGTGTAGCTGCCTGGAGGCGAACCCCAGCTGGGCTTCTCGTCCCCTGGCCTTGGCTGGCTGCTGGGGACAGGGGCTACCAGCCAAGTGGGCGGGGACACTGGAAGAGCTTTGTTCCACGGGGTCAGGTCAGGCGCGTGCTTTAGAGCAGCCCCCATGCACTCCACCCAGCCACCCCCGACTGAGGAGTCTCAGCACCCTGGTGGGAGGCGCTGGAACGCACCGTGAGGGTGGTGAAGACCCAGTCCCTGGGGAGGCCCCGGGCCTTCCTGAAGGTGTCGTTGATGTGACTGTTGAGATGCTCCATGCTCCACACCGTGTCCTCCTTCAGCAGCATGTACAGGGGGTTCTTCTTCTGCATGAACTGGGGGCACAGGGTACCTGGACACCGGCTCCCGGAGTGTCCAGAGGGCCTGTCTTCACAGGGTCCCCAAGAGAGCGTCCCCCAACCCAGAGGGCCTGTCCTCACAGGGTCCCCCAGAGAGCGTCCCCCAACCCAGAGGGCCTGTCCTCATGGGGGTCCCCTGAGACGGCCTCCTCCTAACCCTGCTCCCCCGGCCCCTACCATAACCTGCCTGCAAAGACCCTCCCGCAAACCCCTTCATCTGCTGAGATGTCCCTCAGCCGTGAAGACCCCACAGATCCTCACATAAGGCGCATACCCTGGACTCTCCCATGAAGACCCTTCCCCAGAGACCTCTGCCCACAGGGCCTTCCTCTGACATCCGCTCAGGATCCCCTGGTTCCCACCCACCCACACCTCATCCTCAGCAAACTCAGCTGCCGCTTGGGAGCCAGGCTGCGGGTTGGGGGCTGCAGGGCTCTGAGCCCTTTCACCAGCTAAAGGGGTCACAGCCACACCCTTCTTCTGCCACGGCTGGAAGAGGGAGGTGAGAGGCAGTGCTGACTGCAGGTGGGGGCAGCCCAGGCCGCCTCCGTCTGCAGCCGCACCTGCTCTGCACCCCCTCTCGGTGAGAACCTTCCTCTAACTTCATCTCAAGGCTGCAGGGAGGGCCCTCACAGGTTGTGGTCTTACCTGGTTGGTCAGGTGGCCGCTGAGGTCGCTGGAACGGGGGTCGTAGGGGCTGAGGGTGAGGCGGGTGTAGCCGTGGCCGAAGAAGACCATGTAGGGCGTGGCACAGGCGATCAGCAGGTAGGAGCGAACGTCGAACTTCCTCCCATCCAGCAGCAGCGGGTTCTGGATGTACCTGGGGGCACCACATCAGGGCTGCTGGGCTGAGCCTCGGGGCGGCCTGGCCTGGGTTCTCTCAAACTCCATCCCTGGCCTGGGCCATTTCCTCAGCAACCTGCCTCTGCCCCAGGCGTGACCTCCAGGGAAACGGGGCATTTCTGGGCCTGAACATGTCAGGGGAGTTGGGAGGAAGGGCCTGGCACCCTGGTCCCTGCCCCAGAGCGTAACAGCAGTAGGAGACTGGAGGGCTGCCTGGAGGAGGAGGGCATGAAGTGGCTTTGGAGAGGACGGGAAAGCGTATGCCAGGCGGCTGGGGGGGCGGGGCGCTAGGCAGTTGGCAGGGTGCGCTAGGCACAGGAGCACTCCAGGGGGAGCTGGGCTGAGGGAGCCTGCCAGGTGGAGGGACCCCAGGGAGGACCCCATGGAAGCTGGGGGTGGCGGACGGCAGCTGTGGTCAGAGCGAGGCTCTACGGGCCAGGGGTGAGGTCGGCAGGTCTAGACCTTCAGCCTCGAGCAGCCACGGGGCTTTCTGGAGCAGGGAAGGAGCGGTCAGCTTGGCCACAGACCTGAAGGCTGCAGCTGGCTGGCCGGGCTGGGGAGCAGCGGGCCGGCAGCCAGGAGGCCAAGGCCAGGCCAACTGCAGGACAGGGGGGCAGGTCCCAGCTGAGGGTCAAACTGACCAGCCCCTCCACCCTGGATCCTGTGCCTGTGGCCCCGGCCTGATGCGGCCCCTCCCCTCTGTGGTCGGCACCGGGGCTGGGGTGCTGCAGCTTTCCGCGGCCGAGGGCTCCTCAGCGGCCCTGCTGACCGCACAGTGGGGCCCGGGTCAGCCCGCCCAGACCCCTCCCTCCGGGCATCTGCGCCGCACCGCTGGACCACCCGCGCCTGAGGCCCCCGGAGCGGCAGCTTGTAGACGGGGTCGTCCTGGATGCTCTGGGTCTTGGCCTGCAGGGCGGCGACTTCCTCCTGGCTCTGGAGTAGGAAGATGCCTTTGCCCTGGTTGGAGGCCGTGGGCTTGCAGATCCACATCTGGGTGTCTGCAGAGAGCGCGGCCTGAGCCCCGGCCCCGCCCGGCCCCGCCCGGCCCCGCCCACACCCACACCTGCCCCGCCCCGCCTGCCCCAACCACACAAGCCCCGTCCGCATGGCTCCGCCCACACCCACCCCCCGCCCACCCCGGCCCCGCCCACGCCAAAACCCAGCCCCACCTGGCCCCGCCCACGCCCAATCCCGCCCCTCCTGGCCTCGCCCACGCCCAACCTCGCCCTGCCTGGGCCCGCCCACATACAAGCACCGTCCTTGGCCCCGCCCCCCCGCTCACACCCAACCCCGCCCCGCCTGGGCCCGTCCACACCAACCCCGCCCCACTCCGCCCCGCCCACACCAACCCCGCCCCACCCCGCCCCGCCCACACCAACCCCGCCCACACCAACCCCACCCCACCCCGCCCCCCCACACCAACCCCGCCCCGCCCACACCCAACACTGCCCCACCTGGGCCCGCCCAGGGCCCGCCCACAGGCAAGCCCCGTCCCACCTGACCCCGCCCACACCCAGCCCCGCCCCACCCAAGCCCCGCCCCCGGCCCTACTCATTCTAAGGCCTGGCCAGGAACGTCCTCTCCCAGCTGCGGCTTCTGCCCGTCTCCTCCAACTTGGGCCCTGCGCTAACCACACGCCTAGCCGCAGCTCCTGTCCAGGCCTTGACTAAGCTCCAGCCCTTGCCCCGGTGCCCTCATATCCAACCTCCACGAAAGCCAGACCCTCCCCTTTCCAACTTCTCAGCCCTCACTCAGACCAGGCCCAGCCGTGACCCCTTCCTGACCACCGAGCCTCGTGCCAGCCCCACGCAGCCCTTCCAGGCCCAGCGCGTCCCTCACCAGGCTCCCGCCTTGGTCCAGCGCTGACCCTGTCTCCCACAGGGCCAGCCTGGTGTCCCGCCAGCAGCCCCTCACCGTCAAACAGGGTGAAGAAGGCTTCTCTCTCGTCCTTGACGTCCAGACGGTAGGTCTCTGGGAAAAATTCTTCCATTCTCAGGACCCTGCGGGGGTGGGGAGGTGGGAGGAGGTGCTGTCCCTTCATCCCGGGCTGCGTGCCAGGTTTAAGGCCTGGCCTGTGGCGGGAGGGAGCATGGCCGTGGCACCTGGAGCCCTCGGCCCTTCTCCTGGGGTGTGGAGTTTCCTGCTCCTTTGCAGGCCCCCACTCAGGCTGTGCTGCTGGCTGCAGCCTCTGGCTGCCGACCCCACCTGGCCCCTCTCTCATGGCCGCTTCTTTCCTGGTGGCTCTTCCGGCTGGCATCGTCTCAGCCGTGAGAGCCACCAGCTCCCGGCATGTCCTCGTGGCTGGGACCACACGCACGTGCACGGGGGTCTGCGTGGGTCTCTGCCTGACCAGGATGGAGCCCTGGTTCTAGCTCCTGATTTTCTCTTGCGTGGGACCCCCATCCTGCTTTCTCCTTTTCAGTCAACACTGGGTTTAGGCCTGAACTGTGGTCTGAAGGCCCCTACAGCGGGGCTGAGTGTCTACCTCTGTGGCCTAAGGTGTGCTGGGCTTGTCCACGGGAGGTCCTCCAGGGTGGCCACTGCTGCATCCTTTCCCAGCCTGCAGCCCAGGGGACAGAGGGCCTGGCTGAGGGGCTGCTCATGGTGCTTGGAGCGGGTGGGGACTGGGGGATGGGGCGTGGGTGGTGAGTGGGCGGACACATGAGTGTTGACGAAAGCAGGCGGCTGGGGGGACAGAGGTACCCGGAGGAAACAGCAGCATTGCTGTAGCTGGAAGTGGATGCTGGACATGGTGTAAGGCGGGCATCACAGGGGACCAGGGACAGGGCAGGGCCAGGGGCAGGGGTGGCAGGTGCAGACTCACCTGGCCTGGGGGCCGCCCGGCGTCTTGCTGGCCTTGCTTATGGCCCGCGCCCGCCCCCGGAGGGTGCTGAGCAGCCCGATCTTGGTGGTGAGGAGCTTACTGTTGGGAAGCTGGTACAACAGCTGCTGTCCTGGAGGGCAGAGGCCAGGGCGTGTGTGGAGGGCGTGCAGGGCCTCGGTCCCCACCCCTCCCACCTGCCCCGTGCTCCAGCCCAGGAGGCCCTGCCGGCTGCCTGCCCAGGCGCCCAGCGCCCCCGCCGCTACCTTCCCGGAAGCTGCTGTAGCTGCCCCGGCTCTGGACCTCGCACCACTTCAGCATGTAGTCCTCCCGGCCGCTGTCCTCAATGCGCTTCCAGCCCTTGCGTTTGCAGTAGGAGCTGATGCTGTGGGGTGGGGGGCAGAGGTGACGGGGGGGGGGCCCAGGCGAGGGGGCGGGGACTGCGGGCGGCCAGTGGAGGCCAGGCTGGGCCCCAGAAGCAGGCGGTGGGCGTTCAGCGGGACCACGGCCAGCCCGTACTCACATTGAGGCCCCGTTGTTGCCTCCAATGTAGAAGAAGGGCCCATGCTGGGTGCCGTGGGACGATGGCTTCCCCCCCGCCAGCAGGAGCCGCTCCAGGAGGGCAGCTGGGGGCCCGGCGGCCTCAGCATCATCCGGGTCTGCAGGTGGGCAGCTGGTAGGGAGCCCGGGGGTTGTGGGCGTGGCAGAGGCTCTTCCTGCCTCCTCCAGGTCTGGCCCACAGTGCCCGCCTGCATCTTGGTCTGGCTGGCCTGGCTGACTTGGGAGTCCCTCTTCCTGGCCACTCCCCATTGGCCTCTCATGGGCTGGGCCTGTGAATGGGTGGGGTCCCACAGGGGTGGCTACAGGAGCCGTCCACTGAGCCGGGACCCCTGCCAGCCAGTTCCATCCCAGCCTGTTCGTCACAAGCCTGGACAGTCTCCCCGGCCTGTCTGGGGCTCAAGTTCGGTCCAAGCTCCTACGCGGCTGGACAGCCTGGGGACTGCTCACAGCTGGGGAGGGGCCGCAGCCTTCCTGCCGGTAGGGTCCAGGTGGGGGCGTGGGGCTCGGAGCAGGGGCAGGGAGGGCCCCCACCCTCCTCACCAACAGGGCAGCGGCCTGGCGCAGGGCAGGGACTGGGCGGAGAGGCCTGTGCTGGGTGCGGACTTGGCACAGGGGGGCCGCAGGGGGGCCCCAGGAGGGCAGGGGTCACAATGGCCATGATGACGTCATGGGTGACCCGAGGGCCATCGCCAGGCAGGGGACAAGGGACGTTGCCCTTCTGGCTACAGGCAGGGGCAGTGCCACCCGTGGCTGCCCGTGGGGGTGGTACCAGCTGGGCGGAACCTGGGCCGTGGGGCGCGGCGTCTCCCCTCTGTGCCTGCAGGGCCAGTGTCCACAGCGGGCCCCTCTCGGAGCAGCGGGGCATGGCCGTGCGTGGGTCCTGGTCCCACCCTATGAGACTGACTTCCCTGGGGATGGGCCGCCTGTCCCAGGGCCTTGGAAAGAAGGCGGCCGCCCAGGGCTGCTCTGTTCACCTGAGACTCGAGCTGGGCGCTGTGGAACCCTTCGCTGCGTGCCCCTCTTGGAGCCGGCTCGGGTCCGAGTGGGCCGTTCCCGGTGCTGGATGAACCAGGCGTGGCTGCGGGCCACTAGCTGGCGGGCACCAGGGCAAGGGCCCTGCAGGGAAGATGCCGTTCCGACCCTCCTGTGGGACCTTCCATCTCCCCAAGGCCCCAGCGCTTGGATGGAGCAGGCAGTCCGGCCCACCCAGCGTGGGGAAGGGCGCTTCCTGGGGCTGTGGACTCGAGCCTCTGCGTGCGCTGGCCCCCGTCTCCGTGGCAGCTGTGGGGCCTGGCGCCGTGTGGGGGTGAGGCCCTCTCCGGGCCCTGTCTCTGCCAGGCGAGTCCTCCCTGGCCAGAGCTGCTCCTCAGGCGTGGCTGAGCTCGCTCTGGGTGCCAACTGGAAGGAGGGGCAGTGTCAGGCCTGTTGGGTGGGGCGCCTGCCCGGAGATGGAGGGTGGGAGGGCTCCCTGGCCTGAGCAAGAGTCTCCCCTATTTCCAGTGCTGACCCCAGAGCCCAGCTGTGGGCTGAGTGCAGCTGCCTGGTGCCTGCCGTCAGGGGTTTGCTGCGGCCGCCCCCGGGGCCCAGGCCGGACCCCCGGGACCCCGTCCCAGGCAGCACCTTCCCGTGTTGCATCTTAGGAACATCTCAGGAATTTGCAGCCACTTCCTTGACAGATCCTTCTGCCTCTGTCTCAAGCAAACAAACCTATCTTGGGGCTGCTTGGGAGGTAATGAGTTCCGTTTTGTTTTTGTTTTTGAGCGAGAATTTCACTCTTGTTGCCCAGGCTAGAGTGTAATGGCGCAATCTCAGCTCACTGCAACCTCCACTTCCCGGGTTCAAGTGATTCTCCTGCCTCAGCCTCCCAGGTAGCTGGGATTACAAGTGCCTGCCACCACGCCAGGCTAATTTTGTACTTTGAATAGAGATGGAGTTTCACTGGTCAGGCCAGTCGCGAACTCCCGACGTCAGGTGATCTGCCCACATTGGCCTCGCAAAGTGCTGGGATTACAGGCCTGAGCCACTGCGCCTGGCCTAGGTGAGGACTTTCAAGGGTTTGAAGGAACTCGGCCAGGAGACAGGAGAGGCCATGGAGGCTCAAGGCTGGGGAAGGCTGGGGGAGGCCCGAGGCTCAGGCTGGGAGCAGAGCGCTCCAAAGGCCACCCCTGCAGCGACCTGGCCTGCAGAGGCCTTTGTGTCTGCCCCTCCCTGCCCCGCCTAAGTGACAGGAGCGGAAGAGACAAGGAGGGAGCCCACATGCAGGGGAAGGTGGGGAAACTGAGGCAGCTGTCCACACGGTAATCTGGCTGAGTAGGGCCCATCCTGGGGGAGGAGCGGCACACAGGCTGGGCCCTGCGCCTTTGGCCAGGAGAGCCCGATGCCATCTCCCTAGGCTGGGCTGGGCAACAATGGAAGGAGTCAGGAGCCCCGAGAACTCTCGCCACCCGGAACAGGAGGACTTGTTGGAAGAGGCTGGACCTGTGCTGGCGTGGGGCGGGCGTGTGTCTGCGCGAGACTCTGCATTAAAGGGAGACCTCGGCACCCAGGGTCCTGCTGGGGACGGGGTCCCCTAAAGTACTTAAACAGGCCGCCAGGCTCAGCGTCATCAGAGGGGCTCCCAAGTGTGAGCAACAGAGTGACAGGTGCGTCTACACACACACGCATGCACAGACACACACCCACACACCTACTGACACACACAGACACGTCTACACACACATGCACACACAGACATGTACACACCTTACACAGACACGTCTACACACGCATGCACACACACAGATACCCACACACCTACTTACACACTACACACATGCACACAGAGCTACACACACCTTACAGACACGTCTACACACGCACGTACACACAGACACATCCACACACCTTCCACGCAGACACGTCTACACACGCATGTACACACAGACACACCCACACCTACTTCCACACACAGACACGTCTACACATGCATGCACACACCCACACACCTACTTAGACATGTCTACACACATGCACACACAGACACACCTACACACACACCTTACACACAGACATTTCTACACACGCACAGGCATGTCTACACACACGTGCACACACAGACATACCTACACACAAACCTTACACACTAGTCACAAGCATGTCTACACATGTATGCACAAACGCACAGACACACCTACACACACACCTAATTACACAGGCACGTCCACACATTGAACAGACACAAAGGGCAGACACACCCCTACCCACACCTATACCTACATACAGACATGTCTACACACGCATGCAGACACACAGACACACCTACACACCTTACACAAACAGACATCTACACACATGCACAGACACACCTACACACACACCTAGACACACGTCCACATACATGCACAGACACACAAACATGGCAGACACACCTATACACACCTATACCTACACACATCTACACACATGCACAGATACAAACACTACTTACACGTGTGTCTGCACATGCACACATGCACACACACATCACACACCACAGACATGTCTACACACACATGCACTGATAGACATGTCTACACATGCACACATGCACAGACGTCTAAACATGCACACATTCATGGACACATAGATACATCTACACACATGCAGACACATAGACATGTCTACACACACAGGCACTGACACACATGTCTACATATGCACACATGCAGACACGTAGACACACACATGCAGATGCAGACATGTCTACACATGTGCACCAACACAGACATGTCTACATGTGCGCACATGCAAAGACATACACGTCTACATGCATGCAGATACACACAGATACATCTACACACACATGCACCAACACACAGACACGTCTACACATGCGCACATGCACACACAGACACACACATCTACACACACATGCAGATACACAGACACATCACACATGCACACACAGACATGTCTACACGTGCACACATGCAGAGACAGACATGTCTACACACATGCAGATACAGACACAGACACATCTACACACACATACACCAACACACAGACACGTCTACACACACATGCACAGACACAGACACGTCTACACACGCACACATGCAGACATACAGACACGTCTACACACACATGCACACACAGACATGTCTACACATGCACACATGCACTGACATGTCTACACGTGCACACATGCAGAGACATACAGACACAGATACGTCCACACACATGCAGATACACAGACACAGACATGTCTACACAAACATGCAGAGACATAGACACATCTACACACATGCAGATAGAGACATGTTTACACACATGCACTGACACACATCTGTACACACATGCACACAGACACACCTACGCACACACAGACACGTCTACACACATGCACAGACATTCAGACACATCTGCACATGCACAGACACACTCCTACACAGAGCCACGCAGACACAGACACACACAGACACATCTACACATGCACACACACCAACACACACACAGACATGCCTACACAGGCACAGACACCCCCACACACGCACAGAGGAAGAGGAAATGGGAAGTGCTCGGGTGGCAGACAGCACCCCCAGAGAGCCTAGTGCTTTTAGCAAAGGAATAGAGAATACGGGAGGGGCGGCGGGGGTGAAAACATCAACACTGGGGTTGGGATTTCAGTCAAGGAAACTGCCCAGAAAGGGGGGGCAGGGGGTGGGGCTGTGAGTGTGAAGCTGAGGGACGCAGCAGGGTCACCGTGCAGCCCAGGCAAGGGGGAGGCCCCGGACACGCACGGAGCCGGAGGAAGGAATCCCAGTCCTGGCCTCGCCCTGGGTGCCCACCAAGCCCACCGGCAGCCCCCCAGCCTTCCTGGGGACACAGGAGGCTCCCAGCCCAGAATTCCAGGAATTCCGTATCTGGCCTAGCAGGTGTGGAGGTGGGAAAGGGCAGGGGAGACGTCCCTCAGGGAAGTCTGGAAGACCCTCGCAGGAAAGGGGAGTCCGGGAAAAGAGGCCTCAGCTGTGGCCTTGGCTCAGCCGCGGCGGGCAGCAGCCTCTCGGGGTTGCTGTGAAGACGGAGTTTCCACACGTGACTCACATCAGGACAGCACCCGTCACACACCGAGTGGGCCGCAGGGCTGTGTGATGACGTTGTCGGGGGGAAGGGGGAGCAGAGAGCTCAGGGGCAGCTCAGGACCGGCGGGAAAACCAGCCTGCATGAAAAGCAACGTGATCACCAACTCAGGAAGACGGGAGGGTGCCAGTGTCCCAGGGAGACGGGACAGCCGCGCCCCAAACATCACTCCCCCCGGGAGACGGGACAGCGTCACCCCAAACGTCACTCCCCCCGGGAGGTGGGACAGCCGCGCCCCAAACGTCACTCGTGCCGGGATGACATGAACAGGGCAGCGTGTGGGGACAAGCCCCTTTCACAGGCCAGACCACGGAGAACTTCTGCGTTGGAAGCTCCAGAAGCAGCCACGTCAGGCGCTGTTTGGAAGCAGCAAGGCGGTCAGAAAACAGATCGAGGCGTCAGGCTTCGGTGGAGATCAGCACCCCACCCAGGAGGTGGCCTCTGCCTGGTGGCTGCAGAAGGAATGGCTGGTGGGGCGGCCGGGTGCTGGTTCATCGTGACCCCAAGGCCTTGTTGTGGCATTTTTTTTTTTGAGACCAAGTTTCCGCTGTCCCCCAGGCTGCAGTGCGGTGGCGCGATCTCGGCTCGCCGCAGCCTCCGCCTCCCAGGTTCAAGCGATTCTCCTGCCTCAGCCTCCCGAGTAGCTGGAATTACAGGCGTGGGCCACCGTGCCCAGCTAATCTTTTGTATTTCTTAGTAGAGACGGGGTTTCACCATATTGATCAGGGTGGTATTGAACTCCTGACCTCGTGATCCACCTACCTTGGCCTCCCAAACTGCTGGGATTACAGGCGTGAGCCATCGCTCCTGGCCTGAAATGAAAGGGTTCTTAGGCAGCTGTCCGTGCTGCGTGGCTACCAGGGAGCCTGAACACAGACGGGTTGAGGCCTCCCGAGCTGCGGGCTGCGCACGGCCGTCCATCTTGCACGTGCCCATTGGAGGCTCTGAGGGACGCGATCCCAAATCCAGAAAGCGCGCGCCTCACTCCGAGATGCTGAGTGCCGGGGGCTTGGGGTGCTGGGGAGCCCTTCAGCCAGATGCTGTGTAAAGGCTGCGTGCAGACCCAGGGCAGCGGGGCCAGCAGAAGGCTCAGGACCTTGGCTCATTGTAAAATAAACTCTCTACCTGGTGAGGAAGAGGCTGGCAGGAGACGGTACCAGGGCAGGATTTAAACCTGAGGAGATCGTCCCACAGTGCCCACACGTGAGTGTGGCATCCTGCGAGTGTCCCCCCCACCCCCAGTCCAGGCTCGGCCACTCGGGGCCTCAGAAGGTGTTGACGTTGCTGGAAGAGCTGGTGCCTCCCGGCCAGAGGCTGCTGCTGTGGACGGAGGCCCTGTGGTCTCCAGCGGCCGTCTGTCCACGGTCCGGGCCATGGAATTCACCCCAGGACTGCCCAGCCCTCCCACCAGTGCAGCACACACACCCTTCCCCTGCTTTGTGTGGGCCTGAGCTGCTCGCACAGTGGCACAGGGGCCAGGACCCCAGTGTGGTCTCCACAGAGCAGGCTCAGCCTGGCCCCACCCCACCCACTCCCTGTCCAGTCCCCTCCCCCAACGCCTCCTCTCCTGGGCAGCGTCCTGAGGGGACCCGCAGGGAGGGCATGGGGGGCGGGGCTGAGCCCACTGGCCGCTGGCCGCCGACGCCTCTCACCTGCGCAGCCCGCCAGATCCCTGGAGCCTGGACAGGGAAGCAACAGTGTGACCTGGCAACCGTCTCCCAGCAACCACCGCCACCGGCCCCAGAGGATGGCAGGGGCTGGGGACCGCGGCTGGAGAAGGGGCTCCCCAGTCATTCCTGGGCTGAGCCCGGTGGCTGCCCCTCCACCCGGCCCTCCGGGGGTGGTCTCTGAGCAGTCTCCCGGGCCCCACCCATGCTCAGCACCCCAGGGCCTGGCGGGGGCTGCCCCGGGTGATGTTTGCAGAATAAACCGCTGTGGATCTCGGAGCATTCTCTGTTCTCCATGTGGTCACGTCCCCGTTCCCACTCCACAGACAGTATGCGGGCTCAGCAGGGCCAGTGCCCCACGGAATGGGGTGGGGGCTACTCACATCTCTCAGGCCAAACTGTAAGCCCCTTACCATCTCACCATGTTGCAGATCTTGGCCAAAGTGAAACATTTTGAGGGGGTCTGGGCCGTGAGAAACAGCCTGCCCAGCACCTGACGTCGTCATACTGGCTGGGAAAGTGTCCAAGGATCGCACCGTGACCTTCTGTGGGAACAAGGGCCAAACACATGGCCTCTTCATGAAGCTGTCCCGCCCAGACCCCTCCGGCCCACACCTGTGGGTGCCCGGGACCCCTCCGGCCCGCACCTGTCAGTGCTGGAGCCCGCAGGCCCTGGTGGCTCTGGTGTGAAGCTGGCCCCGCCCCCCCAGGTGTCTGCCTTGCACCCGTCTGCGGCAGGGCCACCCTTTCTCTCTCTGTGTCTGTGTTTAACCCTCACCTTCTCTTTGAAACCCCCAACGATAGCGTCTGGGAGTCCTGGGCTTCTGGCAGGGCCCCTTGTACGGTCTGATCCCGTCTGCCTCAAACCCCGAGCCTCCAGCCATGTGTCCCCTCCCTACCTGTGTCCTTAGGAGCCATGCATGTGCCACAGGGGTCCCCTTGCAGGGGGCTGGGGGCGCCCCCAAAGACAACCACATCCTGGCCCCGAAACCTCGCATGTGGCCTTGTGAGCAGGGTCTTTGTAGGCGGGCTTACGTCAGGACCTCAGGTGCGATCCCCCAGGGTTGGGGGGCAGGCCCTAAATACCAGCGCCCTCTGGAGAGGGAGGCAGAGGTGGGACGGGTGGGGGCGGGGGGCGGCAGACATGGTGAGGGGGGCAGAGACGGGCCTGAGCTGGCAGCAGGAAGGGTGTGGCCTGCCTGCCCCCGGCTGCCTGCAGGAGTTTTCAGTGGCTGGGAGGAGGAGGCGCCAAATCCTGGCTGGCTCCTCCCTCCAGCTCCAGGAGCCTGAGCTCGGGGCCTTGGCTGGGGAAGAAGGGGCCTCACCTGTCTCTGGGGAGTCCCTGGAAGGAAGAGGGAGCTCTTGGAGGTGGGACGGCGCGGGGTGAATCCTACCCCTCTCCCTGGTTCTGTCCAGCAGGGAACAGTGTCCTCGCCCCCCCCCCCCACCCCCACCTGGTGCCTGGTGCTCAAGCTTTGGGATGGTCCTTCCAGGCCCTGGTTCGGAACAGGCCCCGGAGGCCCCTCTGCCCTCTGGGAGCCTCAGATCAGGCTGCAGGTGGAGTGGGGTGGGTCCCGGACGGAGTGGCTGGGCCTTCGGGGCTCGGGGGCTGCCTGGGGGGGTGTGGGCGGTGGGGGCCTCGGATGGATCTGGGGGTTCTCCAGGCTGGGAGCAGTGGGTCCAGGTTCAGAAGCTCTGGCTGTGGGAAGGGGCCTACATTGTCCCCGCCTCCCCGAGGCCCAGGCAGGTGGCCTGGCGGGAGCTGCAGCGGTGGATGGGAAGGACTCGCCCAGCTCTACTCCAGGGCTGACCCTTTGGGGAACAGAGCTGGGCAGGAGGGGAAGCCCCATCTGGTCTTCGCACCCAGCCTTTGGAGGATGTGATCTGGACGCTCGCCTCCAGGACAGGTTTCCAGGTGTGGGGGGGAGTGGGGGCTCGGCGAGCGTGTCCCCCAACCCGTGGCTTCCGTTCCCCGAGGCCCCCTCCTCACGCCCCCCCTCCCTGCGGCCCACCCTCCCTGGTGCCCAGGCCAGGCCTAAGGATTCCCCACTGCCAACAGGCTCTCGGAAGCCCCCAGGCCTTGGGCTGTGGGTATGTCCAGGTGGGTGCAGCCCCCAGGGCCAGGCAGAGTAGGCGAGGCCGGGCACCTTGGGCAGTAGGTAGGGTCTCCAGGCAGCCCTCATCGGAGGTGGTCCCTTTACCACCAACCCATGACTGTCACCTGGGCGGGTGGTGCCGCCGTGGGTGGCTGGACCAGGCCTCACTGGCCCTGTTCCTGCTGGTCTGTACCATCCGCTCTTGGTGTCACCTGCTCAGAGGCCCCCAGGGCCACCGGCTGCCCCTCTGTGAGGTCCTTTAGCACAGGCTGAGATGACTCCGCTCAGGGGTTCTCCTTTCCCAGGGCTTAGACCCGAGCTGGCCACCGGAGGGAAGATTCCAGAGCAAATGAAGGACAGAGGGAGGGAGGGAGGGAGGGAGGGAGGGAGGGAGAGAAGGAGGGGAGAGGGAGGGAGGAGGGAGAAGAAGGGGGGGAAGGGAGGGAGGGAGAGAGGGCCAGGGGAGGGAGGGGAAGGGGGAGGGAGGGGGAGGGGAAACAGGAGGCGGGAGGGAAAGAGGAGGGAAGGGAGGTAGGGAGCCTCTTCCAGGAGCCTCGAGGCCCCCAGGGCCGGCTGCAGTGTGTGTGTGGCTTTGTCCTCAGCTGGGCCCTTTGTGCGCCTGAGGGTCAGTGCTTGTGTGGTTCAAATAAAGACCTGGTCCAAGCAGGGGTGCGCCAGCCGCAGGGTTTATTTCTATGTAAACGCCTTTTCCGTTTTGTTCTCAGTGCTTACGGTGGGAGCACAAGTGAAGGGGAGGAGGAGGACTCTGCAAGGAGCACCCAGCCTGGCTCCTCAGCCCCAGCAGCATCCATCCCCCCACCTTCCGGGAGCAGAGTGACCCCTGAGCGGTGTGGGGCGCGTCGGTATCTGAGGGGTGCTCGGACGGGAGTGCTGCGGTGGGCCAGGTCCCCGGGCTCTGAGCAGTGGGGCGGGCTCCGGCTCACGGGGTGGCCCAGCCAGGCCTGAGCGCTCCTCCGGAGCTTGTGTTACGTCAACCTTGCCGTTCAGGGCTCACTCTCGGGGTCTGGTGAGGTGGACGCCACATTCTGGGGGTGTCACTCCAAGTTCTCACCGACACGAGTCGCTCAGGCGGCCGCGGCGTGTGGGTGGGTTCGGGAGGGAAGGGGGTCAGGGGACGGCCCCGGGGTGGGGCTCAGCCTGCAGGGCCCAGCTTGGGCCCAGCTCCAAGGGACACCTCAGGAGCCACCTGGGGTTGGGGGAGCCAGCCCCCAGTGCAGGGCTATGCGGTCCAAGCACCTCCTTCCCTGCCACGTGGCCTCGACTCTGCCCCAGAGACTGGCCCTGGAGGGAGAGTGTGGTTCGAACTCCACGGCTGGTCGCTGCCCGACGAGGCTCAGGGACGCCCAGGAGCCTCTGGGGTCTCTGGGTCCCGCTGCCGGGGGCTGAGGGGCTGTGACGTTGGCCCTGGGCTCGGGCGCTCTGGCGGACCCAGCTGCTTCTATCTTGGCCTCCCCAGGTGGGGAGGGGGCTGAGGGCTGTGGGGTGGGCCTCGGGGTGTCCCTGACTGTGGCCCCGGGGCTGGGCTGAAAGCCTGGGTCTGCAGTCTCTGCCCAGGACTACGGCTTGAGGGCCCTGGAGGCCTGGTGGGGACAGACCATGGCGAGCGGGGGTCCGAGAGCCCCAGCCCCACGGCTTCACGCTGATGGGCCCCCGGCAGGCAGCTCCCTCCTCCAGCAGCAATCAGGCCACGGATGGACGGTTTTACCAGACAGTATTAGACAGAGGGCAGGTCTAACTGTGTCTGGTAAGACGCTCATCCCCTGGCGGTGGTGTGGGCGGCCTCCGGGTCCTGGGCTGGTATCTGCGGGGTCTGTGGAGGGAAGGCCCGGAGGTGCCCCCCCAACTGCCGCGGCTGCCCTGATCCCTCCTGGATCTGCGGAAGGGGCCCCCAAGCTGCTTCCCTGACAGCCTCATCCTGGCACCTGGCCCCAGCCTGGCCGCGAGGGATGCGGAGAGCCATCTGGTCACCCTGGCCCTGCTCTTGGCAAAGGCTCCCACACCCCCTTGCTGGCTCCCTGACACTCCATCAGGTTAATGAGTAATGGAGAGACCAGGGCAACCGCCCCCTCTGCAGGCTGGGGCCTAGCGTGGGGTGTGGTTCCAGGCGCCCTGGCTGCAGATGAAAAGGATTAAACAGTGGGTGATCCTGGCTTCCTGGGTTTCGGACAAAGTTCCCATTCTTGTTGATGGGAGAAGGAATGAGACCCCTCACCCTGCACAGGTCACGGCACCAGCGTCCTGCTGCCCTGCAGCGTTGGTCTTGAGAATCTGAGCCCACCCTGTCCGTCCTGCGCCCCCGCAGACCCTCCACGGAGCTGGAGCCGGGGCCCAGACTTCGGGAAGGAGGGAGGCCCCTGTCCCTCTCACCTCTCCAGCCCTGGCGTTCCCTGTCCTAGGGCCTTTCCTGGAGCTGGGTCACCCCAAAGCCCAGCCTGGGGGATCCTGGGGTGGGAGAGGCTCAGCTGCTCACGGTGTCAGACCCAGCCTGGGCATGAGTGACCAGCCCTCCCCTGGGTGCGGGGCTTCGGAGCTGACACGGGCCCTCCACTGCCCGGCTCGGCCGCCCCCACATCTCTGGCAAGGGAGCTCTGGCGTGCACGTGCATCGGTGGGGTTCCGGGCGAGCGGTGGGTCACCTTTGAACATCGTTACCAGACAGTGTTAGAGTCGAGCCGGGAAATCCAGCACTGTCCGGTAAGATGCCCACAGGGGCCCCAGAGGCCGGCAGGAGCCGCTGCGGAGTCCAGGGAAGCCCCCGCCGGGGAGCAGCCAGGGCTGGGCTGGTACCGGACAGCGGCTGGTGAAGCGTGCTCGGGGGCCCTGAGACTCCGAGGCTGCACGGGCCCACCCTCCCCATTTCCTCCAGGGGACTTGGGGCCACTGACCAAGGACCAAGGCGTGGAGCTGGCCTGCTCGGCGTGGCCCACCCCGTCCGTGGGAGGAAAGGTGGCTGCGACTGGGCTGGCGGCTCTCGCTGGGTGGGCGGCTCCACGTGACTCCAGGCTGGGCCTTGCCCTCCCGAGCCCTTTGTTGAGCCCCGCCCAGCCCGCACCTGCTGGGTGTGGCGGCAGCACCTGCCCGGCACTGTGGGCAGGGTCCAGACACCTGAGTGTCCTAATCCCCGGATGGCTGCAGGGCACCCTGGGTGCAGCTGCGGGAAGCTTTGCTTTCTGGGGGCTCGGAGAATCGGGCGGGGGGGCAGACCCCTTCCCAAGGTCACTCCCCCATCACTCTCCCCAGAGCCATCTGGGCTGGTTGGGGTTGGGTCCGCTGAGCGGGCTGTAGGGAGGGGAGTGTGGACTGGGTGAGGCCCTAGGGCCCGGAGGGTTGCCGGTCGCCGCAGGCAGGCCCCCGCCGTCATCATTACCAGGCAGTATTAGAGACCTGACTCCATCCAATGCTGCCCAGTAAGATGGCCACGGCTGCCCGAGCTGTGTCTGGGGGCCGCCCGGCTGGGGGCTGCGTGGAACTCACTGGGGGGGCTCAGTAGCTGGGGGGCCTCATCCTCCTCAGGCACTCAGGAGGGCAGGGGCCAGGGGGAGCGTCCCGTGCACCGCAGCCTCAGCTACTCTGGGGGCTTGGCCAGGAAGACAGGGCGCGCAGGGTGAGCCCCCACCCGGAGTCCAGCAGCCACCAGCTTTGGGGCCAGGGGTGGGTGCCTGGGGGCTGAGGATCAGTTCAGAGTGGGGCGGTCACAGGCCTCTGCTGGCCCCATCTACGGGGGACCCTCCCTCGGGTGGTCCCACAGGAAGGCTTGGACAGCAGCCCCAGCCCCCAGGGCCCTTCGTGCTGCCTGCCTGAGGTGGGGGACAAGGGCCTCCATCTCCAGCAGGTGCTTCCCCGCTCAGCCCCTTCCTTTCTCCAGGCCCCGAGGCTGTCAGCCTCTCGAGACAGGATGGCCTGTCCCACCTGGAGACCCCTCTCCCATGCTGCCCCACTCACTGCACAGCATCTGAGGGCAGGGGGTATAGACGGGGTGCAGGGGGGGTGCAGGTGAGGGTGCAGACGAGTACGGGGGAGAGTACAGGCAAGGGTGCAGGAGGTGCAGGGGCACAGGGGGGTGCAGGGGCACGGGGGGGCGCAGGGGGCGCAGGGGGTACAAGGGGGTGGGACGCAGGGGGCACAGGGGAGCAGGGGCGCAGGGGGTACAGGGGCACAGGGGGGTGCAGGGGGCACAGGGGGTTCAGGGGGCGCAGGGGGCACAGGGGCACAGGGGGGTGGGGCACAGGGGGAGCAGGGGGCACAGGACCACAGGGGGCGCAGGGGTGCAGGGCGGTGCAGGGGGTGCAGTGGGGTGCAGATGGAGGAGCAGATGGGGCTGCAGGTGGGGTGCAGGGGGTGCAGGGCGGGTGCAGGGGGTTTGCAGATGGGGTGTAGACAGGGTACTGGTGGGGGTCCGGGGTTGCCGGTGGCGGGGGTGGGGGGCGCAGGCGTGGGGACAGAGGATGGGGAGGCTCCTGGCTGTGTCTGGCCGGCTCTGTGGTTTGTGTGTCTGCTGGTCTGGGGTCTGACCTAGGGGTGCAGAGGGAGACTGGCCGAAGACACAGACACAGATACAGGTAGCCAGGCCCTGGGTGCTGGGGGACCGGGCCGCCTCTGCAGCGGGGGAGGGGGCAGGCAGCCCTGTGGCCCCTCTTCACTCAGGCCCTGCCTGGAGCCCAGAGACCGCAGGTGCCTATTCCAGGAACACGAAGGGCCTGAGGGAGGTTCAGCCCTCAGGCCAGACCCCCTGCCCTCCTTCCCACCCCTTCTCTGCCCCCACCCAGGCGATGACTGGGCCGGAGAGCTGGCCAGAGCTGCTCTTCAAGTTTTCTGGCACCTTCCACCCACAGAGGCTGTGGTGGGGGGGTGCAGGTCCTGGGCCGATGCCCGTCTGCACGCCGACCACAACAAAGGCCAAGTCCGCCCACTCCCACCTGCTGCCGGGTCCACAGGTCCCCAGACTCTTCCTCCAAAGGCGTCTCCCAGGACCTGAGCCCGTGGAGCCCCAGCGGGTGGAGATGGATGGGCCTTGCTCACACCAGACCCTCTCTGGAGACCCCACAGCAGGCCCCCTGCCCTGGCGCAGCCTGTCGGCCTTCCCTCACCTCACGGGCCACTGCCACCGATCCCATAAAATCAGTGCTTCAGGAACACCACTGGGAAACTAAGACTTCCCGTGCAGAGCAGAGTTGAATTTCAGCTCCGTTCCTGGGGAGGGTGGCAGGGACCCGGCGCTTGTCCCTTGCAGCTGGTCCAAACACGGTCCCCAGCCCACCGGGAAGACGGCGGGCCTCCCAAGGCTGTGTCCCCAGCCCCCTCAGGGATGCCTCAGGGCCAGAGCTGGCTTGGCCACCCCAGGCTTCTCAGCCATCGCCGTCTCACCCGGACCCAGGGACAGAGCCACGGGGCAGGCGGGTGGGAGGGTCCCCAGGCTCCTCCGGAGGCAGAAGCTGTAAAGCCAGCCAGCAGCTGGGTGACGGAGAGGCCCACCCTGGCTCCAGGGCTGGGGTGGAGGCAGGTGCCTGTCCCGAAGGCTGGCCTGGGGGACCCGGGGCTTTGCAGGGCTGTGCCCGGCAGGGTTGAGGGGTGAGGGGTGAGGCGTCCACAGCCGAGTCTTACCGTGGCCACAGGTCAAGAAGTGAAAAGTGAAAACGGCTCTCCCCGTTTCCCAAGGGCCCCACATGGCACTTTCTTGGTCGACTGTCGCCAGGAAGTGAAGCCAGCGTCAGGCGGTTGAGGTGTCGGGTTAATCATCACCGCGGGCCAGACCCAGCTCGGGAAAATCGGGGAATGAGTCAGGAGGCCCAGGGCCGCCCACCGAGGGGCTCTGCAGAGCACTCACCTGCCCGCCCGCCTGGCCGGGTCCCACCTGCTCAGCCGGGGTGGGGTGGGGTGGGGTGGGAGCCCGGCGAGGAATGCGAACTCTTGGTTAACCTGCCCAACGGGCTTAATCAATGGCGAGGCCTCAAGAACAAAGCCTGAAACCCAACCCTCCCCAGCCTGGGCGCAGCGAGCCGAGCCGGAGCCAGCGGCCGAGGGGCGGGGGCGCGGGGCGCAGCCTCCCAACCTCAGGCTCGTCCCTCCGCGTCCTGGAGCTCTGTCTGTGAGGCAGGGCGGCCATTTCACCCACACGGCCACGGCGACCCGCCCCACGGGAGAAGCCAGGCTCCTCGAGGGGTGTGCAGCCTCCTGGGCCGCCTCCTCTTCCCCTAAAACACTAAAACTGTTCTCACAAACTCCTGTGGCGAATAAGAATTTGCAAATTACCAAAATGTCTGCAAAGGAGCCGTGACCTGCATCCACCTTTCATGGTGGATTTGCGTCGTCACAAATGCATGTGCTGCTCATGCTTTTAAACACGTCGTCTGGTTACTAGAAAAACACAACACAACACCCCTTTCCCCAGACACTCGGCCTAAACACGGCCTAAGAGCTCACAGGGATTAATTAAAGCGGCTCCTCAGGCCCGAAACACTTTGTCCATCGAGAGCAATGAACTGCCCCTCCCGTCACCACCACCAATCAGTTCCCAAATGTTAAGACTCAGAAGCCAGCGAGGGGCTGTCAAACCCCTTCTGGTGCCCCGAGGCAAGTTCAAGGCTGGGCCTCGGTAGCTCAGACCTCACTCACGGCCACGGCCACTGCTACTGCGCCCCCACCCCAGCCACAGCGTGGGCGCCGCCTGCACCTCCTCCCGGCTGAGCCGGGCCTGGACCAGACCAGCCCCAGCCCCGGCCCCGGCACCCACCTCGCTGCCTGCAGGCGCTGACCAAGCCCTTCCCACCACAGACTCCAGAGCTCAGGGAGACGTGGGCACCCTCAGGCCCAGCCCGACCCTTCCCTGCACCCACCTCTGTGGCAACAGCGTCCCTGCTCCGAATGCAGCGCCTCGGGCCGGCGCTGGCTGTTTCTGGAGAAAACTTTCTGGAAGGCCTGTTGTCAGGTAGGTGGTGAGAACGCGTGACCCCCCTCAAAGCCTGCCCTCTGCCTAGGCCCTGCCCCGGGCTGACGGCCCGAGGACGCCCCACGCTCCGAGCTCACACGCCACGCCCAGGAGATGCAGCCTGTGGGCCCAAGATGGCTCCGAATCGGAAACCCAGCCGCGACCGAGCAGGGGCCCACCTTTCCCGGGAGGGGAAGGACCCGCTGGGCCTGTGTCTGCGGTGACCGGAGCTCCCTGGACGCTAGTAAGGCTGGCCACTGCCCGTCTGTCACCTGCACCCTTGCCCCGAGTCAGCCACGGAGGGGCCGGGCCAGGCCTCCCCTGCAGGGAGCAGCCTCCGGGAGCCGGGCCACCACCCGCCCTTACCTGCCCCGACAGGTTCTGCCGCTGAGGACGCTCCCGCCCAGCCCTGCAGCCCGCGCCTCCCCCGACGCCCGGGTGGGTGTGAACCGGCTTCGGAAGGGATGAGAGACCCAAGTCCCCGTCCGTCCCCATCGAAGGAGCCGGGCGCGGCCTCAGCGTGTCACCAGCCAGGGTCCAGACTTGGGGTGTCGGGGTTGGGGGGAGACCTGGCGGCCACCCGGCAAAGATGAGTTTCCTACCTCCCCTTCAGGGAAAAGCCGGTTTGGACCTGCACAGGTGGACAACTCGCCCGTCTCGGGGAGAGTGTGGAGGGCGAGGGGACACTGGAGGCGGCTGCGAGGTGGGGGCCTCGAGAGGGGAGAGCCGCCTCCCGCGCGCCTTACAAGGAGCCGCGCTCCCCGCCCCGCACAGGTGCGGGCTCCCGCCGGCCAATCTGCGCTCCTGGCTCCCGACAGGTGTGTCCCCTGGGCGCCCATAGGCCGGGCAGAGGTGGGCGGTGACACAGGCCCAGGCCCCTGTACACTCCTCCCCGCCCCCACTGTGCCACCAGCCCACCGAGGTTGAACCAAAGCCGGTGGGAAGGCTTCAGCGGGGCCTGCGTGGAGCGAGGGCGGCGGGGGCAGCCACGGGGGACTCTGGCCTCTCCCCCACCATCTCCCCCGTCACAGTCACAGGACTCCTTCCCAGGCTGCTCAGAAAGGGGCGAGGTGGCCCAGAGTGAGGCTCACAGCCTGCCCGTCCCCTCCCTGGGGCACGGTGCCATCCGGTGGGGCTGAGGCCTATTGTAGACGGAGGACAGGAGACACACCTGGCCCTAGTTTTGGAACAATGCGGGGACCCCTGCAGGCCCAGGTGGCTCTGAGGGTCCGTCTCCTCTCCAGGGGCTGGGGGGAGCGACATGCCCCCAGCCCCACCCCAGTGGACAGGACGCCCTGGGATCCCACAGACCACAGTGGGGGAGTGAGGCAGGCACGTGGGTGCCTTCCTGAGTCTCCCTGCGAGGCGGGGACGGCGGAGGCCACAGCAGCCCCTGGAACATCCATTCGGGCTCTGGAAGTCACTTTGGAACCCCTAGACTGGGGGTGCAGGTTTTCTTGTTGGGAGCTCGGGAGGTCTGGGGACCAGGGGCTGGGGGTGGGGAGGGCAGGGCCCCAGCCCCATCTGGGAAGCGACTCCCACGAGAAGTGCTTGCTTCTTGCTGCTCCCAGCGGAAGGGCCTGTAACGAGCCCAGCCCTGCAGAGTGGTCCCTGCAGACCCCGCCATTTTCCATAACCAGCTCTGGCGGCTCAGCCGGTCCCCGGGGCTCCTGGCACTCTTCTCCCTCCGCCGGGGGTCGAGGCCTGGGGAGGTCCCGGCGACTGCCCTGTCTTTACAACAGGTGAGGCCAGGGCTGGGCTGGCTGGAGGCTCACTCTGGCGCTGGCCTCTGCCCCGGCATGGGGCCTGAGTCACTGCCCACCCTGGCCCGGGGCAGGGCTCCTGGAAGCTGGTCCTGGGGCCACCGCTGGCCTCTGACCCACTGTCCTCTCCCCAACAGGCCCCTCCCCCAACAGGGCCCCGCCCGCTCTGATGCCCACTCAAGTGTCTGTGCGGGTGAGGTGGGGTGGGGCGGGACACACCTGCCCGGTGGGCCCTTGTCTTCCGGGGAGACTGAGGCATTGAGTGAGAGAAGGCCCAAGCCCCGTCTTGGGCTCTCACCCTGACACCGCACTCACTGGTCCCCCAGCGTGGCTCTCGGGCCCGGCACGGCAGGACCTGCCTGGAGCTGGTCGGCTGTCAGGACACGTGTGGTCTGGTCCACGCTGCTCATGCACACGCCTCTGCTTCGTCCAGGTCCCGGAGCGGTTCTTCCTGGGTCCCTGCTGGTCTGCAGGAGGCTGGAGGCAGCTCTGACTGAGGGAGAGAGAGCGTGCAGGTGAGGCCGTGCCCAGGGACGCTTCACAGAGCCGTGGCTCCCTCCACGGCCTGCCACCTCGGACGCAGACTGAGGCCCCATGGATGACGGTGGCCCCTGAGTGCCTGCGGCTGGATTAAGCCCAGGGTGAGCAGGAAGCAGCCCTCCACTGACCTCCAGGAGCAGAGGGCTCAGCACCTCCCCCCCCCCTCCCTCCTCCCGGTACGACCCACCGTCCCTGAGTGTGGTCCTGACCCGCCCTCTCCATCCTGCAGTGACGTCTGCCCTCCGACCTCAAAGGTTAAACCACCCAGGGCTCACCCCTGTCATCCCAGCGCTTCAGGAGGTGGCGTCCGAAGGTTCACTGGAGCCCAGGAGTTCAAGACCGGCCTGGGCAACATGGTGAGACCCCGTCTCTACAAAAAATGTAAAAATTAGCCGGCTGTGATGGTGCAGGCCTGTGGGCCCCCTGTGGGAGGACTGCTTGAGCCTGGGAGGCGGAGGCCACCGTGAACCGAGATCTCACCGCCACACTCCAGCCTGGGCGACAGTCAGACCCTGTTTCAAAAGAGAAAACACGAAGGTAAAAGGCCTGAGTTTTCTGCGGGAGGTTAGTAAGCGTCTCTGCCTGGAACCGGTGAAACAGCGAGAGAGCAACTGGCCGGCCCTGGGGAGAGGGAGCCCCCGGCCCTGTCCGTGGCTCCTCCGGCCTGGGCAGCTGTCCTGGCCCAGGAGCCGCCGAGTTCAGCCCTGAGCAGCCCGGGGCCCTTGACCCTCGCTACTGTGGACGTGGAGAGTGGCGGGCACTGGGCGGGCCCCTGTCACCCATAATAAACCCCCCTGGGCCGCTCCCTGGCTTTGAGGAGGAATATTTTCGTCTGGCTGAACACCTGCCTCCCGGCCTCCTGGTGACACCCCAGCCCCACACCGTCCTGCCTGATTCCGGAGTAGCATGAAAACGGCCTGCATCGGCCGTGGGGACGGAGCGGCCGGACTTGTGCACACTCTCACCTGCTTTTTATTTTTCTCAGACGGAGTCTTGGTCTGTCGCCTAGGCCCGGCTGGAGGGCAGTGGCGCGATCTCGGCTCACTGCAGCCACCACCTCCTGGGTTCAAGCGGTTCCCCTGTCTCAGCCTCCCGAGTAGCTGGGATTACAGGTGCCACCACCACACCTGGCTAATTTTTGTATTTTTAGTAGAGACGGGGTTTCTCCTTGTTGCCCAGGCTGGTCTCGAACTCCTCACCTCAGGTGATTTGCCCCCTTTGGCTTCCCAGGGTGCTGGGATTCCAGGCATGAGCCACTGCACCCAGCCCCTCACCTGTTTTTGAACCAATCACGTGGTTCCCACTGCCCTGCTTTCATCCTGGATGTACCTGGGTGTGGCTGCTGGAGGACCCCGAGCCGGCCAGTCCCTACCCTGGCCCCGGGACCCTCGGGTGCCTCTGAGCTCCGTGGATGGCCAGTTCTGAGGCCCTGAACTGGGGAAGGGGGCTGAAGGCTGATGCCAGCTCTGCCCGCACTGCCTGGGCACAGGGCTTGGGGAGGGGAGGCCTGTGAGGCTCACTGGCACAGGTCTCTCTGGGGGCAGGGCAGGGCTCAAGCCTCGGGGGCACAGGCTGGCACCCCCCACTTGCCAAGGAAGTGAGTGGCCCTGGACATTGTGGGTGGCACCTGAGGCCTCTCCTCTTCAACGGAGAGGGCTGCGGTGGTCTGCCAGCAGGCGTGAGCTGGTCAGCGTGGGGCCACTCCACACCAGGCCCCGCACGGTGCTGCAGTGTCTGAATCACTGGGAGTGGGTGGCTGCTGCAGGTCCCGGCCTGGCCCACCTGCGGGTAGGACACTGTCCTGGCAGCCAGGTGGGAGGCACCGGGTGGGGACAGCGAGGGGGTGTGGCTCTCCAGAGGTCGGGAGGCCGGACCCAGGAGGGCAGCCGAAGCCAACCCCAGGCTGAGCCCGCCCAAGGGGACCCAGCCCCCAGCCCCCAGCCCTGGCTGGCCCGAGGGCTCCATGGGCGCGGCAGGCGGGACAAAGGCCCTCTGTGTTCTGGCTTCGGCTACTTCCTGATGGCGCCAGCCACTGCGGCCACAGGGTCCTGGCTTCTCCTGCCAGGCTGTGGAGGGTCCCACCTCTGCCAAGGAAAGAAGGGGAGGGCTCTGGAGCCTCTGGAGCTCCAGGCTCAGGACTGGGGCCTCCCTCAGGCTGACTCTGGGCTCTGAAGGGACCCAGGCTCAGGGCCGCCCGAAGCTCCTCCACTTCCGGGTTCTCCAGCACACAACCGCCACCCCCAGTGGTTCCCAGGCTCCTTGGCCACGGAGCGCCAACACCCGGTGGGGGAACGGGGGTGGGGGCAGCTGCCCAACCCTCCCTGGGGACGGTGCCCCACCCAGGGTGTCAGGCCCGGGGCCCTGGCTCAGCCCTCCCGACCCTCCACAATGTCGGGTCTTGACCTGGATGTGGGGGGCCGTGACCCCCCTACTGCTGAGGGAGGTCTGGTGTCCCAGCCACAGACTGTGAGAGGGTCTCGGGCTAATTTTGGCTTTGCCTTCTCTGGCCAGCATCGCCCTGGAACACAGACAGACTTTGCTTCGAGAACTTTGGGAGGAAAACCCAGTGTCCCAGGCGGGGCGGGCGGGCGGCCCCCAGCCCCTAGAGCTGGAGATGAACCCGGATTCGGTGGAGGCCCCTCCCTATGGCCCCGCCTCCCAGGGCTCCCCGCTGCGTCTACACAAACCCCGGCATAGGAGACCCCTTTCCACCCTGGGGGGGTGGGGCAGGACTGGGGTGGGGCTAGGGGCAGGGATGGAGGGCTGGGCAGGCTGGGGTGGGGCTGCAGCCCTCAGTGCTCCCTGGACCCGCCTGCCGCCTTCACCTCGGGACCCCGATTCCAGGGCCGAGTGCTCCCCGCCCAGGCCACACTCTCCCGCCATACTGCCGGGTGAGGCAGGTGACCCCGCCATGATTCGATGCTGCGCAGAGCCGGGACCCTCCAGCCACCTTTTCTCCCGCCTTCTTCCCGGCTCCTCCCACCTGCCTGAAAGGCCCAGGCACCTGCGGGCCGCTGCAAGCTCAGGGAACTGGGTTCAAGCCAGGAAGTTCACTCTGTCCCCAGCCTGAGGTCCTGGGCCTGGTCGTGCTGTGAGACCTTGGATCTGCCCACAGAGATGTGCCAGGGGTTGGCAGGCCAGCCTGGCACCCGGGACCCCTGCCCGCCCTCACCTTCTTGTGCTGAACCAAGCTCCGGGACCTGCTGGTCACCAGCCTGGGTCCGGTGGGTCAGCACAGCCTCCTGCAGCCTGTCTCACCCTGACTGGACCCCTCCGCCTGAGGCCCTGATGTTCCCGAGTCCTCCCGCAGGCTGTATCCCTGAGGGCTGTGGTGCCTAGCCACACGGCCTCTGCTGAATTCTCAGGAGGCATTGACCAAAAGTCTGGAAGCTTTGCCCGAGGTCTGAGACAGCCTTCTCCCGGGGCCTGATCCCCACACGGTCCCCTTGTTTTCTTCTTAGTCATTTGTTGAGATCTGCCCCCGTCCTCCAAGCCTCACTTGTCCCCAGAGGCCTCTAGGACACCAAATCCAGTGGTCAGCCCTCCGGCCTCCCAGCCCAGCCTGCAGGCAGCCGGTCACCACGTGCCTTCGAGGCTCAGCCCACTGAGCCACCGGGGCAGAGACACCCCTGGGAACCAGCGGGCTGGGGTGCTGGGTGCCGGGCAAATGGAGGGGTGGGTGCGGATGGAGGCTGGGAGGAGCGTGTGCACTGTTCCCTGGTGTCCAAGTCCGCGACACAGATTTCCTGCAGATTCCAGCTGAGCAGGTGCAGTGTGAGTGGGAGTTTTCCGAGTGGGGATTCCACGCTGGTTACGGGAGCCCAGCAGAACCTGCACGGAGGTGACAGAGGAACGGCGGTGGCAGTCAGGGTGGCGGTGCCCTGAGGAATCCCGGGACTCCTGGGTGGGAAGAGGACGGGGTCCCGAAGGCCAGAGGAAGAGTGCCCCAGGCAGAGGACACGGCCCATGCCAGGATGGCCTGTTAGCAGGAGTGCAGGCAGGGAGTCTCAGATCAGCCTGCTGGCCGAGAATGACTGAAATGTTCCACCATCTGATCAAAGCTTCGGAGAACCAAGGAGCTGGTGAGAATCCAAGAAGCCAAAACCATGGGAAACGCAGCCTAGGGCACTACACCGCTTTTCTCGGGGGTCAGAGGTGCCAGCTTTTGCTCCAATGTGGAGATGATCCACCAGGAGACCCTCCCTCCAAAACCTCCCAAAGTGAGGATGAAGTGAAGGTGACTCCATCCTTGTGAGACCTTGCAGCCCCAATTCAAGCCACCTTGGTCTTCCAGAGAACCCAAGGCCACTCAGACCAGGCAGTCTTGTCCCAGGTGCTTGGCAGAGGAAAGCAGAAGGGTGGTGCCTTTGCCCGAGGCATCAAGTCATCCTACAGATACTTGTTCAAGTACAATGAGCAGCACTTGGTTGAAGATAACCAGTCTCGAAGAGGTACGATACCAGCAAGACCTGATGGAAGCAGACCAGCAAGACCTGCAGGGGCCTGAGATATTGGAGTTATCAGACTCAGATCAAAACCAATGAAAATCAGTATGTTGAACACAAAGACAGGTTTTATATTTGCAGAGAACTTTACCTTATAAAAATTAGGTAGTAGATTTTAAAAATCTGAATGAGCTTTTAGAGATGAAAACATGATAACCACAATTTAAAACTCAATAGGCTTAACAGAAGATTTAAAATAGCTGAAAAGAAACTTCGGATCTGGACATGGTGGCTCACACCTGTAGTCCCAGCACTTTAGAGGGCTGAGGCTAGAGTATCACTTGAGGTCAGGAGTTTGAGACCAGCCTAGCCAACCTCATCTCTACTAAAAACGCAAAAGTTAGCCAGGCATGGTGGTGCACACCTGCAGCCCAGCTTCTCAGGAGGCTGAAGCAAGAGAATTGCTTAAACCTGGGAGGCGGAGGTTGTAGTGAACTGAGATTGTGCCACTGCACTCCAGCCTGGATGACAGAGCCAGACTCTTCAGAAAAGAAAAGAAAAGGAAGGGAAAGGAGGGGGGGGAAGGAGGGAGCTGGAAGACACCTAAGTGTAAAGTATTCAGAATGAAGGCTAGCGATATTTTCAAAGACCACATGGATAAGAGCGGGAGGGCAAAATACATACAATATAGAAAATAGGGAAAAGAGAATGGGAGAAATATTTGAAGAGATACTATCTGAAAATTTTCCAGAACTGCTAAGACATCCCAACACAGATTCTAGAAGCCCTGTGAATCTCAAGCAGGATAAATACACAGAAATCCCCAGCTTGCCACCTGTGTGAGCCATCCTGGAAGCCCATGATGAAAAATTGAAGAAAGCCGGGGAAGCGTGAGACAGATTTGCCTCCAGAGACCCGCGGTGGGGCCGACAGCAGACCTGCCCACAGGACAGACACAGTGGAACAACCGCTTTACACCAAACACCAGCCCACATGCAAACCGAAAACCAGGAGAACTGAGAACATTTGCCGTCAGAGGCATTGGCTCAGAGAACGTGCGAAGTGCACACTCCTGCGGGGCGGTTCCAGGCAGGTTTGCCGTGCAAAAGATGACGAAATCTCAATTAATTTCGGCTTTGCACAGCAATAGCAGTAACGATGAACTGTGGAGTCTTTAAATATCTGGAATTAAAGTGCACTGGTTCGCTGGGTGCCATAGCTCACATCTGTAACCCCAGCACCGGGAGGCCAAGGCTGGGAGATGAGCGGGAAGCCAGCCTGGGCAACATGGTGACCCCATCTCTACAAAAATTACAAAACATTAGTCAGGCGTGGCGGTGCGCACCTGGAGTCCCAGCATTTGGGAGGCTGAGGTGGGAGGATCACCTGAGCCCAGGAGGGTGACAGAGTGAGGCTCTGTCTCAAAAATAAACAATAAATAAAATGTAATTGTTTACAGTCTCACTAGTGGAGAAACCTGGTGGGCACAACGTCAGCCGGGTGATGGAGGTGGGTGAGCGTTGACGGAGCTGGGTGGTGTGGAGAGCATGGAACC